AACTTAGAGACCACACATTTTTGCTTCTTTTGGTGTGATGAAGGTATCGGTTGCATCTATATCTACCATGACCTTGGTGGCCTTCTCATTGATCATTAAGTTCACATATATCAGGCCTCTACTCTACTCTTTCTTTATTATGTTCAGTTGGGTGTGAAGGGCATTAAGGAACCTTATTGAACCCATCATGGCTGGTTCCTTTTTAACTTCTTCAACGCTCTCTGACACTTTTACGAACTCTTGAGACGAGGCTTTAAAGGCATTAAGGGCTCCTCTGTGTGGGCATTCGACCACCCGATGCTGTCTCTTATAGAAGAAGCAAGCTAGCGGTTGCCTAAGCTTAAAAATCACTGCGTTGCTTATCTTGGGTTAGGTGCTATCTCAACCAAAGGACCTCTTGTCTGATCCCTCACTGAAGGGTCGATCCAACCTAGTCATCTTTCCCCCACTCCCAAAGTTGAAGCTACTACCAACTGATGGAGGATTTTTCCGTTTTGAGGAGCCATCATTATAATCGTGGAGACGTTCAGCTACAGCCATGGCCGTGGCCACGTCTTGCACTTTTTATCTTTGTAGTTTTATCCAAGCCCAAGGCTTGAGGCCCTCAAGAAAATAAAACATCTTATCCTTTTCGGACATGTCTTAAATATCCAATATTAGGGAAGAAAAACTCCTTACAAACTCTCGCACTGTTCCTGTTTGTACCAATTCTCGAAGTCTCCTTCGGGCCATATACTCAAAACTGGTTTTTCAGTTCTTGTTTCAAGTCCGTCCAAGTCTTAATCGGACACTCGTCATTGACAAACTTGGAGCGCCACCATAGCTTGGCATCCTATGTGAGGTACATCGATGTCATTGCTACATTGTCTTCCTCTGAATCTGTGTGTACAGCTCAAAAGTAATGCTCCATGTCAAACAAAAAGTTTTCAAGCTCCTTAGCATCCCTTGCCCCTTCATAGCATCGAGTTTTGGCACCTTGGCCCTTTTTTCCCTTTTCGTTGAACTCGAACCCGATCTGGCCACAGCCATTTGTAAGATGCTCACCTGTGCTTTGAGCTCCTCAAACTCTTTTTGGAGAATATTCAAGGCATCTCTAGCCTCCTCGCTCATGTTGTGAAGAGTATCGGACAACTTCCGTTGGGTTATCTCGATCTCTCTCATTCGATCTTTAATCACCATGTGAGTTTTCACTGCGATCACCGCGGCCTCAAGTTCCTTAATTCTCTGTTGATAATTGGGTCTACCACTTGTGGCCATCTCTTTCATTTTCTAGCATTTCTCAACCGTGCTCTGATACCACGTGTCATGGACTAGGCTTTCTCTCAACAAGCAATAACCCGTGCGGCACTTGAATGGACGCTTCCACCCAAGTCAGCCCTCAATAGTTCGATATCTGAACAAATAACTATTAGCCACAGTTAGTCCCTAGCATACGCAATAAGACACATTCATATCGCGATCAATCTTAAGCACACACACAAGAAAGCACATTCATATCGACAAAGAAAAATACATCAAGGCAACAATCGGGACATTAGAATCGAGGTGAATTTCATTAAAATCGAGGATGTTACATTGGGACTTCCCACCATCGCCAGGGCCAGGGGGGCAGCCCTTGACGGATGGCCTAGGCCCATATCGCGACCGGTGAGACAACTCAACAGTACGCTACCCGCTCACCCTCCTAAAAAGCCTTAGAGATTTTAGAGCTATGCTACTACTAACCATTACAATATTTGAAATAGGGATACTTTTCCTAGCACAAGAGATCTATCCGGCCATGACCTTATACATGGATGGCTCATGATAACCTAAGCCCCGGTCATGGCCCTATACAAGGTTGGCTTATGACACCTTGGCTGCTCTGGCATTTCAGGCCTTGTTTATGAAATTGGTAAGACAGGCCAAATTCCCTAGTAGCATTCAGTCTAGTAGTTCTATACTTCTTTTGCTTAAAGGGAAGGGAGACTTCTTTCATGTGATGCCAATAAGATGTTATCAACTGAATTTGGTGTTCTTTCAGATTTGATTTCCTCAAAAGCGGCCTTGAATTGTGTTTGTCAATAGAAACTTTTCATAAATTTGTCTGCAAATCATAATCAATCATCAAAATCAAAATTAACCACTTAGATCCAAGGCATTTGTCTGTATATATTGCAGGTCCACTGAATTTCAATGTTGTGGAATACAATGGAACCTTGCCTACATTGGTATTGAATCCATACTCATGGACAAAGGTGGTTATGTTATTAGAGGAACAAATCAGAAGATTACTTCTTTTTTCTATTCTTCTTCTTAATTTTATAATCAAGATGGACAATGGTCAATTATTTTCAGACCTCCAACATCATATTTATAGATTCACCAGTAGGCACTGGATTCTCCTATGCAAGAAATCGGCTTGCGTCTCAGACAAGTGACATCAAACAAGCTCACCAGCTCCACCAATTTCTCCAGAAAGTGCAGCAACACCTTTTAAGCAAAATTTCAAGTTCAGAATGTTTTATTTGGAAAGAATTTAAAAGTTGCTTGTTCTTTTTTTTTACATTGAAGCCATGTTCTAGTATTTTTGTTATTTTGTAGTGGCTGATGGATCATCCAGAATTCCTCTCAACTCCAATCTACATTGGTGGGGACTCATACTCTGGCATTACTATTCCAGTGCTCGTTCAAGAGATATTAGATGGTAAAAACTAAAAGGATAGTATGATATTAGTACGGAAATCCTCTACTGATGGATAAAAAATGTAGCAATTTCCACTAATAATGATGAATCCCCCGCTTTGTAATTATAAAGTTCATAACCTTGCAGGAAATGAAGAAGGTTTCAGTCCACTGATCAATCTCCAGGTTTGTAATTTCATTTCTTTGTCTTTTAATTTTGAAAAGGAAAACCAATTCTTAGGAAATAGAATAGATTTCAATGACTAAAAATGGAGAAAGGGTGAGTTCATGAACCACTGGAAAAGGTGACTTCTTCTAGAAAGTAGAAATGCCCATTTGAGGTTGTTCAGAATAATGAGCTTTCACTAACAACATAAATTTTAGTGCATGCTTCCAGTGTGTTGCTAATCAACTAGTTGATTCTGATTTCTGAGTGCCTTCAGGGATACATACTCGGGAACCCTAGCACAATACCTAGTCTAGAAGCCAACTCCCAGATCCCATTTGCTCATCTAACGGCGCTGATTTCTGATGAACTCTATGATGTAATTTATTTGTCTTCCTTTAAATCATTGCTCTGATAATTGGTCAAAACTGACAAGTCACAAGAAAGAGAGAAGTTTCAAAATTTTCCATTAAACAATCAGTCGACTTTCTTTTCCAGTCATTGAAGAGAAGTTGTGCTGGAGAGTATCAAAACATCAATCCCAGTAACGTGGAGTGTCAGAAAGATTTTCAGTATTTCACAAAGGTATGCAGCTATCTCTCTCAGGGTTTTTTTTTTCTTCATTTGAAAAACAAATTTCCTCATTACTGTTATCAATCTCTCTAATTTTTTTTTTTGTTGATCCTTGAATTACAAACCACGATTACAGTGTACTTCAAGAATTGAAGCTGCACATATTCTGGAACCTTTATGCAGCTTTGCATCTCCAAAGCCACAGGAAGTGTCAGCTAGAAGGCGGTATCTTGATGAACACCATAAAGAGCTCCTTGATCCTGAACCACTAACATTTCCTACAATTGGTTGTCGTGTAATTCCATATTCTTCCCTCTCAAATGCACATTAAGTACGTAATCTACAATGCCAAAACAAAATCATGGTAAAAATATCATAAAAAATAACTAATAGCAACAATCTGTAAGATAAATTGGTAGTAGGTACTTTGAATTGACCATTTCCTGCACTCTGACTTATTTTCTTTGGCCACAGACTTATTCATATTTGCTTTCTTCTAATTGGGCTAATGATGCCAGTGTCCAGAAAGCAATCAACATAAGGTATAGTTGTTTAAAAATTAAAATGGGATGAAAACGGCAAGAGAATTGAAGAAGCAAATCTTGCCTTCTCCAGGGAAGCATAGGACAATGGAGGCGGTGTTCTTTTGGATTAGGTTACACGTAATCTTTCAAACAGTTTTTGGTATCATGTAAACCTTAGTGCCAGAGGCTACCGTAGTCTAATCTACAGGTGAGATGGTGACTATTTTATGCATTTACTCGATTCAAAAACCATGATTATGCATAGTTGAAGGATGGTTTTTTTTTTTCTATTTTTGGCTTGGATATAGTGGTGACCATGCATGATGGTGCTCTACTTGGCAACTGAAGCATGGATAAAATCTCTGAACTATCCCGTTGTTGATGATTGGCGGCCATGGATGCTGCAAGACCAAGTAGCATGGTCAGTATGTAGACTCAGAGTTTATTCCCATGTCTTTTAAACAAGGATCTTACTCTTTCAAAGGAGCTTAATAAAACTAAATTGGAGTACTGAAAACCTGAAATTTGTAGATACACGAGGACTTACGCCAATCAAATGACTTTTGCCACTATTAAGGCAAGGAAAAATCGCATATTTATACCCTTTTTTCATTCTTTTAGTGACAATTTGGTTACAGGCTTTTTTGATTCCCTGTTCATTTTTGGTTGCTTACTGGCAGGGTGGAGGGCATACAGCTTCCGAGTACAAACCCGCAGAATGTTTTGCCATGTCTAAACGGTGGATATCTCGTGAGCCTTTTTAAGTCAGTTCATCACACTTCCAACTTGGAAGACTCATGTGAGCTGTGGTCCTTTTGAATTCATATTAAAGTCTTGTAATTCGGCAAAAGGATGCAAAGCTTGAAACTAAGAATCATTTGTAGTTAATAAATTGAAAAATTAAGGAAAGGGCACATTTCAAGGATTTTAGATCAATCAGATTCTGGCAGAGACAAACACAGAATCACTAATGAACATGAAAAGAAATAGAAAGGATGAAGGCAGAATTCTTTGGATCCTCAATACTCCTTTGATTGATTTGAATGGACTACTAGCAATATATCATGTTTTTCATATATTTTTTTTAAGGGACTACTAACAAGAACATTAGGTCAAGATGAACGTGCATGATTGGGATCTTATCAAAAATGATCTTCGAGAGCTTCACAGTTAAAGCGTGCTTAAATGAGATTAATATTATCCCCAAAGCCCTCGTGTTACACTTTTCTTGCATTTGTTTGTAAGAAAAAAACAAAATCGATTCAGTTTAGAAATTAAGAGTAAATTCATGTGGTTGTTACCAGCAAATTTTTTTTTTTTTTCTAAAAAATGTCCAGTAACTTGAAATGTCAGTTAAGGCACCATATTTAAGGGACTTATTTCTAGTATTAACAAATAAATTAATAACTATAATAATGTTACAACCACTAGTGAAGTATGAAAAAACATTAAGGCATCTTCCTTTCTAAAACCATTCAATGCATAGACTCATCATTAAAGTGTAAAGCCCCCAAATTACTCCTTTCTAAAACCACATCATTGGGGGGAAAAAATTCAAAGATCCCACTTTCAGAACTTGTGAGAGTTATCCTCCATTTCATATGTACAAAACAAGGGTTCCACAAAGCAGCATTATTACTTGTCTCGCAGTTCCTTTTTAGGAAGGGCATCAAATCTCCTGAATCTAAAATTGAACCTTATACCTAAAGCAAAATCGAATAATCAGAGATTGTGCAGAAAAAGTACCAAAATATAAACATTTTGTGGTGACAGCACTTCTTTTAAACTTGATCTGAATTAAGATAGAACAATGCAATAAAGACGTTCTCCACAGATTCAGGACGCTAGATCATTGTAAATTAGGTCAAGAGATATTGCCAAAGAAACAGTGAGCATTACCATGGGAATTTCTTGAGAAGAACTTTAGCACCTCGTCAATAATTATAACCTGCAGCAGATAGAGATTGGTAGAACTAAGCAAAATAAATCATATCCTGGTGAAGTAAAACCGATAATTTGGAGGAAAGTTATTATTTCTAACACCAACCAAATAGTACATGCAGCAATGGTGGAACCATACTTCTTTAGCATGAAGTTGTTTCCACAAAGTTAAAGGTCAAGATAAAGATTGACGCAGACAATTAGATAATTGTGACGTGAAAAGAAATATATACAACATTATCACTGACAAGACAACGCCATCAATTAAATATAAAAACAATATCACATTACAATAAATTTACCCTTTAGAAGGGCTATGCTACTAAGACCTTACAGGGAAAGAAAGATACGGGATAACTGTACACTCATCCCAAGACAAAGGTGTAACCTATGAAAAAAAAAAAATCCCATGCCATTAAATTAATTTTCTCAAAGAATAGAAAATAAGGTAATAATGAATTGAACATAAAGGTGAATAGTAGAAGGAGAAAACAACTTACAGAAAAGAGTGTAGATAGAGGGGGAACACACAAAAATAGTATGTGAAGAAGCATTGTTATGATTATTGAAGCAACCAGCCACAAATTACTCCAAGGAGGAATAACCCTAAAATAAAGCAGATTTGGAAAAAGTTTAGAGCAAAAACTTTTTTCTTTCTTTTTTCTTTTTCCCCCTTGAGTTTCCTAGTTAAATACCAGTGAAGGAAAAAAGATGATACTCACAAAAGTGATTGGTTTTCACTGAGGTTATTCAAAGCATTAAACATCTCAACGACAAGCACAGTCAAGGACACTGTCGATGGATGCCGATCCTCAAAGATACTGCATGGATAAGTCGTCTCTCTTGTTGAACATGATCAAAATTCATCTGAAACAAATAAAGTTATCAGGTATCAAACAAACAAAGTTATCAGGTATCATGAAAGAAATATATAAAGACATGTAAACATAGGAGATAGATTTAATAAGCCTATGATCACAAATCTAAAAGCTAACAGTGCAGACCAAGGCTTTTTGCCCCACAAAGTGAGTGCTTCATATTTATGATGCTGAATTTTAAGATCTGAATACGACGCAATATTGTCCAAAAGATATGTATGTATACATGCAAAATATAATTTAAAGGGGAAAAACTTGAATGTATAAACCACCCTCAGAATATCCCATAAAGACCCTATCACTTTCAAGTTATGAAAGTTCATGCACCAAACACAAATGTTTCCAAAGATTTATTCACCACATTTTAGTTAGTTAACCAATCTAACTGCAGTTTGCTATTGAATATATCTTAGACAATTCTTCACAAGAACAGTGGGAGATATAACAAACAGCACACCATGGCTGAAAGCAAGGAGGAAAGAAACAGCTTACTCTTCAATATGTTCCTTGAAGTGTCCAAAGGAACAAATTCATTAACATCAAAAGCACTATCAGAAGAGATGTCCATGCCAAGAAACTCAGCACTAATCTTGCATATTAGTAACATTAAAGAAAGTAGGAACTTACCAATTCAGCATAAGGTAGTGTAGGACCAGTTTCCGAGTAAGCAAACCACCATATGAACCCCGCAACAGTGGCAAGGCCAACATAAGGTACATCAGCCAGAAAAACATTTCTTACTAGTGAAAATTTTACAAAAATAAAAACAGAGTAATATACTGTCAATTGAATCAGCCCAAATGTAAAATTGGGGATCAACGAGGGCATTCTTGTACAAGATGTTACTATGTTTCCTGCTTATTGCATCTGATTCCTTCTAGCAGGTCATAGTCCGACTTGTATTGGATGAATAAAAATTTTTACTTCATAAAAAAAAGAATCAAAATCCAAATGATGTAAGAAACTAATAATAATCCCCAAAATTTAGTTGTTAACAAATGCATGTAAGAAGCAAAGCAACATGATATTGCAATTTGAAAGTTGTTCAGAAGATACCCCAAAAGTGACAAAGCATTTCAAATTATTAGTAATAGATGAAATAAGAAGTCTTATATTTATAGATACCTCCGATCACCAAATAACGGCAGAACAGCCAGCCAGTGACCACTGCTTAACCAACCCGCACACCAAAGTTAAATAAAGTGACAGACCTGAATTGAAACAGAACAATGTAGTTCTCTATAAATGTATTATATATTACAGAAGAAAAATAGCAAGAAATCTAAATAAGTTAAATTTCGTATCAATGTATAACATAGATGTTAAATATAAAGAGAAATTATTAATTTCTAAAGAATATACTTAATAAAGTGACATTTTTTCAAAATTAAAATAAAAAAGTTAGTCAAACAACCAATCCCCTTTTTTTTTTTTGGGCATCCAATAAAATTTCTAACAATTTGGCTCCCCTTTACATGTTTTATTTTTAAAGAAAACCTTGATTGGTTTGGTTCAACTTTTCTCCCAGGAAGCATGAAGGTATTGGAAAATAATGAATGATAAAAGCAGTACCTTGCGAGGTTTAATCTTCATCACGTCAGAGTCCTGCTTATTAAACCCAATGGCAGTGGCAGGCACTCCATCAATAACCAAGTTGACCCATAGTAGCTGGACGTGGACATTATTAAAAAAACATAAAAATATCTGAATGTATTATCCATTTAGGATCACCAAACTAAGATAATGAAAATCTTAGAAAGGTTAATAATGACAGTCTTCATTTAATAAAAAATGTAATTCCTGGTCATGAACCATCAAGAAAGTAATGATAACATCATGCAAATGATATGAAAAAGAATGCCCATATCAGGATAAATGCTCTTGGAACACTAAGATATAAAGAGCTTATTATTGTCGATTTTTTAATCAATGAAGATGACAAAGTGTTCTAAAGAAAATTTAGTTCCTTTTTCCACCCCTTATTTAACAACATGAGATGCTAAATCGAAAGAATAATTTTCAAATCAACATACTCACAGGTGCAAGGGTATCAGGTATTCCTAGCACAGCTGCCAAAAATACAAACTACTTCACCAATATTTGAAGAGATGCTTTGTATTGTTGTATATAGCCCTTCCTTCTGCAACAGCCTGCCCAACTTGAAAAGTTCAACAATTTGTATATCCTCTATGAGTACGTATGCATGTAAATGCTTGCAAGTATTTTAAAACAATAATAGGAAGAATACATATATGTCAAGAAGAAAATGGAACCAAACTATAAAAAACATAACGCCACAATGGTAGCAAAATTATCATCCACTAAAACCATATCTGAAGCACTCTGTAATTGAAAGGATAAAGAAAGTAAGAATGAAGAAAATATTAAATCAAAGGGGACTACTCTTCCAGTAACATCTAAGTGAACAGGTATCAGATAAAATGAGAAATCACTCAACTACAACAACATTAGAGTGAAAAGAATTTATGAATTAAAAAAGCAGTAATGTAAAATGTACACACCCTTTACATAACTTAAATACTTATTGTCGTTTTCATGTACGAGTTAGCCAAATTTATAAAATTGTAACTTTAGACCAACTACAGCACATAAAAGATGAGAAAGAACAGATGAGATCAAATGAACCTGAGGAGAAGCCAAATATGCATACCTTTGCAGCTGCTGTTCCAGATCCCATTGCAATTCCAATATCTGCTTTCTTAAGTGCAGATGCATCATTGACACCATCACCAGTCATTGCAACCTAATAAAAATTGCTGTTGTTAAAAACTTATTGGAAAAATAGCAGCATTGGGCGTGCATTATTAGAGAGGAAAGAATAATATGCAAATCTAACTTCACATACACCAACAGACACATAGCATATCTATGAAATATAATAACAATTAAACTTGAAAAAGCATTCTGCAAGAACCCTGTTTATCCACCAGCAATTGTTTTCTTAAGATAGATCCCTTAAATTAAGGATAAAGCCAAAACAGTTTAAGATATCAGCTCCAATTTTCTTGTGCCCTAGCTCATGCCAAATATGTAAGTTTTGTTATACAATTTAGATTACTTCATGAGACAGAAATCCTCCTAAGACTAGATTTGGAATCAGTAAGAGATGAGATGAATGATAAGTGTTCTTGTAGTTCCACTCTCTCTAAAAATAAAAGTTTCCTCTTGTAAGTTCCACTTTCTTATCGCCAATATTCAACAGTAAACTATGGGTGTTTTGGTCCAATGGGACTAAAAAATGAGTCAGCTTTTAAGGATTTAGATATGGGTAGACATTCAAGCTCCATATCCCTTCCCCTCAAATCTCTTGACAAAGTCATTATTTCACATTTCAATATAGAAGATGAATCCAACAAGAGAAATCCACAGATTACCTTGAAAGCGCAAGCAATTTACTGAGTAAACAAAAAAAAGGTACTAGTCTCCTTGCAAATATAAATGACTAGTGAACCCCAATATCTTTCACTTTAATCAACATATATGTATGATAATGCAGTTTATAATTCTGAGCACAGAAATGTGCATAATCAAATTTCAATGGAAAAACATTACCATCCCTAAAAATTATAAAAACCATTCAAATATCAATCACATATAGGAGCCACAAACATTCAGATGATGAAATTCACTGGAACTTGAATAATTTTTCAAGAATATCATTTAAAATTTCAAATGCCTTACTTATCCAAACAAATATTCAAATATTTTACAAACAAGAAATCTGATTGAAATTTTTGTTTCTTATCTGAAGCAGAAATGAACCAGAAAATAATCAAATGTTAATTGCTCTCTCCATGCAACAAGGCTAAAACCATATAAGGACTTCAAAAAGTAGACACACTCACAATATAATGTGAAAGGCAGCAACTACACTAGATTTTCACAATCAATACCTAAGGGCTTTTAAAGCTATTGTAATCAAACAATCCAGTACAATGGAATCAGTAAGATTAGAAAGTTTTTGAACTGGACTACTAATTATTTGGCACAAAGAAACAATGCCCTAGCCTTCCTCTACTCATCACTGGAATCTAGGATTACTCTCCTTGAAACCACCAAACTCAAATGATGAAAGGTTTTAACACAGTATTCAACAAATGACATAGTCAATGGACCTGATTATCAGCTTGAAATGAGAAATAGTAACTAGAAGCCATAATACAACAATTAAGAAAATGGTTTGTACCCGTAAGAATTGCTTGATCAACGCATAACTGATCACTTAGCACCTCAATCATTCTCATATCAGCTGGAATTTTGCTTCCCACTTTTTAATTTACATAAGGCAAGACAAAAATGACAACTCTTTCAATATCTTACTAAAACATGTAGTGACAAACTGATTTTGAAATTTAGAATAGATGACCAACTTACCACTGACTTCTACTATGTCTCCTGGAACTAGCTCAGGTGCAGGAAGTATTGAAAAACAACCTGCAATAGCCACTTTGAATGTTAAAACAATGAATTTAACTGACCTTTCAGTCAAGTATCACTATGATGATAGCCATACACAGAGAAATGAAAAAGAAAAGAAAACAGAAGACAAATGAGTTAACCAAACATAGTAAACAGAAGTCCAGTGCAAAAAATATAAGAGCTCAACTTAAACCAACAATCCTCAGGAACTAACATCAACAATGCAGATTGTACCCATTACTTTGACATATAACAGGTTCAAAACATAAGTATAGTAGCAAGGATCCAGATCCAGAAATGCAATAGGCTATGAATAACATTGTTCAATAAAACAAGCAAAACCAAAAATAAAATCAAACTATTTATAAGTACTCACTCTTCTTATGATAAAAATAATAATTTAACAAATAAAATAAACAAATTAGACCACTGGCTTATCATAACAAGACGCTAAAACCAACATGTACAAGTGATGTGCTCATATCATCATTTGATTTACCATTGCGCAGCACAGTTGCAATATCAGCTTGGTAGGCACATAGCTCCTACAATAAAATAATAATAAAAGAAATAAGAATGAATCAGTCTGTGTTGGCATTTATGTGCAAAAAGAATAAGGCACCAGCAAATTATCATTTTTTATATCACCCAGTGGTGGCAAATATAAGGTCCAGACATTTTGAAGCGTTCATAGGTTATGCCTAAGAAGGGGGTCGATTTGTTGGAAAGATGGAGATGTATCACAGGACAGAGATTATGCCTAAGAAGGATGTTGATATTTTGTAAAGATGGGGAGATGTCACAGAACAGATACAGAATCGTATCACCTCACTGAAGTTTCAACTCTCATTCTACATTTGTGCTCTCTTATACCAACAATAGGATTGTTGCCCCAGCCTTTCAATGTTGAAGGCATCATTTTTATGATAAAAAATAATTTGTGCAAGTGGCCTCAGATTGAGATTCCAAAACATACCTCAAGAGCCTTTTCAGCATTTGTTTCCGTAATCACTCCTACAGCATTGGCAGCCAATATCAGGAGGATAACCTGTAGATTAAATAAACAGTATATTATTTAAAACAATAAGATATAAAAGCATGGAGAAGCTAGACCCACATTCTAAAACAGATCCACATATTAGCAGGCAAGAAAAGAGTAAGAAGGTCAGATATTACTACAGGCACCAATAAATTCCACATATGAAGATAGGCCATAAATGTTAAAGATTTAAGGTCCATATTTCCTTGGACAAGTAAGAGGCTCCAAATAACCTACTAGATCAGTATAAGTAGAGCTGCCAATCTCCATGACACCAACCCATATTTTCTAGTTAACAAGTTACATGCCTAATGTAGCCACTTTTTTCAATATGAATATGCATTCCTAAGTAGCCACAATTTTTAATTTAAAGGTTATGTAATTAACTCCATTAACCCCTCTTCAAATACAATTAACTAAAAGTCCTAAAATTTAACACTCCTTTCTCCAAGAGCTAACAAATCGGGCAATTAGTGCTTCCCCAAAATATATTATATAAAAACATATAGAACATTCTGTAGAGTCAATTGTAAGTTGGTCCAACACCATGCCCTAATCAATCCAGCATATAGCCACCTTAGCAAAATATGCTTTAGTCAAACTTGACCACTGCACAAGAAGGGCACAAAACTGCTGCAATAAGTGCCATACAATAAAACACTCAATAATATCTTGAAAAAGACTAGAATTTTAGCTGTTCATTTAATTTATAAAAGATTAAAAAATGAATTTGCATGTTTTGGAAAGTGATAACAAGAAAGAAGCTTATCAAAGCCAAGCATAATCATCTTACAAAAGGCTCCAAGAATGCAGTTAAGCCAGTCTCTCCATTAAGCAGAGCCAAAACGAAAGAAACAAGTGCCGCAGCAATTAGTATCTTAAGTTCTTAACAAGCAAATCATCAAATTGCTTGAAACCAATTTCCAAAATGGAGCCCCCATATTCAGCAATGTGAAATACAAAAAATTTAGTAAATTTTAATACTATCTATGCAGAAAAAGATCAGGAGCATAAAAAAAGAAAATTAGAGAGAATCATTACATATCCAGTTTACGACAAGAAATTGGATTGCAAATACTTGTTTGTTCCCTATCACTAACTGGAAATGGCAGAAATAACTTGTGGGATAGGTAGATTCCAGGAACCACTCCCTCAGGCAACCTCTTGACAATTCTACTTTCACTAAAACCAGCTACTCTTATTCTTCGTGCAGAAGGAGAAAATTTGCCAAAAATAAATTATAGAGGAGCTGATCAAAAGATTTCCAATTTAACCCTTTTAATAGGCTTAATGTCCGGCAATACCAGGATTTTGAGACACAGCTAGCCTCTTTTTTCCTAAATGTGCTACAAGCTTGGATTTTTAGATTTTAGGATTCAAAAAAAGAAGAGTCGAGCACCAATCTATGACAAGATTGCCACAATTTCACAGGAGATTCATTGTTAAGAACTTAAGATAATTCTAAATGCATAAAAGACCTTCAGACAAACCATATATATGTCAAAAGGCTTTCCATAAAACATAATTTCTGAAGTTTGATTTTAAATGCAATGAAAAATAGGCAGACCACAAAGCAATGGTTGATGAAGAAAGAGTTGACAGAAATACAGAGAGCTAATTAGAGTAGTTAAAATGGTACCATTTAAATTAATGCATAGCAACAATCACCTCCCAAAAGTCAACAGAAATATAGAGTAGCTGATCAAAGTAACTAACATTTATATTTTAAAAGAATGCATAACAACAACCACATACAATATGCAAGCATCAGGGTGCATGAATGCATTTGTTAAAGCAATTTGAAAAAATAAACTCAAAACGAGAGATGAGATGGTGTTTTGCAAGCACTTACTTTCTTCTTCAGGCAGGACTGGAGACCAATATACATGCATACAAGGAAAAAAAAATTAGAAGAGGATAAAAAGAGAAATAAATATCAAATTTCATGACATTCATGAAACATTATAGCTGTTATTGATTAAACTACTGCAATTTTAAAGCAAATGAACAACTATAAGGAAATATCCCCTGAAAAAGCATCATGACAGTGTCCATAATCATTCCAACCATTAACATATCGCCAAATCCAAATGAAAAATGAATAATAATTTTATTTAATAATAATAATAACTTACAATTTTTACCATAAAGCCTAGCATGTTGTGAAACCTGAATTTTTAAACGCCATGACGAAATCAAATTTTAGCAACAACAGTTTTAACACTAGTATGTAAAAAGTAACTAAAAACGAATTCCAAGTGGGATACAAAATGAGAAAATAATTACCTGAGAATCAGTGAGACCTTTTGTCGAGTCTACCCCAAAGAAATCCAGAACCTAAAGAAACATAATTATCAATCAATTCCAAAAATCTCAAAACGAAACTCAAGACTGGAAAATATCGATCTCAGAAACGAACTAATCGTTGACGCACCAAATCCAACTTTTGCAAATATGTTCGATGCAGTTAAAAGTTCAACACTAGTAAAAAATTTATTGAGACCTTTCGTCGAGTATACTCTAAGGAATCCAGAACCTAAAGAAACAAAATTATCAAGCAATTCCAAAAATCTCATATCGAACTCAATACTAAAAAATCTCGATCTGGAAAACGAACTTGATAATCAAAGTACTGACGCAAGAGTTAAGAAACAAGAATGCAGATCTAGTAAGTAGAGTTAAATTATTAGAATGAAAAATGTAAAGAGAAACGAAAATGTGAAAAACCTCCGGAACAGATCTGGCGTAAGCGTTCTCCATTGAGGATAGATGAAAATAAGCTTTGCTGTTTTCTTCACAGCAGTTCGGTTTCGTCCTTACAAACAAAAAAATTTGTTCTTAAGCAACAGAAAAAAAAAAAAAAGAAGTTATGCCTGGCTCTAAATAGCGAAGTAAATGTAACTAAAAGTCGTTTACTATATGACAGTTGGACTTCCGAAATTAACAGATTCCGTTACGAGTTAATTATGGGTATCACGGACTTAAAATCTATTCGGGATTTGCATTTACAAACGGCCCATGGCCCAGTATTTTGTGCTGTCTTCTTATAATTGGGCTGGCCTAATCCTCATTTTTTAAAAATTTTCATAAAATCCACCCATTTTATGAATTGCTGATAATCTCTTTGAAGAAATAAATATGAAAAATTATAAGATACTTTAGTTATTAGTCCCTAAAAAAAATATTTGGTAAAAAAAATTCTTAATATTTGAATGTTACAAAGTTTTTTTTCGTAGATTTTTTAAAAGACTAGTATTAAATTTAATATATTGTTAATTTATTTTATGGTTTATTATATTTCAGAACCTTCACGATTCAACGTTCATTGGTCTTTTTTTTTTTTTTTGGGTTTCATTTCAGTCGTTTTTCTTAATTTGCAAGCTGTCTATGTCATTCGAAAGGGGTGAAAATCGAAAATTTTAAATAAGTTCAGTTAGAGTTCTCTCTGCCAGCTTGCAGAGGATGTTGGTGGGCTTAGCTTAAATGGATATTCTGAATTTCTGTGAAGACAATGGTTTTATCCTGTTTTGTAGTTGAAATTAACCATGAAAGTGAATATACTGTGATGTTATTTTATCCAATTAAGAAGGGACAAGAATGAAGGATTGACAGGGCAAAGAGGGGAAGTGTTTGTCCGTTTCCTGAGATCCAGGTCCCTTTCCAAGATATGGTTGCTCATTCTCAAGATGGCCTGGGAAACACCTTCACGAAAAGATTTTGAAGGGAAACCCACCAAAACAAAAATAATTGCACCCAGTATTATGCGTGGATCACATTCTTGGTTAGTAGCTATGAGAGTGCCTTTGGGACCCTTTTGGTTGAAACTAAAGCTTGCCTTTTGTTTCCTTCCATCTGAAACAATATTTGTCTGTTTTGAATCTGGAATAAGCATAGGTTAACAAATTTACCAACCCTACCTCTTAGTTAAGCTAAGCTGGCAATTGCAGAAGTGGAAAAATGGTGGGTCATTTTTTGCTGCCGTCTGGGATTTGCTGGATTGGTATGCTTTTATAATGGCATTGTACTCTCTTCAATTTTTGTGTTGGCTGTGTGGTTGTGTGGGCGCAAATGGGCTAAAGGGTACCCCCCCCCCCCCATTAATGGAAAACGCAGAGCCAACCTGTCCATCCAAGGAACACAGCTATTATCTGTAGTTAGCCTACTGGTTTTCTGTTTTTCCTTTTATCTATTTTTGGTTAAATATGAAGTTTCCTATGTTAGTATTATTTTCGTTGCTTCCCATATGTAAGCGTTTACCTCATTCTGCCAAATAGGTTAAAAAAAAGGATAAAGACTAACTGGTCTTTCTGACAGTGTTAAAATTTGAACAGCGATTCTTAGCTCAGCATTCCAAAGTTCAAGTCTTCCATGCAATCAAGTGGAAAACTATGGTGGGCAGAACTCTCTTTCAGCTCATTACTAGTTTTAAACGTTACAATCTACAGTGGATAAACCTGAAAAAATAGATTCTGTGCTAATAAAACCGGACTCTACAGCATGGGGCACATAATTACATGGTCTACGCATGCTGATGTCAAGAAAAGAAACTGGAGAAAGCCTACAATTTTCACGATTATCACCGATAAAAATAAATAAATATATACACCAATGGCATAGAAATTCATTTTATTTTTGATGTTAGCAGGTTGTTTCCCACTGCATTAACTGGAACAAGTAAAAAGTAGCATTGGAAAAAAAAATAAAAAGGAAGGAACAAGATCCCTTTGAGATCTAATGACTTTTTTTTCTTTTCTTTTCACATTCCGCCCATTTTTCTCTGCAGAGTAGCTGCAGGTAGCCAGTAGTAGAGACGAAAGCTGTTATAGTTTACTCTTTGTCATTTCCAGTTTCTTTCCTGGAAACCACCTGTTCCAAGAGATTAATACAATACAAATTAGGCATATCTGACCATCAAGTTTTCTTTTTTAGGCTACAGATTGTATTGTATCATATTCTAAATGCCAAATTTTCCTAAAGAAAAGAATACCGATGTGAGGTGAAAAAAGGACTAACCTGCATCTTTTGAACCTGTGTTTCCAGATTTTAAGAAACCAATTTTTTTCTGGAATACTGATTTGCCCTGGAAGAAGCTCACAGGTGGCATAGCTAAGTTTGAATTCAGGAGAAAATATGTATAATAATGGAGACAAACTGTTTCAAAGAAGAAGATAGTAAGTACCTTAAAATGTGTACCTGAGAAGCCATGTGAAAAGGCCAACAAATCTATTGAAGCTTCTTTCTTGCAGTTTTTCTGTACATACACCAAGAACGCCCATTATTACTCTATTTTGTCACAAATGAACCCATAGGTATATGTGCAGTAAGATTATTGTAGACTTACCTTGGAAAAGCTTATTACAGTTGAGCTGGCAGTGTCATCAAGATAAGAAAGCTGCTGATTGCTACCATGTTCATTGATTTTCTTTTTATTTTTTCTGCTTTTCTTGGCTGGTTCAGGGGCTGCAGGAGCAGAAGAGAAGCTCCTATTTTCATTAAGGCATTCCTCATAATCTTCGCAATAATGTCTTGGGCCAGAAGATGCATCAGACACCATGGACAAATCCTCATCATCTTCAACCACGAATCTCGCTCCTTGCCCTCCATAATCCTCATCAAAGTTCCCACCAACAGTTTGACACTGAGTTTGAGAGTAAGAGGATTGATCTAAGTAGAGAGTCCAACCAGACTCACAACCACTACCACATTGTGAAGCTGATACATTCATTATCACAGTGCTCTTTCTCCAACCAAACTACAAAAATGTGTTTTATAGACAACCCTTTCCTTGTGTCTAACAAAGAGAGAAGAGGAAATGAATTTGCTATGAACAAATGAAAAGAAACCCTCTCTTTTCCTTTCCTGGATTTTCACATACATGCAAACTCTTGAAGCTGTTATGTATATAAACAGGATAGAAAAAGAGGTAGAGCGGGATAAGACCAACGAATCACACTCAAATCCTAGACTATTTTTGTCCTTCCTTCAATCTTTTCGCCATCTTGTTTTTTCTGATGTTAATCAATCAAATTTGCCAGTTGTCTTTGAGAAAGAGTTTATGTGTAGGTGAGAGAGAGAGAGAGAGGAAACGATAGCGATTGGTAACAGTGGTGACAAGGGAAACGGTTACCAGTTCATGTATAAATGTAGTAATACAGCAGCTTGTACAAGAATGGTGCTGTCCTTTCAATAAAAAGTGAATGTATTTTACTGCTCATCTAATAGCCTGTACCTTTGCTTTCCTTGCATGTCTTTGATGTTTATATATAGTCTCTGATTAGTTTTGGAAGTGATAGATGGGCTACAAACATGGTAATAAATACCATTTCAAGAGAATGTAGTAAGCTGACCACTTAAATACGCAATTAAACAGTACTTTTTCATTTTGTTCCCTTTTTTTTTTTTAAGAACTTCACGATTAGGCCATGACAAAACTAACGAGTAAATAATTAATACCTGCTTATGTCTTTAATACGCTTTTACTGTCAGGATTCTCCAAATGGGACCTTTTTCTTTGTTCAAAACTGCAAATTGTTTCAATCTTCACGTGGAATCTTAAAAAACCATTATTGATCAACAAGCAAATGGAGAACATCAGAAAAACAAGGGATTACTGATTACTGAATATATAAGATTCTGAGTGAAATTAAATAGGCAAGATCCTTCTCTAATTTTTTAAACCAAATAGATCAAATGTAAAACGGACATACATGTCCCTTTGCTGAGTTGTTGCAGACTCATTATGGTAGTAACCGAGACATTATTGTAAACTGATTATTTTCCTTTTCTCTCTTTACAGCAGATTATTTATCTATTTGTTTTTCCTGTGCCACTGTTGGATTCTAAAGTTGGAAGGTGGAATGCATTAAATGGTGGGGGTCCTGAGTGACCCCAAGATCTCTGGCATCTAAAGAATATGTGTTCCGAAAGGTAAATTCCTTTTAGAAATATAAGCAAAAGCAGCAAACCCTCCTCTGGGCGGACTGTGGAAACTATGATTTATGCAAATAGCTAGCTGTTTCTTTAACAAACATAACATTTCCAATTGATAGAGAATTCTATTTCAAAGTTAATTGGAAGAGAAAGAAAAGAAAAACTCAAGAACTATTGACGCCTGGTTTTTGATGAGTGCACACTAGAAATTCAACTTTTTCCTGTTCACCCTGTTCTAGTTCACGTGGGGGGCTTCAATCACTCATCCCTGAAAGTCTTTGACTATTCGTACAGAAATTCTGAATGCATCTCACTTGGGAGACTCGGTCTTTAAGATTTAGAAGACTTTGGTCCTCTTTTGGTGTTCCAGATTTTGAACCTTGGCTGATTAACTGTAATTCAGTACTTGACTATGATTTAAGTTCTGTTAATAGATTGAATCCTAATTCCTGAACTTGTTATCACATCAAAAGCTTGCCACCAACTTTTTTAGATTATTAGATCAAAGCTATTGTTGCGTAATCATCGGCACCATAAAGAACCAGTTTTGTTAGAATTATTGGGAAAAACCCACAATGATGTAACCTAACCTGACCCGAGCATGCAAGTGATGAACGACTGAATATATTGATATGTCGCTTAGGAACAATATCTTATCCTTTTTAAGGTAGAAAATCCACCCTCGGACGTTCACAATAGCTGTTCTTTGTCCCTACTAATACTGTTGAATCCTCATGGTTGCCATTGATGCAAAATGATACACTGATGACTGATACCAGACTACTAAACCACGTACGCTTTCGTATACACTTCTTAGCCGAGTGTTTATTTGATTATTAGAGACAATAATTTCTGCTAATCTCATTACTTTGTCAAAGCAGCCATTTGTGCATTGATTTAATAAACTATATAAGGCACACAAAAGAGCTAGCCTGCCTGAAAAACTGTATACATTGAATCGGAAGTCGCAAGGCATTAATATAAAGAACCGGGATTCAGCTTTTTAGAAGCTTTTTCAAGGGAATCTGAGAGGCTCAGACTATAAAAGTAAATGACAGAAATCAGTAGCCCTTAAATTTGGCCAAAAGCGGATGTTTGATTTAAGAATCAATGATCATAAATTACCACGGAAAAGATCATGGGGCCGCTGTAAGATCTTCTTATGGATCAAAATGGTCCCAGACATTAAACTTATGTGCACATGGCCCTTTGCCAGTCCATGACTCGTAATCGATCTATGCGGCAAAGAAATCATCTAGGCATTTGGTTTTCTGGTGTTCCTGTGCTTATGCTGGAATTCAGAACTTTTTGATTTTTCTCCTGCCTGATTGAAAACCATTCTCATTTTACTTATTTATTATCAAACTCATCAGATTTATAAACAAATTAGTTTGAAAAAATCTAATTAACTATAATCTTGAACAAACCTTTTAACCTGATTGAAAACATTAAGCCTTTGCCAATTGCCACCCCCCGTTTATTGAATGGTATAGATCCATTACAGTATGGGCTTTGCAGACAGCTTGGTATTTGTCACCAGGGTCCTCTACAATGGAAGAGTCAAACCAATCTTGCCATTGCTGCTTAATAATTGCGGTAACACACCACCCTCCCTCTTTTTTCTCACAAAATATTATTTTTCTAAAATAATTATATGAATCCATTGATTCTGCTTTTTATCTTTTTTGAATGGTCGGAGCTAACAGACTCCAGTCCCCATCAAACAAAAACCAAAGTCAAATCTCCCTCATAGCCTTTCGTCCTCCAAAGAAAAATGAAAGAAATGTTTATTTTATTACATAAAATGCACACATGAATCCCATTAAAGCAAAAGTCTGTGCCTACTCGGGTGATTGTGAAATGGATGAGGCTACATTATTTTTATAATCAGAAAAAAAAAAAAAAAAAGGATCACGGCCTTTCCATCTGTTGAAATGTTGAGGTTCATGCCTACAAAGCTATATTGTACGACAGTTGAAAAAAACTTGTGTAGCATGCATGAGCTTTTAATCTCTTTGGTACTGCAAGAGAAAAAGTACAAAGATTTAACTAGCAAATGTTTCAAACGACAGTTTTTGTTGACATATTGGGAATATGGTTGGTTCAGGATAAGCATAGCACAAAGTCACTAAAAGCAGAATCGGGCGTGCAAGCTTCAAAGTCTTCATGATCCCAATAATGCAAGCTATGAAACAAAAAGGAAAAGACCATTTGAGTCATTCTCAGATTGACGACCGTCCATACAATAGAAACTCAAGCTCCCCATTGCTTGGTCGGTTTCATACTGACATGATTTATCGTGATATCTTATAGTTCCCCCAATTTTTTTAATAAAAAAAAAAGATAGAAAAAGATGATAAGTTGTAATAAATCAATTGTGAAGACAGTGATTGTAAGAGCATTTTGTTTAATTGTAGAAATCATCATAGAAAAGTCTAAATCGAAATAATGCACCGTTTTAATTTATCAAGCTCATTATGAAAAATACACTCAACTCATGTGAATAAAATAATTACATAAAATATTAATTACATTTAAAATAAATGCAGCGTCCAAAGAAAAAGCACTCTTAATTCTGAAACCCATCTCAATGGTTTATAAGAATGCATTTCAAATTTATCGAAAATTTAAAACATTTCATTCAATAATTAATATATTTTTTATTTAAATAGTAGAATTTGATTTTTTTTAAATGAAAAAAAAAAAAAAAAAACTCATCTTCTTTATAATAGATTATCTCTTAGTCTATTGAATCTGGGCATTGTTGATGGTGTTTTTGAAATGTCTTAACTAAAAATGAGGAGATGAGATGGAGAGAAGGATAATTGTAATCTACAGTCAAAAGAATTAATAGATGATTGAATTGTTATTTTGAGACTCATTCTAACGTTCAAATCAGTAGAATGTTTGAAATTTAGTAAGGAATTAAGGAAGAAAAAGATGAAGTGTGTGTGGGAAGTCTCAAAGGAAGGAAAAACTCATAATGTACCAGGACTAGTTATTCTTAAACCCTCTCACATATCAGGTCTTTTAATTACTTTATATCTAAGATGAAGTGGTATTGACCTAACTGAAATAGGTGATAGTAAATAAGATAATGGCTCGAAGGTGATTGTTACTAGCATTTAATAATTTCAAATAAGTATAAATCGCATTTAATGATATAAGCAAGTTGGATATCAGATAATCAATTCTAAAAAATATTGAGATTTTAAGCAAGTTTTTTCTTTAACAATAAATAAATCATTTTCTTGAAAACAAATGACGTAGCAGTCTAGATTACCCAACCGAACATTGATCGTTGATCAATTAACGTATGTGTAACAGGCATAAACCATTTCACTAGTGCAAGTTGCGGTGAAAGTTAAGTAGGCAAGCGAAGCGAGTACAGCTCGCCATGTTTTTGGGATTGATATCCAGATTTCAGTCGGTGGCACTATTTCAAAGCTTACAAACAAGTAACTATAGATCAGCGAGGGGAAGACAAAAATGGCTAAATCTCACCGGGACCATTTTCATCAGAGTAGGTTTTGATCTGCTGACGACCATTGATTGTGCAGCACAATATACACTATTCCATCACATTGTTTTTTTGGTTGATCAAAGATTTCCTAATTGCCACATAAAATTGGCCCCATTTGGAATTTGGTTGTTACCTTAAAAATCAAAAAAGACACTTGCATGATCAGACCAGCTCAATAGTATTTGTTTTGCCAACGCATTCTTTTGACTTTATCCCCCATTATGCTACTTGGCTTGTTACCCCTATGCCCTATTTCAATTTGGGAAGAAGCTTAATTTAAATTGTTTCTTAATATTTCATTAATTTTTGGTCAATATTGATTCTTTAATTTTTTTTGAATTTTTTATTTCTTCAGTTATTTTATGAAATTTTCTATTTTTAACATTTTTATTCAAAAAGTTAATAAAAAAGTTGGATATTTTTTTAAAAAAAATGGCATTTCATTGAGTGGATTTGGATATTTTACCAATTTAACTAATAGAGTCAATCAAAAATGTTTAATGGAATAAAAATTTACGTATCAAATATAAAATCTTTTTCTTGAATATCAAATTAATGATATAATTTGGATATAAATGTGTAATTAACCCTATTTAAAATCTTTAATTTTGTTTTGATAACTGGAATTTGATGCTAATCTGAAACCGCAATTTAGTATATCATCACGGTTTAATATTAATCTTATCAACAAGCAAAAATAATATATTTTTTGCTAAAATAGGAGTGACAACAAAACCAAAAAGAAAAAAAAAAGTCCATTATTCTATTTAATTTAATAGTAACAAAGAAAAAAAAAGACAGCGTGTCAAATTTTATTGGGAGAACATAAGATAATGTTTTTAAATCTTGATATATTAACGATTTAGATAATATGTATTAATATGAAAAAATATTAATTAAAATTAATTCAATTACTGGTTACATTTTCGACATCTTAAATGCAACTATTTTTTATGAATAAATCCAACTATATTATTATCGTTTTCTAAAGGATTAGTGAAATGGAATTGGAGTTGTTTATCTAAAATAAAAATGGAGTTTGAGTTGCCGACAAATTCCATGACTGCAGTTATCACTTGACTTAGAGTATCTAGTGGAAAGTAGATAGGAGCTGGTTTCAAGTTTTAACAGTGATTTGCATCTTTATTAACAGTGACTCACTGTGTTTTCCTCATTACGAGGTACGATTTCATTGTTTTGATTTACTTTACTTGAACTAGAATTGTTCTTTATGGAAAATAATTTATGGGATTTGCAAGTTATGGTGCAGCATGGTTTCATGGTTTTGCGTTTGCAACTTTAAAGTTTAAAATTTTAAATCATTCAAAAATGGATATGATTGCTTTGAGACATGAATATCGTCGCTAAAGATATCATTTCCAACTAAACCATCTTCATTTCTGTAAAAAATCCGTCGAAATTCCATTGATACTTGTGTTAAAGTTAAACAAATCCAACTGTAAACTACATTAAGAAATATATAATTTTACTAGTACAATTTTTTTTCCCAGGTTAATTGCGAAGAAAAGGAAACATGAAGCATGAAGTAGTACGTCCTGATTGGAAGGAACTAGCTTTATTCTTAACATCGTCCCTGTGCTTTGGCACAATGTGGTTTAGCATATTACAGTTGAAAATGGAGATGAAGCATCCGAAAGAGGACCAATCTCAAACAACGTTGATGTTGGCAAGTATTGTTTGTTATGTACTTAGCTTCGGTTATTGTCTTCCCGTTACCATTTTGTTCGGTGTGTCTTCATTTTCATATTTCTTTGGCTGCCCGTACACTGCAAAAGATCAGTTAAATAGTAGTGAAGATGGAGCAGATGAGTGCAAAGAAACTAAATTTCCTGTTTGGTTTACTGCTCCAGCAAGCATCTTGTGTTGGACCTTGGTTCCGTTACTCTGGAGGCTGCTGAATACTGATTGGTGGAAGCTGTTGAAGCAACCAGAAGTTCATCTATTCCTTGTAGAGGTCCACATTTCTGGTTATTCCTTAGGCTTCACCATTTCCCTTGTCTTGGCTATTTCTTTTGCACTACATACCCTTCTGGAAATTTGCAAGAAATCCTCCGAAACTGCAAAAGATGTTGAGTGCGCTCAACCCAAGTCGTAGATAGATGGACATTGGCGAATTAAGAATGGTGCTTGGGGAAAGTGATAAGGCAGGCTCTTGAAACCTTCTATAGTGAATTTGTGTTCATTTTCTATTTTCTTTTGCTAAACATTTACCGCTTTAAGAGAATATAATTTTCTTTTTCACCATTTGAAAGTTCCTATTTTGATTTTGCTTTCTTTGACAATTAATTGTAATTCATGATATTAGGGGCTGAACAATTTGTAAAATACACCAACTCTATTTAAAAAATGAATAATTGTGTTTAATCCATTCATCAACTTAAATGGAAGTGGACTTACAGGAATTAGATGGCTTGATTTCCAAAATTCTATGCCGTGCTATGGGTAATTAGATGTCTAATTGTATTTGAAAGATGAATTGTAAAGACAAATTAACTTTTACCAAACGCTGTTTAAATAATTGTGTTTAATCCACTCGTATCTTTAATGAAGATTGAACTTGCTGTAATGAAACAATGAGAGGAAAGAATCAAACATTATCACGTTATGGTGGCAAGCTCTACAAACAAAAGCTGGAAGCAATTGCCAAATCTCATATGTCTATCATTGATTTCAGTCGAAAAAGACCTTTGGGAAGGGAAGAAAAGGGGTTGGGTGGCTCTCACTGCAACTTATGAAAACATGTATTTATTGATTTTGAAAAAACTAAACTGCGGATAACAAGAGGGTGATGGCTTTGGTTTAAAGATGCTTTTGCATGAGCTTCAGTTCTTACGGTAAACTGAAGTTTTCCATAACTGAAAGCTCGTCTCCTCTGTACTATGTTCTGCAGGATAAAGGCAGAAACTTGTTTTTTACAATGTTTTTTCACGTTTTTCTGTTTCTTGGTTCCATATTTCAAGGAGCTGACTCCAAATCTTTGTGCCCCAAACACATCCAAGCAATTTTGATTTACAACAAAATGTCCTTGTCGTGGGAAGAGGTATCCGCTTCTTTAGCTACTTTGGTCATGCTACATTTCCAAGTGTTGCTGACCTAAAATGAATGTTACTACATCTCTACAGCATCGGCTCAATGTAGCTCCGATCAAAACTCTGAAGTACCCCCTCTGTAAGTTGCTATATAACATCTCGTGTAGAGGTTCCCCCTTGAATGCCATCTACAGACAGCAACCCTTCTTATACATCCCACAATCCTACGTGTTAGAATTCCAAAAAAAAACAAGCAGAGCAACTTCTATAACCTTATGCATATACCGTTTTCTACACTGAATGTGAGGTTCAGAGGAAAGCCCCAAAAAAGAACTTCTAAGGATCTTATGCATATACCACAATAAACCTTAAAAATAAATAAATAAATATATGCAAGACAACCGGTAAGGAGAAGTACTTTGAACAGTACTGAAAAACTAATGGTAATATGTAAAAACAGTTCAACTTTATCAGTCATGGAATTAAGTCCCTTTTCTTGAGGTGAAGGTTCACTTATGTTATCCACAAGTTTAGGAAACAGGAAAGGATCTGGAAAAGAGAGGTGCTTTAGCTCTTACATGATAAAATACAAATGAATACTGTAGTGTCAAAAGAAAAAGCAAGTAAACAACCTTCCAGAAATGCAATTTTCAGATTGATTCTCAACACTTCTAACACAGAATCTCTAATGCCTTCTTGGTCACTAATGTTTAGATACTTAACTAATATTTGTCTGCTAAAATATTCACTAGAAAGGTTAAAGGAATATCCATGGTACAAACCTTAATTTTCCTAGTAGGTTCCATGTATCATTGCTCTTCGGTATTTAAGAAAAACAATCATGTCATTTACCAGTCATTCCATTTGCTTTTTCTGCCCTAAATGACGGAAGACCCCAAAATTCACATTGTCTCTTGCACAGTTCACAACCCAGTTTCCTTTACAGGGTGACAAAAAAATGGTTTCTATTGGTCCCTCATTGTAGACATCATTCAATTACCTAAAAGATGGGAAATTAGTGCAATGCAAAGGTTGTAACATGTAAAGTGAGACACTCAGAGGATTTTACATCAGCAGAGAGCCAGCCACACATTAGCAAACCATTGCATAGTTTAGACAATCTTTCACAACAAGCAATCATGATTCATTGTTTCTCAATCATCTACTTCACAGTTCATAACCCTCTCCCTTCATCCCTTTTTAAAGGCTTACAACATGTTTGGATTGAGGTAAGGGGAGAGAAAATAAAGAAATGGAAAGGAAACAAAAGGAAATGGAGAATCCTTTCCCTTGTTTGTATATGACATAAATAAAAATAAAGGAAAGGAAGGTATGCTTAGCTCCTCTTGGTCTCTCTCAACTTTTTTCATTTTTTAATTACCCCAAATTAGAGGAAAAGGAAGGGAAAGGATAAGAATAAAATGTTTAAAATATAAAATGATCATTATATCCTTATTAATTTCTTTAAATTAAAAATGTATAATTTTGAATTCTAAAATTTAATTGAGAATACAAAACATTATTTACCAATAAATTTATTGTCTCCAATTTTTATTTTTTATATTTATGAATTTCATAAATTTCATTGATGACTATTTATATAAAGAAATAAAAAAAATGAAAATATGGAATACGTTAACATAAACATATAAATATTATAATAAAAAAAATATTATCAAAGGTTATAATAAAAAAAATATAATAAATCATTTCCTTCTCTTTTTATTATTTAACCAAACAATAATTATTAGGATTCTTTTATTTTATTTTATTTTATTTATTAATTTTAAATATCCAAACAAAGATATATCCTTTGTTAAAAAATCTTCTGTTCTTTTACTTTACTTTACTTTCCTTTTTTGTACTAATATTTATTCAAACATTGCGTTAGTTCTACTTTAATAATATCATTAAACTCCATAATCACATTTTAGAAAGCATTGAAACAGTACTAAATTAATGCTTCCACTACCAAAAATGCTCAGTAAATTATACTAATTGTTTAACTATTCAATTTAAACGAAATTTCACAGTTTCATGGTGAAAATGGAAGCAAATGCATGACAGAACTTTACATTTCATCAGAAATTGACAAACACATAAGAAGTTTTCATCAGAGATTACCAAATTAAAATCCCATCAATCTAATTCCTTGGAAGAGCAACTCGAGCTTTGAATTCCACTGACATTACCATCACTAACTTCCCCTTTCTTAACCCAAACCATCCCTTCATTTCTCTGATTCTGTTCTCTACGCCTATCAAACTTCCCATAATATCTCCTATTCAGCACCCTATTGCCACTATTACCATTTTGCCTATCGTAACTACTATAATCTCCTGTTCTAATCTCACCCTTAATTGACATTGCGCTAAATTTCCGTCCAATCTCCGACGTATGACCATCAGTTTTTGGCATAATCCTCTGTTGCGACTCTCTTCTCGCCTCAGCCCTCGCTAGCTTCGGCGCGTGGACTTCATGTCCAATCACTTCCTCCTCCCCCTTATTATTCTCCATACTCGCAGGCAGCGGCGGGTTAACAGCAGGTCCCACCACTTCCTCCCGCTCATTATCTGTCCTAGCTTTCTCTTCCTTCTCGTTCTTTTTATTCTTTTTCCATCTCTTCTTCATCTTCTTCGTCTTCTCGTTCTTCAATTCCTCGCCTTTCTTCTCCTTCTCAACATCCTCGCTTTCACTAACCGCAGAACCTGCCGCGATTTTCTCTTCCCTGCTCTTCCCTTCCGAGACGTGCTTCACATTCTCACTATCACATCGTCGAAAATGCCCATTTTTACTGCTTCCTCTTCCAGCAACGTCGTAATGAACTCGCTCTTCAACTTTAGTTTCCTTTTCCTCTTGCTCTTGTTGTGGCTCTTCTTTCTCTTCCTTTCCCTTCTGCTTTCTCTCTTTCTCTTTAATCCACCGTTCTTTCAGTTGAAGAAGACTAACGTAATTTGAAGGAACGGAAGGTAAATTTTTTTTCCGGTTGATTTTCGTAGACTCCTCCATTGACGAAAAAAAAAATGATCGCAGCAGAGATGAAAAACAATAGAAAATCAAACCATAAACTATGAAAAAAAAAAATCACAAACATAAATCGTCAGGACACTTTCACGTCTTTAATTACGGAATTGCCACTGTGTTGGGGCCCAAGGATAATGACTGATGGATGACCGACCAATCCGACAAAGTTATTTTTGGGTCAAGTCTTTGTCTCTCCACCGGGTCCCATTGGGCCTTTACTTTATTTATAATTTGGGCTTGTTTTTGAAGCCTAGAGCTGATGAACTTGGCCCAATTTTACATCATATCCTTTGAGCTGTTGACCAGTAATCATAGGGCCCTCGTATCCTTTGGTTGCTGATTAGGTGTCCTGGTCGAGATGTCATTATATAAGGTCTATTACTCCGTAAATGTAAGTTTTAAATAAAATTTTGATAGATTTTATGTAATTTTAAATTATTATTAAATAATTATAATACAATAATGGCAGATGAAATGCTATTATTGTTAACTCTTACAAAGACCACGTTTTATCAAAACTCTTGAACAATCAGCCACCTGGAGTTGGGACCTCCTTTTGCCTTGCTGAAAGTTTAACAATCCAAGGCCTTCGCTTCTCCAATTAGATTCTAACTTATCCGTTGCATGCAATCGGAGACGACCAGCTAACACGTGGACGACCGCCAAAATTAACCGACTGAAAGCAAAAAGCTAAAAGTGACATTGTCCTAATATCGAAGGGCCAATGACATAAAACGACCAAACCAGTCCTGATAGGTGTAGTCACGCATAGCCGCCAACGCCATAGGCGTTGCAACCAGAGGCGTTTTAGATAGAGAAAAAAGAGAGAATGGAGAATCGATTGAATGAAAATCAATTCGTAATTTGATTTAATTAAAGTTTTATTAATTAATTTATAATTTAGAATATTATATTTGAATGAAAGAGATTGGATTTGAAGTTTTTTAAAATTAAATTTATAATATATTTATTGAATTATTTATTTAATGAGATTTATTTAATTATTTTTTAGTTATTGATTATTTTTAATTTTAGTTATAAAAAAATTTATATATTTATTATTAGATAATGAAAATATTTTTTGTGGCTCGTAATTTTTTTTTATATCGAAAGATTTTTTTATTAAATTTTGATGTGTTTTATTTTTTTTTATATCTTAAATTATTAATTGTTATTTATTATTATGAATTTATTATTATATCTATTAAAATTTGATGCGTTTTATTTTTTTTATATTTTGAATTATTGATTATTATTTATTGTTATGAATTTATTACTATATATTATTTTTGTGTTGTTCTATTTGCTCTAGACCCGATAACTTCCCCTTCTTCCATGTCCTCCATCGGTTCCTCTTGTTGCCAACAAAGCAACAATACCTGCACTCAATAGCATGGAACCTTGTGGAGGAGAAAAGGTGATAGATTTGAACACCATGGCTGAAATTCCAGAAGAGAAGGATCTGTTGAAGCAGCTCCAAGGTCCTCCCTCCAGGAGCGTTATAGCACCTCAGCCAAATCGACCATTGGGCTCCAGCATCAGTGTTGGGTCCATCGATGAGAACACAAGCCTAACTTCCCCAATGCAAGTTCCAAAGACACCAGAGGAGGTTGAAGAAGAGGTTGAGTCTGAGGCCTTGCCAGCAGTGATATCTGACTCAAACAGCAAAGTTAGACAGGCAAATTCTGCTTACAAAGAGATGGCGGGTCAACCAGAATGTCCCTGGCTCGATTCTATGGTAACAGGAAAGGAAAAGCCGGAAGCAACTCATGCAAGAGAATATGAGGGGAAGTGATGCTTCATCTATCTGATTCGAGGGTGCCAGTTAAATCAAACGGTTTTTCATGCTCGATGAGGATTGACAGGGGAAGTGAAGGGAAGAAGAGCTCAATCAAAGCTTTCTGTGATGTGATCAGATTATCATGTCAGTCAAAGGACTACCTCTTCACATGGAGGTTCCATACCTACAACAGGGAAGAATCTCAGTCTATCTCCAATGTTTGAAATTTGAAGTGTAAACAGCTGTTTTACTGCAAAATGCATCTGAGCTAGCCGGTAATATATGTATAGATGAGACATATATTTAGTGTATAGTGTAGAGTTTTTTTTCAGTATCTTTTGTGTAGCTATATATATAATATTACTCCATTTACTTTTTCAACATTGGATCTGGCTTTGTGCAATTTGTTCTAGCAACCCCAAAAAAAGGTTGAATAAGGGAAAATATTGGCAGAGCTAATTATCTGGACTTAAAACAAAGTTTTGCTGTTACTTAATTAACTGAAAAACAAAAAAAACAAAAAACAAAATAATAAAAAAAGTGCATATCTACCATAGGTCCAGGAATATGTTTCTTATTTAGTTGTTGGTTTTTGGTTGATATTTTTGAATATGTATGACATTTTGACTAGGCTATGCAACTAAGACTAATATGAGAAAGGAATTTCTGGAAAAGTAGGTAGTTGTTCAATGGAAGATGGTTTGTTGACTTTGTTCAGGGCGTAGACAGCAGTAGGAGCATCTGTGTTGTTTGATAAACAATCATTTTTGTGGATATCATCCAATTTATAATTTCAGCATAAAATGAGCGAGACTGGAGGCAATGCCTGAGGACCCTAACTGTGATAGTTGGTCCAATTTGGTTTGCAATTGCACTTGCTAATCTAATTTACAATGCATTTGACAGGCATAATTCGGGCTCCTTACAGGCCACCGTTTTTTCCGCATAAAAAGTTGTGTTTTAACTGAAGTGCTTGATAAATATTTCCGATCATGCCGATCGTGGATGATGGATACATAGGTTTTCTTAATTACAACTCAGTTTTGACTCGCTTCCAGCTCATAATTGCAGGGGATTTCTGTTGACATGAACATGGATTTTTATCATGTTAAATATGATGAAATTGGGGGCATAATCTGCCAAAGGGTCGGGGACTTGTCCTCCTATACTCCTCCAGTGTTCTGGACATCAGAACCTATGTTCATGAAGTCACCATTTTCTCCAGAGGAAGAATATATATATATGATAATCACATACATCTTCAGCCACTGGCAGCTGAGGATCACGTTTGTAGTCAACCTGCCGTGTCAGACATTCAGATGATTTCCTACATTATGCTCATCAACTCAAGTTACAAATTAACAGTTCCAGGCTTAGTAGGATCTGATGATCTCCAACATGAATGGAACATTTGGATTTGGGTTTCTTCAGGTCACGACCATTTTATTATTGACCTGAAACATATCAACCAAAATGGTTTCCTTCTTGATTCAATGAAGTTGCTGTAACGATAATCTACATTGTTGATGATAATTATGTACAGATTGATTTCTAACTTGGTGTCACGCATGCGCTGGCACCTGCACTTTATTTTTTGTTGAATAATAACTAAATCTTTGTGGCAGTGTGGTGCTTTGGCATTAATCGGAACAACACCAAGGATTCACAAAGTGTATACTGAAACTCAAATAGGTCTTGGCATCTCATTTGACTGCAAGATGCTGTACAAAATATTCAAATATAAATAACAAAAGACAACACACTTCAATTAGACCTATCAACAAATTTATGTCTTCGAGTCTTAAAACCATTCGAACTGAGAAAGCAGGACATATGAACCAGACAGAGACAGGGGAAAAAGAGAAGATAGCATAAATGGAAGAAAGGACCAAACATTAATGACAGAGTTTAAGATTCAGTAGCAATTTCTGTTGCATTAACTTTCTCCTTCTAGCGCTCGCCCTCAAGCTGGCTTAAGTTCCCCTTTTCCTTGATGAGTTGACCATGGTGGTGTTTGCAGTAAAGTCGGCCTTCATGTGCAATATAATTGGAAGGGCTGATTACACATCCTCCATGTGTGCATTTGAAACAACTCTTGTGGTAAGGAGTTCCATTCACCGTGACCTTGTGATAGAAGAAAACACATTTTTATAGTTAAGCTTGGTATAACACTGTGGTAACTGCTAATATGCAAAATGTTGGAATAGAAATCACAAATAGAAAGAAGCATTTGCTCATTTTTATTTTCTTCATGTATGAAAAGCTACAGCAAATTCTTACCCTCTCAGTTGGATACACAGTATTTTTACAGCCAAAGCATTTATCTCTGGTTCCAGCAAACATGCCCGACGCTTTAGTTGCTGCAGGTTTCTGTTCAAAGGAGCTTATAATCATGATTGATTACAAATATGGGAACTCAAACATAATCTGTAACATAAGCAGCCATGGAGTCTTCAATGAAATTACCTCGCCATCAACCGGTTTCTCTGGCTTTGCAATTTTTGGTGTACCTAGAAATGCGATTGAAATTGAAGGTGAAAATCAGCTAGATCTGGGCAAAAAAATACTACTTGGAGTCTATTTGAAATTCTGAAGTTGCAAACCTTCAAAGCTTTTGTCAAGACTGCCAGTTCTTTTGAAAAGTTGATCAAAATGAGGCCTGCAGTACAAAACTCCTTCGAAGGAATTGTAGTTGCCAAGCTGCAAATTGAAATGTACATGCCAATATGAATTTTTAGGAAAAAACTAATTATGTAAATTACAACTTTCCAGTCTTCCACAAACAATTTGAGATATGCCACTGAAGGTATAACATACCTAAAAAAAGGCAAAAGTTATCTTCCTAAACTAAGCAAAATGAATCAGATCGAAACAGATAAAAGTAGAAGAGATGTAGGCTGGGGGAAAATCTAGGCGCTCCAGGATTTTTTACAGTAAAAGATATTCGACAATACATTATGATTTTATGATTCTGTCTGATCTGATCTATAGTTTAATAGTTTCAAAATCCAGGAAAAAGCTGGCTTGACTTCCATTTTTGTTTTAAAAGAAGTTACACTGATTCAGTACTTTAGGTCACCTGACACAGTTATCAAGGTCTGAAAGAATGTAAAATTTGCTGCAAAGAATTGCCACATGTAGGAATTTCTTACTAAAGTAAAATTCCATAGCACTGCATGGCATCAATAAAGCTGGACTCTAGAGCATTACCTTCAAAGTTCCTTTGCAGTGATGGCACCTGAAACAGGCCTTGTGATATACCCGGTTGTCAGCAGTCAACTTATCAACCAGATAGACAGTCTTGTCACAGGCCATACATTTCTGGGTTGTTCCTGCAAAAGCCATGGTTTCAGCTCTCACCTCACCAAACAATTTTGCAAATCTAATGTGTTATACCCTTTCTTTTCTCTAGAAAGACTAATGGGAAGGAGATAAGAAGAGATAAGGAAAGGGAGGATGGAGAAATGGAGTTACAATGGATCGAATAGAGTGGAGACCAAAAGGAGTTGTATAATTGAAGTGTCCTTTTCCAAAATCATTTTTGTCCTACCTTGACCTAACTACCCTTGTCTCAAAATATTTTTGTATATCTCTGTCTAAAATGAATTTGAATTCTCTTTCAATAATCTACTTGTAGAGATAGACTGTTGCTTAAATATGCTTACTTGAATTACCTTAGTTGGAACGCCACATTATTGAAGTATTTGAAATTAGATTTGGTGAAATCCCACTGAAGGATACAAATTACCAAGTGATGTAAGCCATTGTTTTAGGTGAAGCCTTCAAAGCAGAGCTGTCCTGTCAGTAATTTTTCAATTCTAGACTTGCATTATGGAGCTGCTTTGCCTTAATTCACCCAGACATAAAAGCAATATAGGAGCCTTATTTGCTGGCTTTTATTTTTGTAATCTTGCTTGATTGCTTGGATCTGTTTTGGCCAATTTCTTCCACCAACGTCAAAATCAATCCCTCCCAAGAATATCTTTTCTGCTGCAATATTGAGGGCCATCCGATTATTAGATCTAAGTTGATAAAGAGGTGGGGACCATAACGGCTAATATCTTGCAATTAATTTGATTTCTTTCTCATACTAAATTTCACATTGATTAAAAAAAGAAAACCATTGCTAACTGCTCTGCTTGACCTCCTATTTTATTTGTATTTGTATTTGTAGTTGTCATGCAAACAATAGGAGAAAGGGTGGAGAAATGGTAAAGAAGTAAAGCTTCTGCTGCTTCAGTAAAGCAGTAAAGCAACCTCTATATCTCTGGGTTGGTGAAAAAACTTGGCTTTTGCTTCAAGAGTTTGGGTCCCCAGGGCTTTGAAATGCCAGCCCACCTGTCCTGCCTTAACCTCAAAAATATAAAGAGTTTCTCTACGTTTTCTTCATTTGGAAGCATTAAGATAGTTTCAACTTCCAACAACTCATCAAACAGACAGGAAAATTTACTGAATTGTCAGCAGATAGAGGCACAAAGCTTTTGTACCCCAAACAACTGTTGCATGTAATGTAATAATGTTGGCTAAGATGGCACATGAGACTGAAATGATGGAAGTTGGAAGGTAACTCTCGACAAAGACCAAAATCAAACAAAAGAAAAAGAACAACTACATTAATTGAAAATCAAACAATGTCTTTACAGCTTTCCCTCATCAGTCATCTCGCTATGCCCCACGGTCACTCGGAACTAACATCTCGCCTAATTAACAAATCTCATTTTTAATGAATATTTAACTATAAAAAGAAAAAATTATATTAAATAAATATTTTTCAAAGGAGCACATTAATTAGTGTTTATAGTAATTAACAAAATCCCATTTTTAATGAATATCTATTTTATTTTCTGTCCAAGCTTCAAAGCGGGCGCTTGGTCTAGTGGTATGATTCTCGCTTTGGGTGCGAGAGGTCCCGAGTTCGATTCTCGGAGCGCCCCATTTTTTTATTGCTCCTACAAGGCTGTTGGGCTTTCTTTTCTGGATCATTCTACTCTTCTTGGTTCACCATCTGTTTCTATGTCAAACGGTTACACTGTAACCTGTGGAAACTGAAGCAACTTTCAACTTGGAAACTCTCTTCGTCTAAAAGTCTACACCAAAGTGAAAAGCTTCAACAAACATCTAGACCAGGATAAATGAAATCTCCTTGATTTCTTTTAGAGCATGTTTGATTCGAGCAAACTAATTAATTTGGTGTTCTACAGCAATTTGCTGAAACTATTTGGTTTAAATCCAACAGTTTATGCTCCCAAATTTTGAGCTCTTCTCTGTCATCTGAATTCTTCTTGCATTATTTTATAGTTTTTTTTTAGATTTGCTGTTAATTGGATTCTCCTTTCAGGATAAAGAGAGTGTTCGTAATCTTGTGAAGCTTATTGACAAGAGCAGTGGATACATATTTGCTGGTATAGATGCCAGTGGAATTCACCAAGATTGTAGTATGACAAGTTGTTGGGATTCTTACAAATATCCTTTTATCTAGTGTATGTATGCTCTTATTCATGTGGCTTCCGAGAATCTACCAAACATGCACTGTCATATATCTTAGACCTAGAAACTATGCTATCAATTCTTATTAACAATTCAGTTTGTCACATTTCAAGTTGTGAAATCTCACGGCTATGTCATTCTCTGGACGTTTTTGGTCCTGAGATAAATTCAAGCTCTACCAAAGTTGTTAATGTATCAATTTAATGATGGTTTCGTATGCTTCTCTTAAAAAATCAGTTCACAGCTGCAGCAGTGCAAGAGAAGTACATGAAGGATGATGAAGGTGATGATTGACAGTGCTTTTTGGTGAGACAATGGTGTGCCTAATTGCCTAAGGTGAGCTAGTTGCTAACTTGAATCTACATTCCCATTTGTTTTATTCATGTTTATATGTCCTTTTTTATGCATTCGGACTTGGTAATCTCAGTTTTATACATATGGCTTTTGATTTTCTTATTATAGCTCTTGTAGTCTTCACCTACAAACAAAAAGTGAGATAGAATGATCAAGAGGATATACTGAACGCGGAGAGCTGGTTTTCTTATGCAATAAACGTATGCTCACACGATTCTTTTCCTTTCTTTTCCTTTCTTTTACCTGTGGATCTTCCAAACAAGCGTTTTGACAGAGACAGTGGTGAAACCGAAGTCAATAAAAGTAAGCCGTATGTACGTGTTCTAGTTTGATTTTGATTTTTGAGTTTCTTGGAGTTTGCTGCATTTACATTGCCTTTGCCCAGGATATTCTAAACCAAGTTTCAAAGCAAAAGGTTTCTCTACTCTTTTATGCCAGCTGAATATTATAAATATGATGACTATATATAACCGTGTTGAAATATATTTTTTATGGAAACTCATTTCCCTCACGAAATATATTTTTATCTTTTGGGCTGTCTATGGATTTGAACTCAAGACTTTTAATTCTGAGTCGATTCCAATGAGTTAATAATTCATTGGTTCAATTAATTATTTTTGGATAGTATATAAGTGCGAGAAAAACGGGATGATTTTATACTCGTAGAATTCTTTTATTTTTGTCTGGTCTTTTATCAATAAAATCCAAATTTAAGAATTTTTTTAGATGAGCTTGAAAATAAAGATAATGATAAGATTAATTATTATAACGATAAAATTAAAATTAATTGTGAGATATATGTTTAAATGCAAACGTAATGAAGATGATAAAATAAAATGTAATAAAAAATTTTAATATAATTAAATTTTAAATATAATAAAAATTTTTAAAAAAGTTTTTTGAAAATTTATTTATTATATTAAATTAATAAAATTACTTGAAATTTTTTAACTAAAAAACAAAATGAGAAAATTGAAAAAAAAATATAAGTTAAAGTACGAGAGATATTTTTATCTTTACACTATAATTTTAAAAGTTAAAAAAAAAAAAAAAAGTAAGGTCAAAAATGAAAAAATGAAGTGCCGTGGGAGGGTGAGAGGGGAGATTCTCCTTTGGAGACGTGGAGTCTTCTCTTCCAATTTAAGGATATCAATGAATAAGATATTGATAAGGTAGAGTATTTTTTATTTTCATCTTCGAATATTTATATTATATATTTTTTTATATTTATATCTAATAAATATTTTAAATTTATTTTTATTTTTATTTTTATGGGTATTTAATAGATTTTGGTAATATTCATACTTGTAAATTTTAAAAAGAAAGTAAAAACTAAAATTTATTTTTTATTATTTTTTATTTTATCTAGTATATTTAGGTAATTTTTGTATTAATATATATTTTTTCAATAAAAATATATTAATTATAATTAATCTAAAATAATAATTCATATTATTTAATAAAAATTTTATTTACTAAATATATATATAATACAGATACAAGATGAATATTTTATTACTTGTTTTTATTTTAATATCGAGTAAAAATTTAAAATCATCAATATTTTTATTTTGATATCCATAATATAATATTTATTTTCATTCTCATTCAAATAAAAAATCAAAATTTTCATAAAATATTAATAAGATTGATTTTCCTACTACGATTCAAATTTTCAGTCCAATTGATGCAAACACATTGTACTGATGTTATCCAAATGGCTTTACTAGTGTGAAATGAGGTAAAAAGCATGTTATTCATGCCGGACTGATGCTACGATCTGAGGTAAAAAGCATGTTATTCATGCCGCATGATGCTACGATCAGATCCAAATGGAGCCTAAACATTTCAAGGCTTGAAAATTGAAATTCGAAGTCCCTGATTGTGAATTGAAGAAACACCAAGCTTTGCCACCCACGTTTTTCTTACATAATTAGTTTCACTTAATTTTACTTCTAATGAAGCAGACATTTGATAGCAACCACAGTTAGAGTTAGGGATAAGCCAGGTATACATATATATATATATATGATACATTGTCCAACAGGTACAAGACATTCATTGCAAAAGTTGTCTGTTAGTTCCGAAGAAATATTTTCTCGGAAACTTCACTTAGGGGAACCATCAATTCATCACAGTTTTGTCCTTTTGTTTTGACTCTTCTTCCAAGAGCACTTTGTTTTTATCAGAATAGATTTTTTTTTTTTTATCCTGAATTTGCTGAAATTCCTTATGTAATTGGCATTTGTAGCTCATTGGCGACATGGTCTTCATTGTTGATCCTTTTGAACTTTTGTCTTTATTTTACTGATTGGATTCTTGATTCAGTCTTTAAAACAAAAAAAAAACTCCAAATAGATATTCTTTTGTTGAATAATAGCAAGAAAATCCAAACATTGCGAAATTGGTGATGCCATATACAAATCAAATCAGGAATATTTACAATTACTTATCATCAATTCATCATTCAAACACTCTTATCGTGTTTATTCTCAATGGTTTGCTTTCTTTTTTTCGTCAAATAAAATATTTCTCTATTGCACAAAAAAAAAAAAAACAATTTCTCCATTTTGAGACAAAGATGAAATGAATCCCAAATTCTCTTGATTAATGGAGTTATACAAAAGGAGCAAGAATAAGATGAAAATATATGAAAATCCCAAGTTTGAGTTACAGTGTTGTTTATTGTGCTAAATACTTAAGTACGATTTAAAGTGATATTCTGCTTTGTGTTTTTAACTCGAGAATTATAACTGTGAGTAAGTTTCAAATACATGTTATTTTCAAGAATAAAATGATCCTAAGAAACTAAGAGGAAGAAAATTACTTAAATCAACCAGGTAATTAATTATATCATAGAAAATATTAGTATAAGATTTACCGAGACAAGCAGATCTACAGATTCAGATCATTTGGAAGACAGAATTGAATCCAGGTGCTGAATGTTTACCCCGTCCAATTTTTCACCTAGCCAAACAATCCGGATGACTTTTCAAATTTCAACTCTCAATAATTCTTGAGGGTTTCATCTAGAAAGTGTTTACTTGATAATTAAAGTACAGATGTTTATATAAAATAATTCCATTATTATTGCATCAATCTTGGGATGATAAGTCAATGTTCAAGCCCTCTCCTCCAAGCAATAGTATGTTAATAAAACTTTAGGTCAAAATACAGAAATCCGTGAGGAAACTTCTATTAATCGTGGGAATTTCTTGTTTTTGTTTTTTTAAATCATTAAATTTGACTTTGTTGATTTGGATCCAGTCTTGTCAGAAGACTCTTTATTAAATCCTGTGGCTCTGCTTTTCTCTGTATTAATCAAAACTTACCAAATCCAAAGTCCTGAAAACAATTTTCTCCAAAACTCACTTTCAGATGTTTCAGCCTTTTATCTGTGGCGCTTTCAATCATCAAGAAGAAGATGATCATGAGCTTTGGAGCAGCCCTAATTCTACACCAAGAAAATCAAGAAGAAACAGCTTTTGTAAGAGACAAAACAAGGATAACAAGAACCCTTACTCGAATCTTGGCCTTGACAAGTTTTCTGCACTCTTAGCTGAACTTGAAGAGAAGAAGCAAAAGATTTACTCACAAACAGGTTCACAAGATATATCATTCGTTCGTTTTGTGTACAAGAACTCGACAGATTGTGTCCCAATCGTGGTAAAGCTCAAAGACGAAAACGAAGAAGAGAAAAAGAAACCTGTTGATACCAAAGATCATCAGCCTGGAATGAATACCGATTCAGAAGTCTTGGATAAGCACCCAATCGAAACCTTAAATGAAGGGAAAGAAGTAATCAAGAAGATATCAAGATTGCAAGCAGTTAGTGAAAAGACTGAGAAGAAGAAGAAGAGCTTTTCATGGAATATGAAGTTGCATAAATGGAGGCGTCCTTCTTATTATTTACCAGCATTTCTATTCTTGATTTTGTTGTTGTTGGTTTTTTTCGGAAGATCAGTTTCAATATTGCTTACTTGTATTGGATGGTATATAGTTCCTACAATAAAAGGCAAGAGTTCTGACAAGGTAAGAAGATCAGTGAAGAAGAAAGATTATGTCAGAAAACTGAGTGAAAACCAATCCGGAACTGTCCGAGACAAGTCATCCCCGGTACGTGATCATCATCGGAAAAGCTGATCAAGAAGATTATCTGATCATCTTTTTTAATTCTTGTGTTAATAAATGTATTTTTTGTTGTTATTGTTGTTGTGTTTAGGGATAGATTGAGGAATTCATTCACTTTGTCATGTTAAACAGTGTAAATACTTGTCTGTAAGTTGAATTAGAATAGAAAGAATTCCAATTCAGGTTGCTTTATATGACATTTTCTTGGTCATGAAACGTGATTATGGGAATTCCAAATGTTGATTTTGAATATTCCACAAATTTTCTCTTATATTCACAACATGTATCTTCTATTCTTGTTTACCTTAGTGGTACTGTGTTAACCATACCCACATCCAAGAAAAATTTTAAAACTTCTTAAGATAATTTTTTCGAATTTTTTGGTCAGAAAACTGATTTAGATCTGGTACTGTGGAACACCAAACAGCTGATTAAAACATAAGCAGAAGCGGCCTAAAATTAAGAAGGCAAGCAGTATCTTCAGACTTCAGCACCCCCAACATCCCCACCACTTGCTTAAATATTAAATTCAACATGGCCTAACAATGAGGTGATTACTGATTAAAACCCAAACCCAAACCCAAAACCAAACCCAAACTAATGATTATATCGTTAGTCTAATGTTTAAGCATTATCCTTTTTGGGTTTCCTGCGTGTCAACACAGCAATCCACGAGTCAATGGAGGCTCGATGCTATTGCCGGTTATATAGTCTACGTCTCTTTCTCCTTCATCTCATTTTTTCTCTTCAGATTGGTCGGAAATTTGAATACTCAACGCAGCAAAAGAAGATTTCGTAAAATTAACCATGTTTCTGCTTAAAGGCCAGCACACGACATCAAGCAGCTTAATTGCAAAAAGCTTGAAATCCCCGACAGGATCAATAGAGATGGATCCTGGAATCTGGAGCAAGCTACCACCGGAACTTCTCGAGCACATACTCTCCTTTTTGCCTCTTAAAACGTTCTTGAATTTGAGGTCAACTTGTAAGCATTTCAAGTCTCTTGTATTCTCTCCTTCTTTTATGTCTAAATACTCCTCTGGCTCTCCTTTCTCTTCTTTTTTGTTGCTTTCTCATCCCCAGTGCTACAGTCATTTTCCTCTCTATGACACCATCCTTGGGGCTTGGCGCAACTTAGCACTTCCCTTCTCTTTCCTGCCTTCTGATACCGCTCAGTTTAATCTTATTTCATCATCGAATGGACTTTTCTGCTTCTCTCTCCCAAATTCATGTTCTTTCCTTGTATGCAATCTCTTAGCCAAATCCTCCAGGGTTATTCAATTCCCTTTCTTCCCTTTTGCTTTTGAGCTGCTCACTTTGGTTTCTACGCCGGATGGATATAAAATACTCATGTTTTGCTCTAAATTTTCTTCCAATTATGCTTTTGTGTATGACTCAAAGGTTCATTCTTGGAGAAGATATGATAGTTTTCAACCGCTCCTCATTGACAATTGCCATCAGGAAGGCGCATACTTCAAGGGGTCTTTGTATTTCACTACCCCAGAACCGTTTTCTATAGCGTGCTTTGATCTGGAAAATGGAAAATGGGAGATACTCAACACTGAAATGCCAGGTGAGCTTACGTTTGTGAGGCTGGTGAGTGATACTGATGAAGGCAAGTTGTATTTGGTTGGGGGAATTGGAAGGAATGGAATTTCAAGGAGCATGAGATTGTGGGAATTGGGTAACGGAGGGAACTGGGAGGAAATGGAAAGATTGCCAGAATTGATGTGCAGGAAATTTATGTCTATCTGTTACCACAACTATGAGCATGTTTATTGCCTTTGGCATCAGGGAATGATCTGTGTTTGCTGCCACACATGGCCAGAGATTTTGTATTACAAGATTTCAAGGAGGACTTGGCATTGGTTACCCAAATGTCCTTCAGTTCCGGACAGGCGGAGCTGTGGCTTCAGGTGGTTCTCTTTTGTTCCAGGGTTATACGCTTTGGCTTGAATAACTTGTTATCATGCCTCAGTTACTGTTTTTTCTTGTTTACATTGGAATCAGAAAAGGAAAAGAGTGTATTTTAACTCCCCCCCCCCCCCCCTCTTCATCAATCTGTTTCAATTGATATTTCTCGTTCTGTTTGTCAAATCGAAGTCAGTGTCGTTAGTTTATGTACTATTAGACCAACAAGAGATTTGTGTTTGAGGCTTTGAGAAGTTAAATTTAGTTCATTGCATTTTCAGAATTATAACTGATACTGATGAATTCGGAGAAAACTGTAGTGTAATACAAATGATTGGATCTGCTGTCTCCGTTCGACCACTCATTTACCTTGTAGATGCTACTAGAACTATGAGTTATTTCATTGAGTTCAAAGTTGCCCTTTCCTGTTAAGGAAAATGGAGACAAAGGCCCACAAATCTTCGCATTTTTTTAATGAATATCCAATAGGCACTGGCTGCTCAAAGTCAACTGTTATTAGTTTTTTTTTTTTTCTTTTTCCTCGGAAGCTATAAATGCTAAGATTTTTACTTAACTGAAAACAAAAAAAAATACCGACAACTACAATAACAACAAAAAACAAAATCTCGCGAAGCAGCAATACCACTTCTATCTGAATTGTGAAACAGACTCTGTAGTCCCGCTAAAGCCGACCAGTTTGATTGTAAGGCAACTCCTGCTTTAAAACACTCAAATGTAAAGCTTTTATAGAGCATTAAAATTCAAAGTCGAAGCATTGAGTCTAACAATGTAATATCCTTTGATGCATTCCGTGACACTAATTATTAGAGAAAAAGGGTATAGACCATGGATGACACTGCACATTAAAAGATAAGGTGCTAAAACTGGATCAATAACCATCACCACCTCAACTGAGAGGACGCAAATAAAAGGAGAAAAACTACTAGAGCAAATAGTGGATCGGACCAAAATATAATATCAACTAATGTACCTAAATTTATAGTAGATCGAACCCTCACCCCCAAATTGACAGCAAAATAGTACAGATTCATCTCCAAAACTAGGTTTCAAATATTACAGGTACAGCCCCTATATGAAAATTTCTAAGGCTTGAGCTGTTTTGGCTGGATCAACCCAATCGACCAGAAAAGGAAAAAAATATGCCACTTTCATAGAAATTCATCACAAGAAGCATATTCACTTAATATGAGTACTAAATTTACTAAAAAAAGTGTAGAAATTGAAGATTGTGAAAAAAAAAAAATGAAAACAGTTTATTAAAGGTACTCAAATTCCATTTTCAATCACTATCAAGATGCCTATATGAAAGTGACTAGAAAGGAAATCAAGATATTTTATCAATCCCATTGTTTGTTCCTAAAGTCAATATAACCGTTCAAGGCTTTAGAGAAAGAGCCAAACCAAACTTAGGAGTCTTCTCCAAAGCCTTTGTGTTAAAGGCCCCAGATATTGTAAGGAAGGACTTCGGCCTGAGCTCATGCTGTACAAGAGCACCAAGATTGCCGTGGTTGTTAAGCTTTGCCTTCACCAGTGTGTGTGGATCAACAAGATATGAACATCCCACCGTTAATGTGTTTTCATTTGTGGAGAACTTTCTAGCAATCTCACCTACGAGAGCTCCACCATTCAGCTGGTTTAGATGGTGCAAATATGACACCCTTAAGGAGTCTCCCTTGTCAGCACTGCAAAAAATGATACGGACAACCACTGATTATGGTTTTATTATGACCATCTAAAATATAATGCCCTGTGGGGGAAAAACAGGAAAGACAATTTCCATTATTTGGTTGTATTTTGATGCTTTGCTGCAATGAAGCAACATCATATTTTTAATTTGTTTGATATTTATAAAACAAAGGTATCAACCTCTATATGCAATATTTTATTCTACCTTTCTATATGCTGGAAGTAAATTGCTGTAAGTTTTGAATATAACTGCTAGTGAAAACTGAAAAGCTTACAGGATCACTGAAGCATTAGAATCAGGTTTTGTCACGTTCACTCCAGCATTATACTTTGTAAATTCACCAGAAGATGCCATGTAACTTGCCTCTGCACCAAAAGCAATGCTGGGAGTACCCATGGTTGCAGAAAAGTCAACAGATGGGGATTTTTTTATCCCAACAGCTGTAGTCAGAGCTGCATGTTCATGAAAATACTGAACCTCCAACTGCAAAAAAAAAGATTATACAGTTAAAAATATTTGTCTACATTTATCATTCCATGATAAGTAAGCCAGTACCTTCCCAGAGTTATAATCAGGCAGTTTAACAGAAGCCACAGTTTTTGCAGATGGAAGTAAATCAGTGATGGTGAAGGTTGTCAAGATCTGCTCAACACATAAACTAATATTAGCAGGAACGCAAACTGAATTTAGGTTTCAAAAGATAAGGTTGGCAACAACATTTGACTCTGTATCAAGCTTGACATCAACTACAGCATTCTTGTGCTTATATTGTACTGCCACATCCCCAGAGGAGAGACCTCCCTTATTCACAAGATTTGATACAAGTGCCTGAAGATGAAGAAATCACATTAATATTTGCCATCAATAGAGAATGACATAACAGCCGAATAAATAGGACAGAACTAGAAAAATAGTAAATCCAAAATAAGTTCAATTTCTCAAGGGATGAAGGAAGATACACCTATGCGGCTATGGCTGCAGGGCAGAACCACCCAGGCAGGGTAAACAACTAAGTACAGAGAGAATAAAATTTTTGATCTCCTAACACAAAAAGATAACTAAAAAAAGCATAACATAAAGAGAAGGAAACAACAATTTCAAAGGAACAGTAAATCAAACTAATTTTTCTGACCAAAGTTACAACTCAGCCAAGCAATTAAACCTCAATTCTATATAGTGAGCGTTGAAGTACTTTTTTGCAGAAGGTCAAGACATGCAATATTAAGTGACCTCAAACCCTCTTAGTTCTATATACTTTTTTTTTTGGCCAATCTTTGTTCTTCATACTCAATCAAGTCAATGAACAAAATTTATTAAGACAACTGGTTAGAAACTTAGAGTCATGACCAGTGACATTCAAATGCTAGGACAAAAAATTATTATTTCTTGTTCCTTCTCCCAAACCTCCCCAAAAGAAAATCTACTTTAAAGAAACATGTAGTTTATGTCAATGCATTTGTATTGAGAAGTGACCAGAACTGAAAGTACAGGCCCTGAGATCAAACCAAAACATTATAGCCAAGTAAATTCACTCTACTGCAAAAAACAGAGTAGCAATTCCAATATTAACTTAGGTTCCTCCTTTTAAACCAGAAAATTAGAAATGCAAAACATACAATGCCAAATTGATAAAAAAAAAAAAAAATGAAGCAACCGAACAACCATAAACTGAAAAACTAGTTGCCCTCTAGCCAATCTTATGTGCTTTCTTAGCATCAACAATAATATGACAGAACGATGCAACAGACCAAGACTTCAAACCCAGAAAACAAATTCAGTAAAAACAATCAGAATATAAATCAGAAACAGTAAATCAAGACAGATTATTTAAAAGAATGACAACCATCATCCAAAAATGAAACAACCGGAGATCACTTCATTAATTACAATTAGCAATTAAAAAAAAAAGATAAAAAGAAGAAAAAGATTACCACTCCAGTGTAGCTGAAGCTAGAGATGGTGAACTTTTGGTCGGAAGTGTAGTCTTTGTCGAGTAAATCTGGCAAAGTAAGAAGCAAAATGGTTATAAAATAGTGGAAATTTAAAACTATTCAAATATGTGTAGAGTGCCAAGAAAGGGGATAAGATACCTTTGGCTTCTTTGCCAAAATCGGAGAAGAGCTCAGGACCTTTGCTCATGTTTTGAACTCTGAAAGTGAGAGAAACAAAAACGTAGCTTGCGTAAGAAAAGGACAGAGGTTTTACATAAACCCTATTTTTCTTTTTGGGTTTTAGGGAGTTTAAATAAATTAAAAAAAAAAAAAAAAAAAAAAACGAAATTTCTTGTCATGCAAGAACTCAGAGACCAAATTAAACGACATCGCTCCAAGAATTTTGCTGCACGGCCTCGACCCACGAGGATCGACATCCAGCGGGTAATCCGCAAAAAAGACAAATTTGGTCCCTTCAAAAATGTTGTCCAGTTGTTTCTAGTTTTGGGAGAATTGGGCTATCAGCCCATATAAATAACTCGCAATAAATGCCATTAAGTAGTAATATTGGGCTATTAGCTCTGTTGAGTCAACAATTTGTAAATTCGGTTGGCGAACAAATTTTTCAAGTTAAATTTTTTTTATAAGCTATTATACAATATATAAAAGCTATCCCTCTTCAATTTGATGCCAATTCATCAATTTTACTATTCATTTTAAATACAAAATCAATGAACTTCATCGCCACACCAATTATGTTAAATATAATTATTAATTATGATCTTTTTTTTTTATCTTCAAACTGATTTGTGTGACAATATTTTCTTTTATTTTAAAAATATAAATTATTTATATTTTTTAATAGTAAATGTATATATATTTTACTTATAAATTTGGATTTCATTCTTATTAAAAAATTATAATTGATTAACAAAATATGTATATTCTTTCAAATTGATATAATTACTATTAAATAAAAATTTAAATTAAAAAAAGATCTCGTAACAAGCAAACAACTTGTCAATGAAGCAACTCAAAATTAGATTGTTTGTATATACAGTATAGAAGATTTGGTTTAGGAGAAAATAAATTAAATGTCGGTAAGTATTGTAACGTCAACTATCTATTGAAGTATTTAATTAAATAATTAAAGCTATGTTTAGTGTATAGGATGATGAATAAAATAAGATGATAATTATTATATATTATATTTAATTTATATATAAAAAATATTATAAAGAGAATTAATTTTTTTCTTGATATAAAATAATTTAATCATCTTTAAGTGAAAATAATTATTTTTAAATCATAGAATTAAATTTACATATTTTATTATATAATTAAAATTATATTAATAATTTAAATTATATAAATTTTAAAAAATAATAATTTTAACTAATAAATAAATTATTTTATCTTAATTTTATATATATCAAATATAAAATAAAATAATATTATTTAATCTAATTATATTAATAATATCATTTTATCTTATTTTATTATAATAAAAATTGAAAATTTTCATACCATTTAGTAAATTTTAATTATTATGTTGAAAGTTTCACAATAAAAGCTCTTACACCACGTAGTTGGATTGATTTTTCTGAAGGCTTCATTATACTTGTCGATATTACGATTAAGCCTTTCTATTGTTTGCAATCAAAAGCTATGATTAATCTCCAACACTAACGTTGAAAAGAAGGGAAAAGAAAGCATACTCCGACAACTTTCATACAGAGTTAGGATTTGGTTGGAGAAGTACGGACAGACTTTGCGGTTTTCAGACTTGAAAATTCCAACCTAGACCGTGTGACGACCGTGTGACGACTATATGCAAATCGCGTTTCCCGTTTCCACAACAAGGAATTGAAAAAGTGCATCCAATCACAACATTCAAAGTCTACTTCAACCGGTACTTTCTTTGAAAAAAATTTTTTTTTAATTATTTAAGTGATTTTGATTTTTATGAAATTTAAAAAATTAATTTTAATATGTTTAATATTAAAATTTAAATTTTTTATAAAATTAATTTTTATTATTTTTAAGATAAAAATAAAAAATTTAAATATTAAAAAAAATTAAAAGAAATAATCTTTTATAGACCTAACAAATTATATCATTATATGATATAAAATATTATATTTATATTATATTTTATATAAAAATAACATGTTATAATTCGTATTAATACGAAAATATAAAATATAATTTTTAAATTTCATTAAATTTTTTTAAGTTTAAATTATATTATTTTTATGTTATAATTCCTATTAATAAAAAATATAAAATATAATTTTTAAATTTTATTAAATTTATTTATAATTTTTTTTAATTTTAAATTATATTATTGTGTAATATTTTAAATTAATAACTCTAATCTCTTGAATTATCATGGACCAAGCAGTGACTTCCGATAACTATTTTATTAGTCCTATCTCTAGATATAGCTATACAAGACTACTAACAAATCGTTGACGTGGTTCAATGTTAGGAAAACAAACGAAATTGGAATTCCAACAAAAAAGTTTGAGGAGACAATCGATATTTGAATCTCATTATTTATATATTTTTTTTTTGTATAAAAAGATTATTAATTGATTGGTTTTATATGTAGGCAAATTGTCATTAAAACAGCCAATAAAAATTTTATTAGTTTACAAGGCAGATTAAAGGTATACGGACCAATTAAGTTCTATTCCATACTTTGCATATCATTTTTTTTATTTATTTTTTAAGGAAGTTTCAATTTATATGTTTCTTATCTAAAATAAACAATAAATATATTTAAATTCTTAAATTTATTTATTTATATTTATTATCAATTAATATCATTATACAAAGTCCAATAAAGCAATCATAATGAGCCAAATGCCAATGCCAAATACTTTGCAAAAAAGTAAAATTTTGTTTGAAAGTAATTGACACCAATTATCATATATTTTACTAGTGCAGAAATAAATGAAGTTGAGCTTTTAGATTTTGAAAAAAAATATATTAAAAAAAAAAAATTTTTTAAGTTTGTGTAAATTTTTAATGGATAAACATTGAGGAACAGGAGAGTGTTTATAATCTTATAACAATAGACTTTTATTAGTTGAGTGTTGCTGAATGTACTTTCATTTGATTTTTTTTATCTTAATATTTTAAAAGTGAAATTATTTTTATTATTATTTTTATAATTTTTAAACGTTTTATAAATGTTAAAAAAAATATTTTCAAAAATTTTTTTTGGATAAATTTAGAATCTTCAAGAATTTATTTTTGAAAAATTATATTATTTTTTGAAAATTTATTTTTTAAAAAGTTTATAATTTTTCAAAAGTTTATTTTTAAAAATTTATAAAAAAATTAAAAAAATAAAATGTAAAGAGCAAAAATTAAAGTGCATTTAATAGCATTGATGTCTGATGTCAATAGTTCCTGTTATGTTTAGTAGGTAGTACAGCTACTAAGTAAAGAAAATGTCCTAGCGCTTCAACCTTTTTTCATTGAGTGGATCATGTACTAAGCTAAAAAATTTATTCCCACCAATGGCTCCACAGTCCCGAATAGAATAATCAGACTCAAGTTCATCACAGCCAGTCTCCAAAGAGAAAGGAGAAAAACTACCATCCACAACCACAAAAAACAAGTTTTTTTGTCTAGACATAGCCCACAAAATTGGAATGCAGTAAAATTCGAACAGGGACTTGAAAATTTCTATATATTTTAAGTTTCTAAACCCATCTAGACAAAGCATTACAGGATTTCTAGTGATAGGGACGTGGCTCCTTGGTTCTGTCCAAGTGTCCATTACTATATTTTATTTTTATGGTATGTACCGCTACTCGCTCCTTGTTTTACTCAATGGCTAGTTATATATAAGTTGCCCACTTCCACAATCATTAAACAAAAGAAATATATAATTCATTTTGAAACTTAGAAAACGAGAGCCGAGGCTTCGCATGAACAGCGTGGCCTGATCTGTACTGAACTACTGATACCGCATGATTGATGCGAGCAGAGACGTAGATAATGACTAAAGAGAGTCAAACAGTGAGTTGAATGAATATTAGTTTTGATGCCTCCAATTATTATTCTACAATGTGGTAAAAATAATTTTGGACTGTGGCCCTGTCTGGCCCTTTTTGCTTCACCCCTGGATGTGCATCCAATCTGCATTGGTGAGTGGCGACTGGCGTAAAAAAAGAATAAAAGCAAAAATATCTCTATATTATAAATTTTGTGTTAGTTTAATATTAAAGAAGTAAAATTACGTGGCAGCATGTGAAGGAAGGGAAGTACTGAAACGTGCCTTTATCATAGTCCTGAAAAACTTCCTCCATATTATATCCATCAGTTAATCTTTCATAATCGCCGCCACTGTTTGGATCAGTTGGTATGCATAGTATTAGAATTAAAGTTCGCGTTCGAAAGTTGTGAGTTACAATAATTTATTTGTATAAATTTTAAATATAAAAATTTAGGAGTAAATAATAAATTTGGAATTAAAAAAAAAAAAATCGCGGATGAGAGACAAAGAATAAGAGAAATTCGATAAAAACCCTTTATCGAATAACGAACCTTCTACGCACGCGCTTAAAAAGGGAGACCATTCGCACATGCTTAACCCAGGCTAAGGATTTTTTGGTAGGGTCAAAATCGGGCACGTGTCACCCCAAACCTCACTGCAAGAATCCAGGCGTAGCGCCCTCTTTATATTCTCCCCTATCTCTCTCTCTGCCACTATTTTTGAGCCCTTTTCAAGTAACCCGAATATGCTTCAGTTTGGATCCGGTTAACCCGATTTCAAAACCGTCCTGAATTGTGGTCTCTGATTCATTACGGTTGAGATTTTGATGCAGTGGCAGCGTTGTGATTCGGCTATGCAGACAGAGAATCCGGTGAATTACACGTATATGGATAGGAGCTTTAATCAATCGAGTATCAACCATGATTCTGCAGCTTTCAGTGATTGTAACAGCGATAGATCCGGGGAGTTCCCTACGGCATCGTCTCAGAGTCGGCAGTGGTTACGAGCCTGTGCTAATTCAGAGAATTCGGATGAGTTGATAACGCAACTCGTATCGAATCTCGATTCCTTTTCGATTGACGAGCGAAAGCAAGCGGCTTTGGAGCTTAGACTATTGGCAAAGAACAAACCGGAGAATCGAATCAAGATCGCTAAAGCCGGCGCGATTAAGCCGTTGATTTCGTTAATCTCATCCTCTGATCTGTATCTTCAAGAAAACGGGGTGACGGCAATTTTGAATCTCACTTTATGCGACGAGAACAAAGAACTTATAGCTTCATCGGGAGCGATTAAGCCACTGGTTAGAGCTTTGAAAACGGGAACCTCAACGGCTAAAGAAAACGCGGCTTGTGCTTTGCTTCGGCTATCTCAGATAGAAGAAAACAAGGTCGGGATCGGACGGTCGGGAGCGATTCCACTTTTAGTTACTCTTCTCGAGAACGGAGGAATTCGCGGGAAAAAGGACGCATCGACGGCCCTGTATTCATTATGTACCGTTAGAGAGAACAAGCTCAAGGCCGTTGAAGCGGGGATCATGAAACCACTAGTGGAATTAATGGCTGACTTGGGTTCGAACATGGTTGACAAGTCAGCGTTCGTTTTGAGCGTGTTGGTATCAGTACCGGAAGCCAGAACGGCCTTAGTTGAAGAAGGAGGGATTCCCGTGTTGGTGGAAATCGTTGAAGTTGGATCACAAAGGCAAAAGGAAATCGCCGTAGCCATCCTCTTACAGATTTGCGAGGACAGTGTGGTGTACCGTACTATGGTGGCCCGTGAAGGAGCGATTCCTCCCTTAGTAGCTCTTTCTCAGTCAGGCAGCAACCGCTCCAGGCAAAAGGTAAGTTTACTGGTAACAGTAGTACTACGTTTGGCTCAAAGAGAGAGGGGGAGTGAATTCCGGTTGGTTAGTCCTCGTTGGCTGACGTGGCATGGCAATTTTTAAAAATATTTTTGTTGCAACAGCAGAAAAAGTGTAGGATGATTTGCCAAGTCAGTAAAAAACTTTCTCCCTTCTATTTTGGTTAATGAAAAAAACCCATGCACAAACCAAAACTTTTTTTTTCAATCAAACTTGTTAATTGATTTCAGTATTAATCGATACAGTTCAATTATATTAATATATAATCTATTTAAAGGTAATTTTTTATCAAATTTAATATAAAATAATATTGATTGATTTTGTTAATTTTGATGAATTAAATTGTTTCAGATAAATATAAAATATATTTTATAATTTATAATTTTTTTATAATTTAATAAAAATAAAATTAATTAATAAAATAATTATTAAAAGTTTGATTGGTCTGATTTTTATTACAATTTATTGTTTTTAAACTAATATTGTAAGTATTTTAATTTTTTTCAAAAAAAGTATTTGTATTTTTTCTCTAAAATTTAACAATCTTAAAATCAAGATTATTTTTTTATTTCTTTGTTTTTATTTTAAAATATTTTTATATAAAAAATAAAATAATTATTTAAATATTATATGATTAAATTAATTGTTTAAAAATATCATGATAAATTGATGATGTTATTTTTATAATTTTAAATTTTTATTTAATTTTTAAAAATATTATATATTTATAAAATAAATTATTAATAATATTATTATGTATAAATTTATATATATTTATATTAAATTAAAAAAATTCGAAATAATTTATATCTATATATCTATATTTTAAAAATTCGAAACATTTATTAACAAATAACAACCTTCTTCGAACGCGCTAAGTTGCAACTCTGTTGATTGGACATTAAGTCGGCCTAAAAATGACTTTGCATTTTTTTTCCAGGCGGTTCGACTTTAGTTGTTTGAAAATTGATTAGCATTTGTTTGATTGATATATATATATATATATATAAATATATATAAATATATAGTTTTTTGAGATTCTATTTTGGATTATTGTGTCCTAATGTGTGGAGTGATTCCGTTGACCATGTCGTTTTGTTTGTCATTATTTGGACAGGCAGAGACACTGATAGAGCTTCTACGGCAACCAAGATCCGGCGACACCGCTCCCAGGCCCTCAGATGTGTCAGTATAAAACTATCCCTACGACATGGCGTTTTTAATTAAAAAAATCCAAAAAAAAAAAACACTGAAATAGATTTTACAAAAAACGAATATGAGAAAAAATAAAAAAAAGGAAATGTAAATATAAATATCTTACGTAAAATGAGAAGTGATGTGAGATTTGAGCTGCTTAATTTTGGGTTTTTGGCTTTCCCTTCTGGCGTATTTTACAAATAAGAAAATATATACTATTCTTATTTCACTATCACCACCGGTAGGTTCAATCCCGGGTCCTAGCTTTTGACGGCATAATGGTTTATTAATGAAATTTTATATACTTTTTGGGTTACTGTTCAATTGGTTCCTTCATTCACTTTCTCTTTAGAATTGTTTGGAATGAATTGCTCTTTTTTATTTTTAATCTTTTTTATGCTATCTCTAAGAAATATAAAATAAAATGTATCCACTTAATTTAGCAAGTTCATTGGCGGTCTTCATTTTTCCACGTAAGACTCAAATTTTCTTTGTATTTGGTGTTGACATCAGAACGGCATTGGAGAGCAAAAGATTAGAGGAAGTTGGAAGGTGACTTCATCTTTCTTAAGAAATCTAATTGTTTCTTTCGACATTAGTAGATGGGACTGAAGAGAGCCTTGCCAATTTATATAGTAATTCCTCACTTTTTTTTTAAGTTTTCGCGTTCTAAAATTAGAGCAAATCTTAAATTTTAAAAAACTTATATGAAATTTATAAATCATTCAACAACAAAATTATGTGTAGCAGTGGTGGGTGGTTGGTACATTGAATAGAATACTTGGAAGGCAGAATAGGCAAGGTCGGGCATAGCGACGCATGGCCGTAACTCAATGTCTTAATCCCAATAAGCGCGAAACAAAGTAAAAAGCCTCCTTAAAAGTGGGCTACCGACCAAGCTTTGCTCATGCAAAATGTTCAATCCTTGCATGTAGCCATGGCACGCTATCTTAGTTTCAAGGCAAAATCATGAGCACCCGAACCAAAAGTCCTCGCACTTGACTAACCCACCCACTCACAATAATTTTTGTCATTGTCACTCAATTGGTCTCATAAATCAGCACATTTTTATAGTCCTTCCGATTGACAATGATGGATTATCAATAAAATTCAGAATCTCAAATCACTTACTATCAAAACAATTTTTTTTTTTTTAAATTATTAGTCTATCTTCTTTTGCTTTACTATTTATCCAAATGAAAAAGATATTATGCATATAAACTTCATCGAATTTGAATCTTTAAATGTTAATTCTAATAACATACTAATTGATCTAAATGATAATTAATATCAAAACATATGATTTTATCAATGGAATTAACACTTTTTTTATACGCTTTATGCTTATTCTATTTTATTTTACTCGTTCCATGTATATTTAACCATCCGAAATTCTCTATAATTTGGAGCATGCTTGCTGAATGGACAAGTTCACGCAATACCGGAGATTAAACAATTGGCCTGAACCAGGAGTTGAATGCCGTGAATTAAGTTGCAAAATTATTAATTTTTGTGGTACTTTCGGAGGAAAAATAGAGAAAGGATACAACTTTAATCATTAAACCAATTTTAAATGCTTTCATTAAGCAAGCTCTGATTATAAGCAATTCAAGTTGGCTTAAGTCCCTGACAATGAAAAAAGTGATCAAATTGTCTTTAGAATCGAAACCAAAGAGTTTGTTCTGCCTATTCTAGCCACCCCAACCTCATCATACCAACTTCCAACCCCAAATTTCTTTAATGACTCAGTCCCGGAGGAATGATTGAACATGCTCCAACTTGATACTGCTTAACGGTTCAATTTATTCTGGTAGATTTCCATGTGGTCTTAAAAGAGCATTACTGTGTTTGTTTATTTGGGGTCCGAGGCTAAGTGAAGGAGTGTTGTTCCCTCACTTTGACCTTACTCAATTATTAGTTGGGTACGAGCCTCTGCACTTAGCCCTTTCCAATCTGATGAAAATAGGTATATCTGGGTACGGGGGCCACTTCCCATCACTCTAATCCGTTGTTTTGAAATAAAATAATCAAATGATTATCAATGTTTGTTGAACATTGTGATCAGACATGTATGTTCCTGAAGATCAACAACCTTTTTATTTGCTAGAACGGAAACTACTCCACTTTGGTACAAATATTAGAGAATGAATGACAGCTTTGTAGGGTCAATGAGTTGAAAGCCTCGCTTGCATTTATATATGCTCTCCTTTTACAATTTGAATTTGTTTTTAATTGCCATCTTTTAATCAATAATCATCAATCAACCAACAACAAACCATCAGACGGTAATAGTATATGCCAAACACAAAAAATTTAGTAACTATGTTTCATACATGTTAAAGAATCTCAGGTTCAAATCGGTTTATTTTCTTTCATCTTCTAACTATTAAAGACGAGTTTGATTCAAGAATAGGAATCACAGTTCAAATTACTTTGACAGATGCCTTCCAATTCTTGGGATATGCTGGAATTTTTTATGCCAACACGGCCCATGATGCCAGGACATTTTTACATCATTTGCCCAAAACCCATGATTAGAAATCTCAGAACCCAGGCCCCAGGGCGCCCAAAGTTTCCTTCGTATTTTCATCAACATTCATGACTCCTTTGACACTTTTTCTTTCAGTACAAGGTAGGAAACCAGAACTGATGTGAAGGCCTGAAGGGGAGGTGTTCCGATCCTCAACCTAAATTCGGGTCAGTTTTCAATTGGATATATCTTAAAGTTTTCGTGGAAGTTGTACGATTTGCCACCTGTGCGTTTTCATAATTATCAATCGTAGGGAAAAATCTTTTCTTTGAGATCACTCAAGTTATGAATAAACTTACATTAATGAAAACAGTTGTTGTGAAGTTTGAAAGTCCAATAGAAATTCGAAGCTTCAAGTTCAAGCTAATTGATGTACGTTTATGTTCAATAAATTCCATGGTTAAGCTCAACTCATTGAAAACGTGAATGACAGACCAGCTTTACCAACAGGATTGCGTTGTTTGACAGTAATTGTTGTGCATTGACATTTCCTATTTTTCATAAGTAGCTTTCCTTTTAATTTGTGGTATAGAGTTGAGTCATGAGATGAGACTTGGGTGAAAACTGAAAACTGAAAATCATAAGTTCGCATAGTTATATTCTTCTTCACACTACGTGAAAAAAAAACAAATCAAGACAATATCTATTCCCTTGATGGCAGTTGAATCTTTATTCTCTTCTTTAGGCTCTAGCAGTGCCTAAAGAGAACATATAACTTTTCTATCATTGGCTAAAAATATATATATATACATAGAACATATAACAGTAATTATTCCAAAAATTACTCTCAATCTTTAACATGACGCCTTGATATTTTAATATTGGGATTCTGCTTCTCTTTTGATACCCAAAGTTGCACAATTTTTGCATGGATAAAAGGAGTAGTGAGAAGGAATCATTAAAGCTTGTTGTGGCATAAGAGGATAATTGTTCTTTATCTATTCTCTATGACTTTATCCACTTGCATTTTTTTTTCTACTTTTTTTTATTTTAATGAAAGATCATCTTAGTTTATCTTAGAGTGAAGACGAAAAAAATTTCAGATATTAGAATTTAAATTTTAAATTTGTGTTAATCTCCACCTTAAAGGTGAGAAAATGAGCAATTGAACTATAGCTTTAAGGTTTCACTTGTTTTTTTAGAGATTTAAATCGTAGTTACGATCGTATTTTCGATTACCTTGCGTTTATTACGATTACGAACATAACAGATAAGATAATGATTATTGCGCTCATTGCAATCGTGAATTTTTTTTTATTTTTGCACAACTCATTATATAATGAAGTAAATTATATTTGTAACAGTAAAAACTCTTATTTTATGATATTTAAAATAATTCACAACATTTTAATTTCTTTACTTGTATGAGAAAATAAATTATTAATATTTTTTTATATTATATCATTATAGTCAAATTAATCTATATTTAAAAGTTATTTAAATATATTTTATGAATATCTTGATATTCACTATCATAACAATATAATATTGACAAAATAATATTATACATAAAAATTAAGTATTTTTCTATCTTTTTTAATTATATGAAATTAAATTCATAAATTAATTTAATTAAAATTTAATGGATGAAAATTTTAATATATTAGAATTCACAAATTAAATTTAACAACCAAACTTTAATCAAACACAAAAAAAAATATTAAGCAGTAAAACTTTAGTAATTTAAATTTAATTATTTTTAAACCATATTAATACACACAAAATACTCATAAAAATAAATTCATTTTTATCATCTCATTTCCTCTCAATTTTTATCTAAATAATTAAAATTTTTTCTTAAATTCTTAATTTTCACTATTTAATTGCTTTCCCCTTCCAACTTTGCATATAAACAACAAAAAAAAAATTTAATTTTAATTTAAAGTCACGTGATTGCTCCCTTGAAAATCCCTCTATTCTCTTACTCCTAAGTTTCTTCTCCTACTCCACTCTCTTTTATCCCCTACCACAATTCATTGTTTTAATTTTCTTTTCCATCCATGCAATCTCACCCACAACCAAATCCATTCGTCCAACTTTATGCAGCACCCTGACTCTTATGGCCTTTGCTTTAATTAATTTTCTATCTTTCATGTTTGGGCTTTTCTCTCTCAAGGTTGAAAAGATAAAAAACTCTCATTTGCTACAATTGATAAGTATGAAAGCTATGAAAGAGTACTATCTCTTTGATTTTTGTGGTTTGGTATGGATTTTTATCTTTATTTTGCTACGTATTAAAATTTTGATTTGATAAAAATGAAGAAAAAATATCACAAAACCCTCAATAACAGAAAAAACGAATTGATATTATCTTATTTATCATTTTTTATTTATTTGAGATTGTAAAGAACTGTTATTGATGTGATTCATCTCTCTCATTTCATAATAAAAGATAACAGTTTCGAAAGCCAATGTTATTGCAAAATAGTGACTACTATATTGCTATCTGATCGCTATTTGAAAGCATGATTTTCTTTACGCTCACTTCCTCTTCTTTTGTGCTTTATTTTGCTATTTCTTTTTGTTCCAAAGGAGGAACGTTGTTAAGCTTCTTAACTTTATGTTTCTTTCTTCCAACATTTCTGTTATTGTACTCAAATTTTGTTTCTTACCCTAACATCAAGTTAAAGTTTTTGCATTAAAAATCAAAATGGAAAAATGAGTATCATAACCAAGTACTCCACAATGATTTTTTCCTGTATGTGCTTGTGGCACGGTAACTAGATTTAAGCTCCCGGTACGTGACACTTGCCAAAGGTTTTAAGAACCAAAATCGTGAGAAATCCCCAAGGTAATTAAAGTGAAAAGTATAAATCTAACAAATAATTAATTCAATTAATTAAAACTCATCTTCGTCGATAAAAAAATATAAAATTTGAATCTTATCAATAATTATTTATTTAAATTATTTTAAATATATAATATATAATTATTTATCTTAAATTATTAAATATAATATAGCCTGTAAATCTGTGCAACTTAAAAAAAGTGGTGTAAAGTGCAAAAATAAAAGGACGGCTTGGAAATCTTGTAGGTCATTGCTGGGGACACAGAATCTGGGGAGAAAGGCCCATTAAATTGACGGGCCATGACCTGTTTTAGATCCTAGCAGGCTTAGCAACCAGACGTCAAATCGATGGTATTGATCTACCACTTTTTCATGCTACAATTTTTCTTCAAAGGTACAAAACAAAAAACATGTTGCCAACTTGATGAAATTGAGTGTACCAGCATCATGTTTTTATGTTTTTACTTGTCAAAACCCAATAAAAAAGAAACCATAAGTAATAATAAAGTAAAAAAAATAGAAGAAATAAACAAAGAAGGGAAGGCCAAAAAATTACGTCATCACATTACTATCATGTGGGATTCTTATCCTTCGGAAAAAAAAAAGTCATCTTATCCAGATTGGTCCAAGGACCCTATTGTCCACAAATTATTCGACAGGTGTCGACATCCCATTACTTATTACATTTCTCCGTGGACCCCACCCCTACTAAAGTCTAAAATTCACTGTGATGTGATAGGGCTCGCCTGAGCACTTGAGCGAGCAACGCTGGTGCGGTCATATGCGGCAAGTGGCCTTCCGTCTTCAAAATCTCAATCGTGGTTCGTCCCCCTAGATGGGTCCTCAAATATTCTGCGACTGAAGCTGGAATAGAGACATCCTTGGCTGTCTGGACCACGCAACATGGTACTCTGACCATGCCCAGTACCCCTCTCAGATCTGTGTTGAATACGGTCCTGGAAACGAATAAGGATATGTCTGGTCTCATGTTGAAAAGGGTTCGGCTGAATTCTCGAACCGCTGTTGGCACATCAGCCCCCACGGCTAGTGGTGCAAACCCATTGACCCAAGCTTTGTAATTCGCTTCCATTGCTGAGAAAACCTTCTCAATTTCGCCTTGCTCGAACCCTCCGTGGTAATCTTTGTCATTAAGAAAACTGGAACCCATAAATTTCATTTCCAATTAACTTTATTTCATCAGTAAAGCAAACATATGACGAAAAAACAAGACAAGTCTTCTTTTTCTTTTCTTTTTTTTTTCTACCTGGGAGAAGCGCCGATGAGGATGAGTTTGGAGAAGAGTTCAGGGCGGCGAATGGAAGCTAGGATGCCAATCATGGCGGAGACGGAGTGACCAACGTAAGCGCAAAGGTCAACGCCAAGAGCATCAAGAATATTAAGCAAGTCATCAACGTAAGCATCAAGAGTTGTGTACCTTCTAAAATCGAAGTAATCAGGGTTAACACTGCCTGCACAAACGAGGTCATATAGAATTATACGATAATCAGGTGTAAACAGTGGGACAATGCGTTGCCAGACCGATTGGTCCGTGCCAAACCCATGACCAAGCACCAGGATTTTCTCGGCGGAACCAACCACTCGAACGTTTAAAGCTTCTAAAAGGATGTTTCCCATAAGGGCTTGTTTTGAAGAACACTATGACTATGAGACCGGGAAACTGTTTAAAAAAATTTTATACTAGAAATGTGTTTGGTTGGGGTAGGTTTGTTTTTACAAGCCCTTTGCAGATTTTGACTGATATGTATGTCGGTTTGCAAGAAAGATCTTTCGTTCTTTACTAAAATGGTTCTTCATTGGCGGCAGGTTTTTTTTGGCTAAATTGGTGGCGGGTTAATGACTTTTATAGTGATGGTTTTACTAAATCAAGTAATTGGAGCGTGCAATCTAACTCCAATATTTTGTTGTGTGAAAAAGGTCACGATCAAGATAGAAGTTAAAAAAATGGGATGGTTTGGATCGGAGGTTCCCTCCGACTGGCGTAGACTTGTATGCTGTAGATGGCTGACAGACCAGTCATTTTTTTCCCTTGTCGTTGTCCATGTCTGATCTCTATTGACTTTTGCTGATATTTCTAGTTCTAGGTTAAGTGACTAGATCCTAGCCTTAAAGATATCAGAAGACTAAAGGCTCCCTTCAATCAAGGGAGGTTCGTTTTTTAACTGTTGATGTGAATCATTTGGAGAGAAAAATAGTTGAAAATTTGTGAATGATGATGCAAGATGGAACCAGCCAACCACCACAACTGTTGTTGGTAGGTTTCCATATGCACCAGTAACACCAGGACCATTCATTTCATCTCAAACTTTGAACTGGACCAACAAAAAAGTTATCGAGCTTGGGCATGCCTTGGGAAACAGTTATTGGACCGATTGTAGGACACTGCCAGAAACTCATCGGCACACGTTAGGCTCCTTGTGCCATTTTTCATTTTATTTGCTCTACATCCTCATTCCTGTATAACAACGTATTGTCAATGGCGAGGAGTTAAAGCTAAACCAAAAATTGGTTATAATAGCAAGTAAAGTTTAATTTTCTTTTCCAAGAAGGGGCCACTAACATTATCTCCCACATGCCTATAAATTAACAAAAATTGAAGTATTTTTCGGAAAGGTTTTAATGTCTAGATGTTTTCAGGCCTTCAGAATATAATTATGGAAGTGACGAGCCTGATAGGGATCGGTACGTCAAACTCAGTCCCCTATCCCGCTATAGAAGATAAGGAAAAAAGAATCATTGATTAGTTTCTAGACACAGGGTTATCAGGGTCTAATATTCCAGAGTCGTGAGAAAAATTGGATTTTATCATATTATCCTCAGCTGATCAAATCATGGGTAGGAAAGAATAGTAGCTGTGACCAATGACAACGTACGATTTCATAAAAAGACTGGAATTTCTCTCTCTTTATCTTCAGCCGGTCCTGCAGTTGCACGATTGCGTTATTGTTGATGATAACAAATAACAATTGAATCGATAAGAGAACAACGTGCACAAAAATAAGCAGTGGTTCCAGAAAGCAATGTTCAAAAACTTAGAACCGAAACTGAAATTTTTTTCTTACCAGTGATCAGATTGTGTCATGGAAATTGCTTAGATTGTGTTGTGTATGAATTTTACACATGGTAAATCAAAAGATGGGGGGGGGGGGACTGTGGGGTCACATTGGAATCTGATTCAATGGGGGTAGCCTTCACCAAAAAACGACACCGCATGGTCTATCTTTCTCTTTTTGCCGCATCCATCTCATTGGCCACAGCATTGACAACCCTACATTTTTCTCTGCATCTCTTTTAGAAAATTTGCTCCTCTTTGACAAAGATTGGTCTTCCCAAGCATAAGAAGCTGCTTTTTCTTCCTCTTTCTACAATATATATCTACTGCTACTACTACTTTCCAAGTTCACTGCATGCAATATTAGCAGAAACTTGCTTTAATCACTAACTTCTTCGTCTTTACAAACAGCTAGCAAATTACCATACTTGAGGTCTTCCCCACTGGTGGTGCTTCCACGAAAAAGGAAAAAAAAAAGATTCAGGGCATCATCACAAGTACTGAGCACTTGATTGCTGTAAGAAAATCTATATAGCAAGTTGTCCTTCCATGTGGCTCACAAAGCCATCGTCTAAATCGATAATTCAATGAACAATTATTATACATACACTCCCAGATCTCACTTGTCACTTCTATGCACATCTTCCTCATTTATGTTTGATGGCATACGCTAAATGGTTCGTTAATTGTATGATCTTAAAAATAAGGACCAGAATCAATAGAGGACATTATACAAAGAAGTCTTGCCAAATTTTGCTTTTACAATATGGTTTGTATTGGATAATGACATGAATGATATAAGCATGCAAATGTAATAAAGATGGGGTTGTTGATATATACAAATAACATGACATTTGGATTTGACCCGGCCGAAGCAGTAGATTGTAATTGACAGGACTAAGCATTGTTCACATTATGCTTCTCTCCTAATTTTCTTGTAGTTTGGTGGAAATTTAATGACAGAACCTGAGGATTGGGACCATGGAATTGACATCGATGAGGAGATGAGCAGACAAGTTAAGCATCAAAACAGCGTGGCCCCATGCCCCCATCTTTGTTTGTCTACTTTGGCAGGCGAAGCTAAGCTACCAATATCAATCAAAGAAATTAAAGGCATTGTGAGGCCATGGGTTAGAAAGTTTGCAGTAAGTTATCGAGTTTACGGCTCCTCCCTATGCCCGACACTGACAAATTGTGAAAAAACTACATTGTGAGGATGTACTTTTATCTGGGTCTGGTTTTCCGTACAATCTAGTCACCTAGTAGAGGCAAATTTCCTTTGGCGTCTTAAATTGGTTTGATGAGTCACACCTCACAGGGCTTATCTAGATTCTGCACATTGAAATTTGACAACTACATAAATATATTTATATATATATATATATGTATTATCTATTATGTCCAATTAGTAATCACCATTGGCATCGGCAAATTCTGCACATAATTAAATATAGACTTCAGTTGAATGTACTTTGATCTAATATCTAAGCCACTTGACAAAAAGGAAAATTATGTAATCCAACTATGTGAGAATCAAAACGATTGTTTTCTCTTTGGAACTTTCATCTCATTCTTATCAAGTATAACCTTTATTGTTCTTACAGTTTTGTTCCCATGAAGTTTGTGTAAAGCATTAGAATTCAATGAATTTGGTTTACATGTTCTATATATGTAGTATTTGCTAATTAGAGCATGGGTATAAATTATTAAAGAGTGAAATCGAAGATAAAGAATTTGAGGTATTTTAAAAAGAAGATAGAGTTAGCTCTTGTTGTTTAATTCATATTCAATCATTTTAAAAAAATTAAAAATAAATAATTGTATATTTATTAATAAAATATTAAAATTTTAATTTCAATTATCATAATATATCATTGACAATCTTAAAAAAAATAATAATACAAAGGTAGGCCTATTATTATTAGATTCCCATCTTTAGAAAAAAAAAGGGAGATGCGAACTTTGAATTTTATTTTCTTTTATCATTGCTTAGTAGATTTTGTTAAGAACAAAATTGCCACATAATCATTCACTGTCTTTTGACTTTTTGTCTTCCTGTGATGCCAAGTATTTACATTTCTCTATAGTCCTCTACTATTCCCAAAGATTGATCTATGTATATTTTGCTACAAATAATTAGATAAAGATAGAAGTTAAAGATGAGTCAAAGTTTTCACTTTTCTGGCATGCGCGAGTAGATATGTCATGCCTGTGGCTCCCATATGATGCTCTGAATTCCAATTAGATTTTATATGTGTACTTTGGATAAGGTGGGTTGATTTCATTGACCTATTACTTCCAAGTCTTTGGTGCTTTCCACCAACTCGAAATTTTCTGGACATAATGAAAATTTAGAAACTTTATTCGGATGATTTTTGTAATGATCCCTTGTTCATGACACTACCTCTTTAAACCATTTTCTGATAAACTAGCGAGTTTCCTTTAAACTACTTCTCATCTTGTTCCTGTGCCTGTGAAAGTTGTTGAAAATTTCTATCTGATTCTCACCTCTTACTTTGCTCTGCCATGCTATGCTCCAGCACCAAAAACACGGTCGTATTGTATTAGGTTATTAGCTTTCTTTGCATGTCTTTTTCTGGGTTGGTTCATTTTCTCTTTACTATTATTACAATGAAAGAAGACGGTTATACATGAAATAAAACAGGTCATAAAACAAGGGAAGTCAACTGCATTTGATGGCTTTTCTGCTTTTCTATGTAATCATGCATTTGATAATTTTCGGCTAGGGGCTGACAGGAAAGGGAACAGAACTTGGATAGGGCCAGCAGTGGTAACTATATTGGCCCATTTTCTCCAAATTCTGAAACCCAATTGGACGACCTCTCCAAATGGCAAGGAAAATCAAGTATCAACCCATGCCAAGAACATTGACCCAAACAACTGTCATTGTTATTTTAACCCAATTCGAGTTGGACCTTTTCTTTTTGGTATCAGATGTGCCCAATTGACAATTGCAGATATTATATTGTACTTTTCACACTTCCTCAGGCATTAAAAACCTGAGAGCGATCCAGGGATTATCCGTGGAACTTAACCCGTCTTTGCCATTCAACTTTATGCCTTCTGTTCCCCACTCCCCAGCCAATTCCATGCAGTATTCCTGTCCTTAATTTGATGACAATATTACACCAGAGGGCAAGTCCACGGATAATCGATGGGCTCAATTAACCAGTCAATCTGAGATTGCCTGATTGGACAGCACAGACTGGTGGAGAGCCGTTGGTTCACAAACATAAAGTACTTGGAAAGGCAGTCCAAATCCAAGCTTGACATTATGGTAAAATTGTAAGGCATTATCGAATTCTACTTCTATAGTACTGAGTTTATATGGAGGCACCTACATTTAACATACAATAACCAATCTTTTTATCAACTTCTTTTATGAACATATCTTCTTATCAGATCCTTCTGAAAATGTTTACTTACAAAACGATATTATGTTAACAATTTTGCATAACACGTCTTCCACTTACACTTGGGTGATTCACCATTCATGAGTGGATGTCAATTATCAGCAAATAATATGGTCCTCCATATAAATTATGACAGAAAGTTTTGGGTGCAGGAAGGCTTTTTTAGTCAGAGTCTGAACAACTCATAAATTTCAGATAAAATTTATATTAAATTTACATATCATTCATATGATAAAAAAATTGCTGATAGGGAGTTTCAAATCCAAGCCTTATGAGTATTAAGAGTTTACCAATTCAATCAATGCTGATGGCAGTCCTCCATATTCATTGCTCACTTTTTTGTTGCACCTTTCTTAATCAATTTTCAATGCTCTCTCAACCTTTCATAGCCTCCATTATTTAATGTCTCGTTTGGCCCTTTCCAAATGTTTACAAAGTTAAGGCTAGCGCAAAAAAAAAAAAGGAAAGCAGGAATGTAGTCAATTGCGTAAATCGAATGATTCTACTACTAATAGTAGAAAATAACAAATGCTACATGTGACAATGTTGGACTTTGCTTCTTGCAATACAGCTCTTTTGTCAGGCCATGTGATCTTTTATGCTTTTTATAGATCCTCTTATTGTTCCATTAGTTAAAATCATTCCAAGTCCTAATCATCTCTATTCTTTTCAAACCTACCTAATCCTAAATTAATTAATATTACTACATAACAAATCTTAAGGTTTGGGAACCTTATGTTTTAATTCCTTATATTAATGATGGATGATGAAGGTAACCTAAGTGAAATTCAAAGTAAAATCCACCAACCCAATTGATCTATCATTCAAAATTTGGGCTTTCTATTATGAAAGAAAATGAAGGTTGAAGTTATTAACAAGTGGAAGTGTCTACGGGTATTATTGACTTTTTGAAAGATTTGCCCAAGATTTTCCTCAGTTTGAATAAGCCTAAAGATATTTTTTTAAAAATTTAAATATTTTTAAATATATTTTAAAATTAAATAAAATATTTTTATTTCATCTTTACCTCTCATCTTCTTTTAAATTCTCTATTTTCATTTTTTTCTTCTTCCCTTCTTTCCAAACAATTTAAAAATTGTTTTTAACTTGCAATACGAAAACCGCATGTCCGTACGCGGAAGCACTTTTTCCACGAATTTCCGGACAGATTCCCCTATTTACCACTCCACGCGTAATCATGGGATTAAAATTTTAGTAATAATTAAATTTAAATTTAACAAAATAAAAAACTTATATTATATTTTCGTATAACATAAATAATATATCAATTTTTATATAAAATATAATATAAATATATAAATTTTAATATTTTATATTATTAATCAAATTTATAAAAAAAATTCAACATTTTCAATTTAAAAAAAAAAAACACCGTACAGTTCCGGTAACGTACCCAAAAAGATCTATGAGTTAAAGACAACGACCGACATTGGGAGAGTATGTCTTAGTAACAGTTTTGTCAACTCCGGTCGTTTGTTTCTCCCTGCCTTTTTGAAGAACCGTTAACCCAAAGAACCAATTACTAAACGAATCTAAAAATATCTGCCGACTTGGTGGAAGAATATATTTTTTTTTGTGCTGCTTGAGCTTCTCTCTCAATCTTTCCAACTTTTCTGCAATGAAGAAGTAATACAAAGGCTAGGATTCCGTAACTGTGTTGTCTTTTGAAAGAGAAGAAGAAGAAAAAAAATGGAGAGCTACTTGAACGAGAACTTTGGAGACGTGAAGCCGAAGAACTCATCGGAAGAAGCTTTGCAAAGATGGAGGAAACTTTGTTGGATCGTGAAGAATCGTAAGCGAAGGTTTCGTTTTGTTGCTAATCTCTCCAAACGCTTTGAAGCTGAAGCTATTCGTCGCTCCAATCAGGTTTTATTATTTTCTTTTCTTTTTTTTTGGGGGGAATTTTCTATCTAAAGAAGCTATAAGCATGGATGATTTTATATTATATTTATTTAATCTTTTTCGCTAAGATTAAATTAGTAATTCTCAATGAAGTAATTAATAGATCGAATCTTTCAATTTGTTCGGATTGCTCATGTTGCCAGAGATGTAGAAGTTGAATCTAATTGGGTTTATATCGGCTGATCTATGCCCTGCATAGTCAACATTTTTCCAATTCTTAAAAGTCTTGTTCAGAGCTTGCCACTTTTGGATGTATGCATTTATTTGAAGTTTGGCTTTGTAAATCGTTGGCATTGTGATTTTCAGCAAGAATATGAGGTTTATATATCTGAATTCTGAAATTTTTTTTAATGGAAATTAGTACTGTCTAATTGGTGCAACGGTACATGAAAGCTAGATAATTTGTTTTATGGTCCTAAATTGTTACTATATTTGTTACTTAAAGTATACTTGGAAGGCTTTCTTCCGATAGCATTGAAGCCTGCACTTGTTTGTGCATAATTTCTGTGCTGGGTTAGTTCCTTTGTCACGGGTCGAGATTTAAGTTTCGAATTTGTGCGATTTCGGGATCTGGGCATCCACTCATCCGGTGTCTTGGATCAGACTAACCACCATGGTTCACACCCTTGTGAGGTATTGTCCGCTCTGGAACCCTGGCCTCAGGTTTTGTCCTACAAAAAGCGTCTCACAAGGAAGAGGTGATGTGAACTCTTTTATACACCAGTGACCTTCCTATTATGTTCGATGTGGGATTCAGGACTCTTTCTTAGGTCCGTGACAACCACCCTGCCTACTTCCCTAGAGGCACTTAGCGTGGATCGGGCATCCACTCATCCGGTGTCCCGGATCAACCTAATCATCACAGTTCACACCCTTGTGAGGTATTGTCCGCTCTGGTCCCCCTGACCTCACGATTTTATCTTACAAAAGGCACCTCACAAGGAAGAGGTGGTGTGAACCCTTTTATACCCCAGTGACCCTCCTATTATGTTTCATGTGAGATTCATGACTCTTCCTTAGGTCCTAGACACCTTTACCTCAGAAAATACAAATTTACGATATGAACTGGTTTCATGAAATACGATATCTACTTGAACTGCAATTGGTATGAATCGTGAATTCAATAGAACTTCATTTGACTTAAGAAACAATTTCCTTTTATATTCTTGATTTTGATCTTCATTGTTTTCCATTTTTTGCCATTTGTGTTATAGGAGAAATTTAGGGTTGCAGTTTTGGTCTCACAAGCTGCTCTTCAATTCATTCATGGTAAGAATCTCTTAGTCTACTACATGTGAAGGTTTGACGATCTGCTTAGTGTTGCCTTTATGTGTTGATTCTCCTAATCTGTCAACAGGTTTAAATTTGTCTAGTGAATATGATGCACCTGAAGAAGTTAAAGCAGCTGGTTTCCAGATTTGTGCTGATGAGTTGGGATCTATTGTAGAAGGCCATGATGTGAAGAAGTTGAGAATTCATGGTGGGGTTGAGAATATTGCAGCCAAGCTCTCTGCATCAATTGTTGACGGTATTCCTACTTTTGAGCATTTGATAAATGAAAGGAAACGCATTTATGGAATTAATAGATTTACTGAAACCCCTGCTCGAGGTTTCTGGGTTTTTGTGTGGGAAGCCCTTCAAGATACAACCCTCGTGATACTAGCCATATGTGCCCTTGTCTCTCTGGCTGTTGGGATTACTGTGGAAGGATGGCCAAAGGGTGCCTATGATGGTCTTGGAATTGTTTTGAGTATTCTTCTTGTTGTGTTTGTTACCGCCGCAAGTGATTACAGACAATCTTTGCAGTTCAGAGATTTAGACAAGGAGAAGAAAAAAATAATGGTTCAGGTTACCAGAGATGGCCTGAGACAGAAAATATCAATATTTGATCTACTTCCTGGTGATATTGTTCATCTTGCCATCGGAGACCAGGTCCCAGCTGATGGGCTCTTCATTTCGGGGTTTTCAGTTTTGATAAATGAATCCAGTTTGACTGGAGAGAGTGAACCAGTTAATGTAAATGTAGCAAACCCGTTTCTCCTTTCTGGAACCAAAGTGCAGGATGGATCATGCAAGATGCTTGTGACTACTGTTGGGATGAGGACCCAATGGGGTAAACTGATGGCCACTCTTAGTGAAGGTGGAGATGATGAGACCCCATTGCAGGTTAAGCTGAATGGAGTTGCAACAATTATTGGGAAAATAGGTTTGTTTTTTGCTGTTGTGACATTTTCTGTGCTGGTGCAAGGATTGTTTAGCCGCAAGATACAGGAAGGCACACAATGGATTTGGTCTGGAGATGATGCAATGGAAATGTTAGAATTTTTTGCTATTGCTGTTACAATTGTTGTTGTTGCTGTTCCTGAGGGACTGCCTTTGGCTGTGACATTAAGCCTTGCTTTTGCCATGAAGAAGATGATGAATGACAAGGCACTTGTCCGCCATCTGGCTGCTTGTGAGACAATGGGATCTTCTACAAGTATATGCAGCGATAAAACAGGTACACTGACTAGTAACCACATGACTGTTGTGAAAACATGCATTTGTGAGGAAATCAAGGAAGTGAGCAGCTCCAACAAGAGTAATAATTTTAGATCTGCAGTTCCTGAATCTGCTGTGAAAATTTTACTTCAGTCAATATTTAATAACACTGGGGGAGAAGTTGTTAATAACAAAGACAACAAAATTGAGATACTGGGAACACCAACAGAAACTGCCCTTTTAGAATTTGGGTTATTGCTTGGTGGGGATTTCCAAGCAGAACAACAAGCATCAAAAATTGTGAAAGTTGAGCCTTTCAATTCTGCAAAGAAGCGAATGGGTGTAGTTATAGAGTTTCCTGAAGGAGGTTTCCGAATTCACTATAAGGGTGCTTCTGAAATAATCTTAGCTGCATGTGATAAAGTAATAGGCTCAAATGGTGATGTTGTTCCCCTGGATGAACCAACCACCAATCATCTAAAAAATACAATCGAACAATTTGCTAGTGAAGCTCTTCGAACTCTATGCCTTGCTTACATGGATATGGGAACTGATTTTTCTGTTGACAGCCCCCTTCCCCTTAAAGGGTACACTTGTATAGGCATTGTTGGCATCAAAGATCCAGTACGCCCTGGTGTTAAGGAGTCTGTTGCAATATGTAAGTCAGCTGGTATTACTGTCCGAATGATCACTGGAGACAACATTAACACTGCCAAGGCTATTGCAAAGGAAATTGGAATTTTGACTGACAATGGTATAGCAATTGAAGGTCCAGAATTCCGGGAGAAATCTGAGGAGGAATTGTGTGAACTTATTCCAAAAATACAGGTGCTTTCCTTTTTTATTATTTTTTTGCACCATCAAGGGCTTATTTGGACACTGTAACCAATCTTGATGATGGTTTTTCTTCATAGCCACTGGATATTAGTTGAATTTAGTTTAGGTTTCATCCTTAAAAGTGATTACTTTGAAAAGTGCCATATGCTACCATGCAGCTTTTGAGAAAGTCCAGTCGTTAGGTTACCATGCGTACTTGGTAGTCATGACTAATTTTTTCTTAAACCCTAATATGAATCCTTGACCCCTGTGTTTCAAATCAAGTAACTATGTTTAGACTTTAGACTATAGAGATTAAAATACTACAGTTTGGCAAAAATTATATTATAATCCATATTTCTTCTTCAACACTTGAAAGTTTCTATTGAGGTGAACTGTAACATGTGTATGGTACTTGTACTTAGTGAAATAATCAACAGTGGTAGTATTTTGTGGCAGTAAGATTAGTCTCTTATCATATATAATGGTGTGCCAATAGATGAATTTGCCTTTCAGATGCTTCTCATAATAAAAAGGAACTGTTCACCAACTGTGTGAAAATCCTGCAGGTAATGGCTCGATCTTCACCTATGGATAAACATACTCTTGTGAAACACCTACGAACAACATTTGGAGAAGTGGTTGCTGTGACCGGGGATGGTACAAATGATGCTCCAGCACTTCATGAAGCTGATATTGGGCTTGCAATGGGCATTGCTGGGACTGAGGTATATCCTAAGTGCTGTTCTTTCACTTTTCTTTCAGGAAAGATATTAACTTCCAAAATATATCTTACTGGTGGCAACATTATAGAAATTGTAAATAAATATACTTTTTCTTGCTCAATTTTGTTAAGATGCAGCAAGTTTTGGCTTAATTTATGGTGTGAAATTCCTTGTGCTGCTTCTTTGCTCATTTATTTATAGAACTGCTTAGATTGGAATCATATAAATATCATTCATAATTTTACGTGCTCAATCTTTAGTTGCTTTGAAGGGTTTATGTTGCGAGATTGCCCATGAGAATGAGTAGGTTATTATTATTAATGTAGCTACTTTATCTTAATGGAGCAGGGTTGTTTCGATTTTGTCGGTTATGCTGCTGGTGAATCTAAATATTGTGGATTGCCCAATTTAATTCCTCTTTTTTTCTGGTCTGAGCGGCTACTGTTTTTTTTTTTATTTAATCAAGCTCATTGTCATTGCCTACGGATAATCTGCTCATCCAGTACTCCCCACTTATTGTAGATTTTGTGTTGGTTGTCACTGTTCTGAAATCTTCTTATACTCCTTAAAAAGGCATGTCATATTCTTAAAACCCATATTTACAATTTGCAGGTGGCCAAAGAAAGTGCTGATGTCATAATCTTAGATGATAACTTTTCCACAATTGTGACTGTGGCTAAATGGGGACGTTCAGTTTACATAAATATCCAAAAATTTGTTCAGTTTCAGCTGACTGTCAACATAGTTGCCCTAATTGTCAACTTTTCTTCAGCCTGTTTGACTGGTAAGAGACCGCATTGTTGTCACTTTGATATGGATCACTTTGGCAATATTGTCTTTCCGCTACTGTTTTGGGCTTTGATATGATTCTCATTTCTCAGGAAATGCTCCGCTCACTGCTGTTCAACTTCTATGGGTCAACATGATCATGGATACTCTAGGGGCGCTTGCATTAGCTACAGAGCCTCCTAACAATGACTTGATGAAAAGATCACCAGTTGGTAGGAATGGAAACTTCATCAGTAATGTAATGTGGAGGAATATTTTAGGCCAGTCTGTATATCAGTTTGTGATTATGTGGTTCCTTCAGACAAAAGGAAAGGCAGCTTTTCATCTTGATGGCCCAGACTCTGAGTTGATATTAAACACACTTATATTCAACTCATTTGTCTTTTGCCAGGTAATTTCACCATTATTACAAATTTGGCTCTATTGATACTCTTCAAATAATTATAGGTACTTGAATCTAATTGAACTATATATCCTTTTCTAGATCTAGTAGTGATCATGTAGAGAAGAATGTATTCCGGTTCTTAGTTCTTCTTTTGGTCGCCTATAAATACATATATTGATCACAAGAATAGCTACATAACTGAATGTTAGTGGATTGTTTTGATATAAAATTTTCTGTAGTCAATTTGTGTTCTTTACTTGACTACTTCTCTAATTATATATCTGCTTGGATTGCGTGACTGACGCCAATGGATGCCTTTTCTTCAGGTTTTCAATGAAATTAGCTCCAGAGAGATGGAAAGGATTAATGTTCTCAAAGGCATACTGAAGAACCATGTGTTTATGGCTGTTCTAAGTTGCACCATCATCTTCCAAATTGTAATTGTTGAGTTCCTTGGTACCTTTGCCAGTACTTATCCTCTCACTCTGCAGCAGTGGTTTGTCAGCGTCTGCCTTGGATTCCTTGGGATGCCAATCGCTGCCGCTTTAAAGTTGATTCCTGTAGGATCAAACTGAGATGAGGGCAATCTAGATAGGTGATTTCTGACTTGTTTAATCACTTCATCATACAGCAGTAGCATCATTGGATCTGATTGAAAATTTAACAAACAGTGAAGTTGAAAAGGCAGCCAATTTTTTTTAGGAAGGGCGCTTAGACTGCTGCAAGACATGTCAACCTTTTGGAAGCATGGAAAATCATATTCTTTCCCTTCGAATTTAACAGATTTGTACAGACCTAGTAATTTGGATTTTTTAATCAGAACCGTTTGAAATTTGAAAGGGTTTTTTACCAAGTTTTCCAAAGGCATAACTCATGTCGTTCCAACTGTGGAATGAACAAATTGCACTATTGATACAAGGGTAACAATTTGCCTATCCGGTCCCCGGTCATTCTTAGGATTGATTTTTTTCGATTACATTATATTTGACTGAAAAAGATATTATGCATTTAAATTTTTTTAAATTCATAATTTTTAAATATCAATTTTAATGATATATCAATTGATTTAAGAAATAATGTTAGATTTACTTGTTTAGTTCAATTATAATTTATTAGTTGATTATTTAATGATGTAATGATTAATTAATGAATATAATACTTAATTATGAGTGTAAATTCAAAAAAAAAAATCTATATGTATTTGTAATTCATAAACCTAAGGAAATAATAACTCAATCTGAAAATTTAGAAAATTATTGTTATATAATTAATTAATTATAATTTAGCACTGTATAAAATTCATTTAAAACTTATATTTTTAAGTGATAAAATTTATATAACTTTTTATTGTGACTGCTTAATTATAAAATTATAATAAAAAATTATAAATAAAATTTTCCAAAATTTTGTATAAAAAACAGAAAACAAATTAAATATTAGTAACTACTTTTATCATACAAGGTTTTGTTATTATTATTATTATTTAATCGATTGTTTCAATTTATTTGGATAAACGATAAAATTAATTTTTATAAAATTAAAAATAACAATGATGATAAAATCAATTATTATAATAATGAAATTTAATATTATAACAATAAGATTAAAATTAGTAATGAAATATAAGTTTAGATAATAAATCAACGATGACATTGAGGTGGGAATAAAAAATGATCATCAAAAACTAATTTAAAATTATCTTAATAAAATATTTTTTATATATTTTAATATTACTTAAAACATTTAAAATCTAATTTTTTTTTAATTTTAATCAAAATATTAGTATATATTGTTTATTTATTAATTTATTATATAATAATAGAACTTGTTTGTTTATTAATTTATCATATAATACAAACTTTATTTATTATGTTAAATCAACAAAGTAATATCAAATTTTTAAAATAAAAAATCAAAATGAAAAAACAAAAAAAGAGTGAAGAAAATGAAAGTTAACGTATGAATATTTTTGTATATTCTTATAATTTTAAGGACAAAAAAAAAATTTGGACAAAGTTGGAAGGAAAGGAACGGTGGAAATGAAATATTTATGACTGGATCGATGAGATTCAATAAATAAGTGGAGCGAAATGCATCCACTGATATTACCCAATCAGCACATCGGTGATATGGGAGTAAAAAAATAGTGAAAATCACACCTCAATTCCCCTCCAATGGAATCCAAAAGAGCCCTGACACAGAGAAATACAACACCCTCTCAAATCTCGATATCGTGGTTATAAGACTTAAAAAATATATTTACGAACGTAAATTTTAATTTCGTCATTCTCTTCTTTTTTTTTTTATTATATCGGCATTTATTTTCTTATAAACAAAAAAAAAAAAAAACCCTCTCAAATCTCGAACTTTAATGTAAAAAAATAATTGATTAAATTTAAATTAATATAATATTAAATTTAAATTTAAATTTAATTTAAAATTTAAGTTTTAAAATTTGATTTAAATTTATTAAATTTATTTATTAATTTAAATTTATTAAATTAAATTTAATTAATATGTAAAAATCAATTTAATTTTTATATTTGATAAAAATTTAAATATGTATATTTAAATTTGAATTCAAATTTTATATATTTTATTAATTAAAATATAAAAAATTAATTAAATTCATAAATTATTTAAATTTGGTATGATTAATAAATTAAATTATTTAAACTCAAATGTAACTCAATAATAATTATATCAAATTCAAATTTTATGCAATATATTATTTACATATTACTCCAAAACGACGCTGCTTTCTTACTTTCCTTTCTGGCCACAGACACCACTTGCTGCCTACTCTCCGAGAATCCAGCTAAAGCCAAACCAACTCACCTCCAAATCACGTGTCTCGTCCTAATTCCGTCTCCTTTCTCCCTACAGATGCCTCGTGTCCCACTTGGCGCCTCCACTCACATCCCCATCAGGTCAACTTTTTCCCAATAAACGGCATCCATCATCCCACGTCATGGGTCGCACAATTACTGGGTACACTTCGCTACACTTCGTCCGGATATTCTATACCACCCAATGGGAGAATCCCTTCACCTCCAATTCCCAAACCCAAAGTTAACCTCGAAGGCTTTTCTAAATTTTACACACGATTCTTTAAAAAATTTTCTACTCCAAAACAAAATTATTTTTATATATAAAAATCATTGTAATGGCAGCATCGTCGATCGATTCACTTTTGTCGCCGTCGTCGTCGTTGTTGTGTTTGGTTTCTTTTTCGATTCAGTTTTGTTTTGCCGATCGTTTTTTAATTTCAAAGCCGTCTCATTCTCAGATTCGTAGTCAACCTTGTACCTGATTCTGACATAAAAACTAACGCAAAAGTCATAACCTACATGGGAAAACGTAAGAATCTTTTTTCCTGATTTCTTTTTATTTTTGGGTAATTTTTGCCTAGATTAATTTGATTAACTTTTTTTTTTTAGTTTTCTTTTTTAAGTTTCGTAATTATTTTATTATCTTTCCAGAATGATATGAATCATTGTTGGTAGCTTGGTCAAAGCGCGAATAAAGAATTCTCTGTTGATTTTAAATTTTTTAGGATTTTTTTAGCTGAATAAAGGGAATTATTTGAATTTGGCAGGTAAAACTCAGCGTAAGAATGCGGTGATGTTAGATAGTGATGATGATAATAGTAGTGTAAATTCATCGTCGACCTTGCGATCTGACGGAATGTTGGTTTCTTGTACTGAAGAAGTTGAGTATAATAAGGATACTTTACTTGATGAAGCTGTTGATGCTTTATTCGAAAAGAGGTTAGAATTAATTATTTGCTTATTTAATAACTTTTTTGATGAATATATGATGCATTTGAATGGTTTTATTGTTTCCTGTGAAGGTAACAACATTTAGGTTAGTTGAAATTAGTTATTGCTAGGTTTTCTAGATTTGCAAAATTTTGAGAATAATTAGGCTTCAGAGTTGAATGTGGCTGAATTGGTGTTTTTCTCTTCTGTTGATGAAGGGGTTCTACACGAGAGAAGGCGTTGGCAGTGATTATCGATGCTTTCAATAGCAACTTGCCCCATCAATTTGTGGAGACGAAGTAAGTGTCTGTTATTTGAAATCTTTCTATCTTGGTCTTAATTTATGTTGATCGCAAGAATTGCCGAATGAATTAGGAGCATGGTTACAGGTGTATCTGAAAATGTTTCTTATGATTCATAATATATGGTTGAATACTTGAATCTATGTTCTTCTGATGGTCATATTGTTATTTTGGGTTGATCTCCAGATTTGCTACATTACTCCATCGGTGTCTGAATTGTATCAAGAAGGGGTCCAGCAAAGAGATATCCTTAGCATCCCGTACTATTGGTTAGTCTTGAATGCTTAATGTTGATAACCTCAGCAAATGCTTATGGACACTTGCACAGAAAACATAAGACTTCAGTAGTCAAGCTGATAATTTCTTTTGGTAGGTTTGTTGGCGTTAACTGTTGGTCCAGGAGATAATGCACAGGAAATATTGGAAGAATCAATCTCTCCTCTTTCGCTGGCTTTTAAATCTGGTTCTGAATCTTCTAAGACAGCTTCAGTATGAAGAAATTTAATAAGGATTGGAATTCATTCTCCCTCTAATATTTGTTAGCATTAAGATGCTTAACCTGTTTTTTTTTTTTTTTTTTCATGATCTGGTTTGTTGTTGTAGTTACTGGACTGTTTGGCTGTCATCACTTTTGTTGGGGGGAATGATCAAGATGAAACAGAAAAATCAATGCAAATTATGTGGCAATTGGTTCAGACTAAACTAGGTTCTAATGTAAGTATACATGCCTGATTTTCTCTAATTGAATAGCATCTAATAAATGTATTTGAGGTTCATGTATAAGTTATTGCTTGCAAGTTGTTAATTGAAAAACATGATGTATTAATGCATAGTTGTTTTGCTTTATTTGAGGATTAATTAGTTTTGTTTGACTTGTAGATAATCACTGTCAAACCTTCTGCTGCAGTAATAACAGCAGTTGTTTCTGCCTGGTCATTTCTTTTGACAACCATGGATGTTTGGAGACTCAGTCCCAAACTTTGGCTAGAGTGAGTGAACTCTCTGGATCATACTTTGTTTTTGTTTTTTTTTAATCTGATAATTTATTGTCTTTACAATCCCTTCATCCATATGTAACTCAGCTAAACAAATTGTTGGTATTTAAATCTTAGGAAAGCAGGTCAAATAACTATGTGTGGTTTGAATTATGCTCTTACAATATAGATAATACCTAACTACAAATTAAAAACACAGAGCTGGGCAACTTTAATGGGCAAAGAGACTGACTGGTCTTTGGAAATTTTGCAGGTACATTACATATTTGTCTAGTTTGCTAGGTAAGGATGACCGATCTGTGCGGATTGCTGCTGGTGAGGCACTTGCACTAATTTTTGAGATGGGAAGCTTAGAGAAGTTTGCAGCTGAAGCTAGGAGTTTCAGTGATGGCTTGATTTCACAAGGAAATAAATCTAAAGAAGGATTCTCACATAAACTAGGATTGAAGGGAAAAATTTTGAATCAAGTCAGAGACCTCTCTGCAGAAGCTGGTGGTAAAGGTTCTGCCAAGAAAGATCTTAATAACCAGAGGAACTTGTTTAAGGATGTTTTGGAGTTCCTTGAGGTACTTGTATTATTTATCTTTTATTTCCAAGAATATATGGTTCTTGGGACTTCTCATGCTAACTGCAATTTACTTCGTGATATTAGTATGGTTATTCTCCCGAGACATCAATGAATATTGGTGGGAATTCACTACAGACATCAACATGGTCTCAGTTGATTCAGGTTACTTATCCTCTTCTAATTCCCCAATTTATGTTAGTTACATGCCATGAATTTTTATAATTGTGTTCTTAAATTTTAATCCAACAGTTGAACTTTTTGAAGCGCTTTCTTGGTGGAGGTTTCACAAAACACATACTGGTTGGTGTTCTTTTAGAGAAGTTGACATCTGTTGATGCAAATTTCTTGCCTTTTTAATTTGCTTGTTGATTAGATAACAACTTTGTTTCTTTATGCAGGACAATGGGTTCCTTCAAGATGTTTTTGGGTTCACTCCAAAAAGAAGGAATCTTCTAGGCAGTGAACATATATCCAACAGTGAAAAAGTTGGTTCCGACTTTATTAACGTTTTTATCCTGATCACAATATTTCTATAACTGTGCTAACTTAACTGTTTATATGCGAGTTCTTTCTTTTATATTTTGATTGTAATGGTAAGATTTAAGCCTATGTTTCATTAAGCCATCATACCTGTTTATCACTTAACCGAGTCCATTGTGAACTATAACATTTTTACAGTCCAATGCTCTGTTAATTATCATTTTTGTAGTTTCCTTCGCGGTTTTCAATAATTTTGATAGATGTTTTGACTTCACCAAGGGTATGAAATTAATACTGATTTTTGGCACAGAGAATGTACAAATCACCAAATTCAGCCCTCAACAAAGCAAGAACCCTGCTATTGAACAAGCAGCGGATGCTATCTGAGGCAAGTGTCTTCTATGCGAAGTTGATTTAATGTTTTACTATCAAATGCACTATTTAGTGAGCTGACTAGTTATGTTTGTTCCTCTTGTATTCAGGTTAGAAACATTGGGCAATTTGCTGTCAATGTAGGCGATGAATATTAGTAAACTTCTGCAGGGCAGGAACCGATAATTGTCTTGCTGCCTTTTTTTTTTTATTATTTATCATAAAGTCAATTTATTGAAATCCAAAACTCTACTACTGATAAACTAGGAACCATTTTGGTTATATAGGGGATTGCTATATATACAGATAAACTTAATTCTAGTTGTACTTGTGTAACGGTGATAGTAATCTCTGTGCTTATTTAAGGCATCAATGAGAAGTTTCTTCCACATGTTGATATCAATTACTTACCCATGGAGGGTTAAGACTTTGCCTGTGATCTGAATTTTTCGCACGTCTCAAGCAGCCAAAGTTCGACCTGCTGCCTGTGATCAGACCATGATTTATTGGTTCAAATAAAGGGTTTCTAACGGTCTGATAGGGGCAACTACTGTGAAATTTGAATCAACCTCCATGAGTGGATGGAATTGGAAAGGTAAACAAATAACTTATCCATGATGAAAGGGTGAACATAAGTGGAGATTTTCAACTAGCTACATAAAATGAAACTCTAAAGAAATGAACTTCATAAAAATTTGCAGCTTCCTGTGGAAAAGAATTCTTGAAACAAGAAAAGGTTTTGTATGGAATATGTCCCTTCGCTGCTCCCTCTGGGGACTCTGTCTTCTTCCACCTCATTTCCCTGCCCCTAGGATTCCTTTCATGTTCTCTCCCTCCAATTCAGAAACATCAAGCTGGTTAGTTATATACATTTTGCATCAAACCATAGTTTTGGATTATCTACGCCAACAATGCAAACTGAGCATAACTAAAGCAACAAAACAATGGCTACATTATTGCTGTGTATACTTAAAAGTATACTATCCAAGTTGCTGCAAAGTTCACTTCAAAGTTGGCAAGCAGCGTGCATCTGTAAGCATGTGCTGGGGGACTTTCAGCTGGAATAATATAGAAAATAGAAGAAACAGATGGGATAATCCATTATTAAAAAACAAGGATTACTCCTCGTGATTGAAAAATGGAATCAATTTCATTCAGGTTTCTCAACACTATATGTCAACAAATGTATATATAGCTTTTTCTTTTTCATTTTTTATCGATTAATTAGGTACTTTCAGTGTAGGGTAGCTCCTCCCCATGGTCATAGAAGTGTGGAGATCTTCTTATTGAGACTGACATCGATGCCATTGTAAGCAATAGGAGCATACATCCAAAGATCATCAGAGCTTAAAAGCTGCAATCACTCAAAAAGGACAGCATAGGAGTCACGATTTTTTCTTTTTTTTTATGAATATAAGAGTCCTGACTTAAACCAACCCTTCTCCTTGTTTGTTTTAATACGGTTTTATTTAATCCCATTTTTCCCAATTACCTTGATTTGGAGCTGCAAGAACTTCGCATAATGAACGGCCTCTTCAAGCATTGTGCTGATATCAACCTGTATTATCATCAATGAACATATGAGTTTCAAAACCTTATCTTTTTTGTGTCTTAAATATAAAGTAGCCATATAAATCTCATATATATGGAAGTGTATATTATATTGATCAATTACCTTTGTTCCATTGGGGACAAGGTTCTGTAAAATTCTCAATCTCTCATTAATCTTCTCTCTTCTTTTCTGCAATAATCAATCAAAAAAGATTTAGATTTATCGCGTTCTGACAATGAAATCCTCATAGTTAGGCTAGCTGGAAGGAAATTTCTTACCCTTGCATAGAGGCTCTGGGGATCAGTTGCTGAACCTCTACTGGCTCTCGTCTTTCCATTCAAGTTAAGAGCTTGAGAAGCTTTGGACCGCCCCATTATTGTCATGAGAAACAACATTGTCACCCTCTGAACTACAGGGTGTGCTAGAACTCTGTCCATCCGAAACAACGTTACTCTCTCCTTCGTTGCCATTTAAATTGATCTTGCGGTTCTTTTTCGGGTACTGCACTTTCTTATAAACTTTTGATGCCTGCATTTCAAACCATGAATTAGAACTACTATAATAAGAATAAACCTAGTGGATTAATAGCTTAAATTCTTTTTCTCTTACATCTTTCGAAACCCGAGGTCTTTTCTTTGTGTTCTCAGATGAATTGCTATTGATTTTATCCCCTTCAGCATGCAATTCCAGCACATCACACTTCATCTTGAGTAGCAATTCATTGGCAAGAACAACATTAGCTGCTGGATGGCTAGCAGCATCCAATTTTCCTAAGCAGCCATTACCCAAATCTTCAATGACATTAACAGTGTCTTCCATTCTAATGTTTGGGAATGCCAAGGGAAAGGAGTCTGTAATTATATCCGAGGACATAGTGATATCATTTGTTACAGCAATTTGATTAGAACCAATAAGGGAGTAGGCTTCATGATTTGGAGGGGGAACAAAGACACTACCACTAGAATTGCTATTTTGACTACTTTCCTGAGACTTGTAGTGAAAATTAGAGTTAAAAGCATTGGAGAATATAACAAACTCTCATTGACCCCAGCAATGCTCATATTGGCTTTGAGGGTTAGGACAAAAATTCGACGGGTTTATGAAGTTCAATCCCTCGTCATCATGCTCCGGAGGAAACGAAAACTGATGAAGAATTTCCTGTGTGAAATCAAGCTCTTCATTGGAGAACATTCTGTTAAATAATTCCCACTCTCCATCAGGAAAAGCTGCAACCGACTTCATCCGATCTCTTGTAAAATTGAGAAGCCTGTGGAGAAAATAAGGAGGCTTTTGTTTCTCTATGCTGCTACTTGTTTATTGATTATTGAAGCTCTCAAAGGTGCTTGAGGTGAGCAAAAACCAGAGACATAGTTATACCACGAACCCCTAAAGAGAATGTTATCAAGGATTGATCTACATTTGTTTATTGAGTTCTTAATTCCAAATCGTCATTCTGTTACTAATCCAGGAGTCCACTGTGAGGGCCAAAACCAGGCAAATTACAATTCATACTGTGGCCAAGTTCAGGCATTGATAGATTAAATTAATAAAAAAGGGGTCATTAAAACACCTTGGACCTGATTAAAGTACAATTAAAGTGATTAAGGGTACAAGAAAAAGTCATTGAGAGGTGACTACCTGTGATAAATTAGTGATTAAACGGGTGAGGGAGTATGAGAGTGAAGCACACGTCAGGATTAGACCTACTCTTTTGAAATGTCAGAACGTGGGGAGTCTTTCCCTTGAATATAATAAGCATGAGGAATGTTAGCAGATTAAACAAAAAGTGCAGCAAAAGGACGGCCAGATCGTGGGAAATGAGTGTGACATTCTTTAAAAATGAACTTAAAAATCCCACCCGGAAACCGCCAAACTCGTTCCCTGTCCTAGATGGCAACTGGCAGGAACCTAACAGTTGTTGCTTTGCTTCAATCCTAATTTTAACTTGCTATGATCTATCAATATTATACATTGGCAAGACTTGGTACAAAGTCATCTCTTTAGAACTCAGTTTTAACAGTTCAAGTCCTATCCTCCCTACAAAAGAAACTCAGCAAAACAATCCCCAAACCGTTGCAAAGGGATATTCATATCCATCAAGCTTGCTAATATTCAAGCCCTGAAACCAGCAAAACTACTATTATTATTAGTTTTTAATTAAGCAGCAAGGTTCCTGAGCTTTTATGCCTAGCAAATTCATGAAAAATTATTTTCTCATAACTTTTTAATAGATTCGAACTCAAACAACAACAAAGAAAGGATCATACTCTCTTTGTGACTTGAACCATCCGTTAGTTATATATTTTACATGGCAGATGTCATGAATTCTTTGCATAGTTTTACAAAACCAATCCCATTATCCTGAAAGAAAAGAAATAAAATCTATAGTGAGATTTCTTATATAATAGGCAAACTTTTGTAAACAATAATTCGATAGATATAAAGTAACTTCGTGAGAAATAAACAAACCAAGATTTCCTGAAAGCTGAAGCACAATACCCAGCTGTGATGGTAATCCAATAGATTACCTGAACATAGCCATAAACACACTTTGAAATTATTGTGTTTTGGCCGCTATGATTCCGCCGAAACCCTCGTTAGAAACTGACGTGTCAGACAGATAATTTTTGGTGTTTTTTTAAGAAATTTTTTTTCTTGTTTTAAAGGAAAGTTCGATAAGGTCTTCGGTGTTCTTTGGAACTTGCACCGGCCATTGCACGACCTTTCAAACAACGAAACCCTAACATGTCCAAAAATTTTAAAGGAACAAAATCAAGCAAGACTTAGCCGTGGTGGGATTTTTAACTTGTCAAAATCTGATTTTATTCTTCACTTGGAATTTAGAAATTAGCTGTTCCTCTCTTTCCACTGATTCCCCGAAAATTATCACCTTTTCATATTGGTTTTCAAAGTTTTTCTTTCTTTCTTTTTAGTTTTTGGGGATAAAAAATGACAAAGCAACAAGACAGCTCTCATCAAACTTCCAACGACCATATATTTTGGTTCCATCTTCATCCACCACTCAGAGGCTACTGACTGATCTTCATTCAACCACATTTCCACATTGAAAAAGAAAAATATATCATCCCTCAATTCTGTGGAGTATCGTAATCAATCACAAAATACTATTTATAAAATTAAGCACAAAAAAGGAAAATGTAGGCTGAAGAAAGTAAGTTAAAAGGAAATCATATAATCACAAGTTTAATTATGGATTAATCAAAGTTTAGAAATAGTACAATCTATTAATTACAGATCCTAAGAAAAACAACAAATTCTAATTAGTATTAATTTCTTATTATTGAGTGCTACAATATATATAAATAAGCAAGTTAACCGGCCTTCATTTGATAAAAAGATATGAATTCGAAATATAATTCAGTTAGGTCATGTTTGATGCATAAAATTATTGATAGGATAATATGATAATTATTTTATATCATGTTTGATTTGTAATTAAAGAGAGGGATAGAGATTGTAAGGAGGATTAATATCCTCTTAATATAAGATTATTTAATCCTTCTCAAATAGAGAGAATTATTTTTAATTCATAAGATTAAATTTATATGTTTAATTGTATAATTAAAAGTTACATTGATTATTTAAATTATATAAACTTTTAGAAAAGATAATTTTGTCAAATAAATAAATTATCATATACTAATCCTTATATAAATCAAACATAAAATAAAGTGACATTATTTAATCTAATTTTATTTATAATATTATTTTATCTTATTTTATCTTATCATATCAAATATTTTCTTAATTCATATAATTACTCTTCAAAAATATTATTTAATATATTTGAGATTTAAATTTTAATACTTTACAATCTTCTTTACATAAAAAGAATGAAAGACATTATTTTCAAATTAGTCCTAACTAATATAAGTAAGAATTAATTAGTTGTAATTAATGTAGATTTAAGTATTTTATATATGTAAATATATACAAATATAATAAGAGGGTATCTTCCTCCAAACTAATGGAGTGTGAAAATTAATTAATATTATCTCTTTGTGAAAAGCCATGCTAACGTGGGTCGTCGTGGTTGGTAAAACTATGCTTTCTTCAACATAAAACTTCTATGCATGCTAGTCCCTGTCCACGCTTATATATATATATATATATATATATATATATATATATATATGATAAATTTAATTTTTATATATGTTCCATTAAAAGAAAAGTTTTTTTTTTTTTTTTCAGCTTAGTCTAAGCAATATTTTGGAATATTTTGGAAATTAATCCCAAGGGTTGAATAATGATTATTTCTGATCTTTATTCACCTACTTATTTCATTCTGCAACACAGGATTAAGAAAGTAACAAAATCAATAGTCAAGTAGGGGTGAATTCAGCTTGAAACCACGACATCGGCATTAAAAACAGAATCTTTTCTATCACCAAACAAGACCTTTTGATGAAAGCTACTAGCTCTGGTGCCTCATAATAATACAACGAAATCAACTATCCTTACAAGCAAGAATATCATCGATACGCCGACTTATCATAGTTCTTAGTTCAATCTAATGTGACCTTAACTACCAAAAGTAGCCCTTTTTATTCAACCAAGTAGTTTTGTTGGGCTTTTGGGCAAAGTTCTAGCTATATTGCAAACTCAAAAGGGCTGAGAAAGATGGCTCTTCCACAAAACTTGTGAGATCAAGCAGAGCTTACAAGAACAAACAATGGTGTATCTCCTAACCGTTCCCGGCCCTGCAATATAAAGGAAGAAAAGAATAAAAAAGAAAGCAAACAGCAACGCATAAATGACAAAGAAGAGTATAATATACTTTGACCTTGACTCATAGCACAGGAATGAGAAACCAACATAACAAACAAGTCAGCAACTTCAAAGCTATACTAATTGATACATGGAAGAGAAGACAGCAAAAACTGAAATGAAGATACAGTTAGTAATCTTAGTTATTGGCTTACTGTCAATGCAGGCCTAAATTTCCATGTGGATTTAAGTCCATGCCTCTATGCTCTAGTTGACTTGATATTAATAATAATGATTACTCGAAATTTACTGTCATAACTTTTGCTAGTTATTTTTAAAAGAAAAGACATAGGTCCCATCATACAAGGCCCCATTGAATAAAAATGACAAAAACTAGTGAAAGAAATGCAATTAGAATAAGAGTAAGAAATCAAGCTCCTTAACACCCTGTATCACATATAAAAGAACAACAATAGTTGTAATAAAGATGACATTGGAATTATGTCTTTAAGAACTTATTGTCCACCCTAACATGTTTTGGGATAGGCTCAAAAAAGAAGAAAAAGAAAATAACATTTTGCAATATGAAACTAAAGCACGGATGAGATTCAGTATTTCACCTCGTATGGCACCAAAAAACTTGCCATCAGATCTTATGTAAGCAACAACTGGCAGACTTATCCTTTTACAATACTGTAACACTTTTTTTTTTTCTTTTTTGCCGTTCTAAAGCTGAAATACTATTCTAAATACTTATGGTTACCCCCTTGACATGCCTAACTACAAGCTACCCCATAACAAATTTATGGATATGTTAATAAGCTCAACCTGTAGTTTTATTCATCAAAATAGTTTCAAAATATAAATCTGTGTAAAGCTCAGCATTATCTCAGAGACCAATTAGGAAGGTAAAAGAAACAGAAGCTTATTAGCTTAGTGATTATTGACAGGCAGCAGGTAGCAGGTATCAGGTAGGTCTGAGATTAGGAACACATACCTTTAGCTCTGGTAATTCAATAACACAAGCACACTCCACAACATGCACTCCAACACGCTCTGCAAAAGACAGGCATTCATGTAAATAGCAATGCTCTAATAAGAAACCAGGAGCAAGAGGATGTTCCAACGCAAGGAAAAGACAATCATAAGGCACTTCCTTGTTCTACTCCCTAAAGTTATAGGCCCGTTTATAGTTGATCATGAAAGTGACTGTGACCAAGCAAAGCCATTCTCTAGAATATTATGGCACATAAAGGTGAAAATAAGAAAGATATTGACATTCATATTTAAATTGAACTACCAAGTAGCCTGATTGCAGCACACAGGGTTCCACCAGTGGCAACAAGATCATCTATTATCAAAGCACGTTCTCCTGCTTGCATGGCACCAACATGCATCTCAATTTTGTCTGTTCCATACTCCAAAGAATACTCCTCCGATATAACCTCACCTAATAAAGATCAAAACATTTAGCATTTAATACAAAGGTCATTGTCATAGTGCTGTGCTTGAATTTGTTGAAGAAATTGGCAATTTACCGAAATTGAACAGAATGCAATATTATCAACAATGAACCACATTAATATATTTGTAGAGTCATTCATTCACGAATCATATGATGACGACAAAAATGAACTATAAAAGGAAAAATAAAAAAGCATTTTGAGAATGGCGAACTTATGGTAGAGCTGGAATAAATAAATAACGATTACGAATTATGATTCTATGATAGTCAAAAGCTTCAATGCTAATAACAACTTGAGGCAACAGAAGTGTACAATTCATTAGGAAATAAAATAAGAAGCAGAAGATGTACCAGGCAGCTTATTGGGTTTCCTCAGAGGAACAAACTTGGCCCCAATAGCTAATGCAATGGGTGGACCAAATATGAATCCCCTTGCTTCTATACCTGCATTATGCTATCAATATTACATCATCTACAAAAATCACAGACAAAATTACTACATATCCGAGCAAAAAAAAGACCAGACATTATTTTAGCAAAAGAAAAATGACACAACACCGAATTAATGAAATTTGATCTGTTACCAGATGCACTGTAATGTCCTTCTCAGATTCTTGACCTTATTGCTTGGTAACCGACCGATCAAGTGATTTTCACGTGTTCAAAACGGATTGATACTATGTATTGAGACAAGGAATTACCTGCAACAACAGAGATATCTTTCTCTCTGTACCTCTCAACAAACAAATCAATAGTATCACGAAATGCTTTGGTATCAAGAAGCAAAGTAGTTATGTCTTGAAATAAAATCCCTGACCAAAAGGAAGAACAACTCAAAAGAATTAATAAATTCAAAAAAAAAAAAAGAAGAAGTAAAGAAGCCAAAGGCAAAGAAGAGTAAACGGTAATTTCCTTTACCTGGTTTAGGGAAGTTTGGGATGACACGAATCACAGAAGAAATTTTGGAAATCCGAGGGTCTTGTTCATCTTGAGACGCCATTTTTGTTTGATTTGTCACTGAGTCAGTCGCTGCTCAAACTCAAACACGGGACACACCCAATCAGATGCTTTGGATTTTGTTTTGCCAGAACAGAAAAAGAGACCAGCATGCGTGACAGAGAAAGGCTGCCCAGTTGACGCTCAGACCAACCAAAAAATACCCAAAAAAGCAACCAATTATAATCTATTTATGTTTATTTGACCAGATTGCCCCTGTCCTAAATATCTTCCTCCTACGCCATTTTTACGTTAATAGCCTTTTAACCGACACTCTTGTAATACTGTGTTTTTTAGTTGGGGAGAGTCGATGAAAAAACAAACACATTACCAGAGCAGAGCAGGGGAGTGGGGGTACGTTGGTAATTATGCAAGCGAAGTACTGGTGGCTGGAAGGAAGTGGAAGGGCCGATCCAGCGGCAGTTTCGTATGGGGAACACGGCGTTGACAGGCGGAGTAGGCGGTGTGGACAATTGAGGAGTGATTGGATTTGGAGAAGAGAAAATTAAAACTCTTCGCATCGTTTTGCGCCAGCGATGACTATATTATAAAACAACAAAAGAAACAGAAAAAACTAAAGAAACGAAACAAAAGCAGACTCAAGCTAGAAGAAATTAAAAGACCATGAGTTTCAAATGTTAAAAACTTTGACATGGAACATACGTGCCAATTTTTGGAAGTTGTTGAGGGTAATTTGGTCAATACGAGAATATTGATGTCAGAAAACGCCCACCAAACCAGATCAACCGTAAAACTTGAACAAACTGAACTTAGTTCATGTTATATCTACTTTGTTTAATAATTAAGATAGGAAAAGTATATATTTAATAAGTAAAATTATTTGGACCCTAAAAATTAAGAAGATTCATTTCATTTTTAAATTCTGCAACCTAACTAGTAAGATGATATATATTCTTAGAATATATTAATATAATTAATTAAAAATATGTATTGATATTTTAATATTATTTGTGAAATTAAAAAATCTAAAATTTTATCAATCCATGACAAAATTAATTACTATTCTGCAGTTAGTTTTTTTGTTTAGGCCTGTAGGCCCGCAAAGCTGACCGGTTCTTTTAGATGGGCTTGTCTGTGGTCTGTATTAGCAAGAGATACTTAGACCAAACCAATTTTTTGGGTTGGCTTTTCCAATGAGGCTTGGCAGAGTGAGTTGTTACTCCTAAAATGATAAAGGCTTTTTCTTTTCTTTAATTCTAGGCTTACGTAATTATCAAAGTTTAATACTTGCGAGTTGCAGCTAGCCGAATTTGTTTTTCACGGGCTATATATGTCTGGGTACTCTCAGTCCTGTTAACTCAAAACGTGGCCAAGACTTTATCTGATGTAGGTGGGTGTCTGAAATTAGACCAGATCTAGTTATAGTCCAACGTGACAATGTTCCAGCCGAACAAGTTGCGTGAAAAATGACTTCAACAACGTCCAAATCTTCTTACGTAATTGCTCTATCTAAAATATTTTCCAGTCAAAACACTTGCTCTTGCAAAAGAGTGTGACAGTTTATGCCTTCTTCCATTGAACATTGCTAAAAGCCTTAAGCATCTGATGCTTCAAGGCCTTGATTCGTATTATCCCAGACTGTAAAAAGTATGTGACAAGTTCAATGACTCATCACTGACTGCTTTGGATAAATCTAAAACGAGAAACCCATGTTTGCACCCACATTAATTTCATACTTGGTTTGTAACTGAAGTAAAAAGATTAAAATATTTGATTAGGTAAGCGATGACTTAAGGGCGGCCTTGCCTGCCTCCGCTGCTCTCTGATGCCCGCATATATGTAATTTCTCATGCTTATCCTGCTTTGGTTTTCATCTTGGACTAAATAATTATTCCCCTGTGAGTTTCTTTTGGCTTGAGCGTTGAAGGAAACAAATCTTTTTGAGCATCTCACTGTCTAGAGTGTAATTGTCGAAGCATAGCAATGGAGGCAAGTTGCAAAAGAAAGTAAGACTACAAGGTTAATTTATAGTTATCAATCTCTTCACCACTACAATGTACCTTTCCTAATCAAGGAGAAAATTTATATAAAATTTTTTAGGTAAAGTTTGTGAAGGTATCTTTTAAAAATTATTTAATAAAAATTTTAATAAAAATATAAAACAATAGATTTATAGAATTTAATATGAAAATCATGTAAAAAATTATTAAAATATTATTTATAATTCAAATTTAATTGTTATTTATTTAATGATGAAAATTTATCCATATTTTTACTAAAAATATTCAGATAAAAATATATATCAATTTTTTTTAAAAATTTTCAAATTTTATATATTTAATTTATACAATAAATATTTTAATTTATTAATTTTGATTTTAATTTACAATTTAAATTTTTATTTAATCATTTTTAATTAAAAATTTTTCAAACTTCAGTAAAAAAATCCATCTAAGTTCTTCTCTCCTAATCAGAGCCCAATGTAAAAAAAAAAAAAATTCCTGTCAGAAAATTGGAAAGTGCGGAGACAGAATGAAATCAAATCCTTAATTCATCAAAACTGTTTTAAAAGCACTTGTCCACGTGCATGTACGAGAGACTTCACGCCTCCATTTGTTAATTACCAACAGTCTTTTCCGGCACAAAATTAAAGAAAGTTGGACTTGGTCCCTCGAATGATATGGCAACTAGCAATCAGCTCTTGATTGGAAAGTACTACCCCCAAATTTTAAGTTGATTCGAGTCGGTGGAATGCAAATGAGTCGGCCCCGAATGACTAGGAAAACTCTTAGCAGCAGCAATTTGCTTGGGAATATAGCCTAGCCCCGGCTGCTTTTACAAATGGCTGGCGTGGGTCCTGAATTTGCAACCGCGTATGATTTTGACTCTGTCCGGGCTGTTCTGTATTTGACTTGGAAGCTCTCCTCCTTTCCGAGTCATGCCACTTTAAAAAACTCACTCCTTTTAAAACTCGGACCCACCGTCTACTACTTCCTTCTCAGTTCTTAGATTGAATCTTCTTTCTTTGACCGACTCTTAGGAACCGCCCCTTTAGCTCTTAGCCACCAAGAAAACCCAACTAAACGCGCCAAGCAACTAACTAGTTGTCTATATTATATAACTTTAGCTTTACTTTCTCGCCATCTGTCACGCAACTTCCTTCCCTCCACTCCCCTTTAAAATCCCCTCACCCTCACTCTCACTCTTCAAGTTACGATTTACCCTTCTCTATTTGCTCAACCCAAAACTTCAAAACTTCCTCTACATCAACAAAAGTCTCTTCCTTTTTTTGTGTGTGCGTGTTTTCCAGTGTTTAAATCAGATGGCTTTGGAAGCTCTTAACTCTCCAACAGCTGCCACAGCTCCTTTTCACTTTGAAGATAGCAGCTTGCACGGCCTGGAGTCATTTACTAAGCGTAAGCGCTCAAAGCGACCACGATTCGAACATGTTCCCACCGAGGAAGAATATCTGGCTCTCTGTCTTATCATGCTAGCACGCGGTGGCGGAGCCACCTCCAATTCCACAATCCCATATCGCCACCGCTCGCCTACTCCAACTCCCGCGCCACGGCCAGCACAAGCACAAGCACCAGCACCGACCTCAACAGAGCAAAAACTTAGCTACAAGTGCAGCGTTTGCAACAAGGCCTTTAACTCTTACCAGGCTTTAGGTGGCCACAAAGCCAGCCACCGTAAGCTTTCAGGCGGTAACGATGACCAGTCAACATCAACAACCACCTCTGCGACCGCCGGTAGAGTCACTTCAGCCGCATCGAATCCAAGCGGTAGGTCCCACGAGTGTTCCATCTGCCACAAAAGCTTCCCCACAGGCCAGGCCTTGGGAGGCCACAAGCGATGCCACTATGAAGGTAGAGCTGGGAATAGCGCTAGCGGCGTGACCACATCTGAAGGAGTGGGCTCTACCATCACCATGAGCCACATCAACCACCAGGACTTTGACCTTAACCTGCCGGCTTTGCCAGAATTCTCACCAGCTTTCTTTGTTTCCGGCGGTGATGATGAAGTGGAAAGCCCACACCCTTCTAAGAAGCCACGTTTCTGGATGTCACCGAAAATTGAAGTCAACTAAACAATGAGAACCCTTTTTTTTAATATTTGTAGGAATTAAATTTTAGGCCGGATTCGAATGTATTCTTCTTTTTTTCTTTTCTTTTGGTTTGGTGAGACGAATTCTTTTTTCTGTACATACCACTTAAACAATTGATATTCAGTCTCAATTGCTGCTGTTCTTTTTAATTAATCGATTCAATTATTTTAATTCCTCTTAGTTCAATACCCCACTACTTAGTATTTATCTGCCGCTCACTGGTGTACAATTTTCATACCTTTACACTAACATGCGCTTGCTTAACGTGCGCCGACAAAAGAGCTGTAGTTGATGGTGGCTGGCAGAGGCTGTTGACGCTTCAGTTTGGCGCATGAAAGGGACGGGGGTTTTTAACAGGTAGGAATAGTTACAGTAGCAAAAACAAGTTACAGGCTAAAGGATCACGTGCATGTTGCAAGTTTTATTGTTTTGTTGGCCGAAAAGTGTTCTTAATTATAGTTTGGTTGTGGGGAATAAGAAGATAGGCATGGAGAGCTGGGGCAGTGGGGCTGTTGGGGAGTTTTATTTGTTATTTTGGCACTCCGTTTTCGTGTGGGAAAGTGATTAGGAGTACAGGTGGCTTTTGCTCAAGGGAACCTCCTTTTCTTCTTCTCTTCATTTTTTTTTTCTTATAACTGCCACTATCTTCTTATTATTGGCTGTATTATATGTATTTAATGAATAATGGTTGGGGTAATGATTCGATTCCTTTGGTTGTTTAGGATTTTTTCTCTGTGAATGCCACCATTTTGTCTACACCAATTGTGAAGTCTTACTGCTGCGTGTATGTAATTACAAATAAGGAAAGGGCCGGGGTGGGGTTTGCTTGTTTTGCTGTCTTCCATGTGTCATTATTTAGGTGTTGATTTTATATTTTTGTTTGTACAGCAAAACACATAGCTTGATTTTCCATCTCAACAGAACAAGCTGATAGTATTATTTATTAATTAATCATATATGTACTTTTCATATATACAACAGGATATGAAACAAACGACAAGGAAACCCAAATTGTACCCAAATATAGCTATCAAATGTACAATGCATGCGAATCTTCATTGCTCTTGAGTACTACACGTTTTTTTTCTTTTACAAGATTTAGCATTTGAATTTGTCTGGCTTTGAATGGTACAACAGGAGGAATGGAATGGAAACCATCTCCAACCTTCTCCAGTTTTTAACAATCAAAACTTCTGCTACGGTTAATGTAAATTTCCAGGAACCTTCTTCCTCAAGTACAAAAACACCATTGAATTTGATTTGTCTTAGAGATCTTTCCCAGTTCAAGAAAACTACCAGGCCAAGGCATTGTCATGCGTGTTGTCCAAGTAACCCCCAAGCAAGTAAACAAAGCAATTTGCACATTCAAAAGTTGTGCTGACCACATCATCATCAGTCTCCTGCTATTGGCAATCTGGCATTAATTAAAGTACTTCATCTTCATCTTTTCACACCCAAAATAAGAGATAGTTAAACTTGGTTCTTCAGATTGTTTAACCAAGTACGTAATCTTTTGCCATTTGCTCTTCCATAAAACCTGATCTAAAGGAATTTGGTGATCACTCGAATTTGATCAGTTGGCACATTGTTTCTAATTCCTTTTTTTTTTTCCCCAAGAGAATGTTCTGTCAAAAGAAAGCGAATTATAAAACTACACAAATTAAACAATATGCTTATTTTTAGCCTTAATTAGTGCAAAATGTGTACTTCTGGATGGCAAAACTTGGGTTTTAACTAAATATAGGGAAAATGAAGCCACTTCGCGTAAGGGAAGGGATGCTTGCATACACTAATTAAATTCTTTAATTTTATTTCTTCTTCTATACTTTGGTGCATGCAGGCACAGGAGAGGTTACGAAATACTAATAAATTAAAAAAAAATTTTGACGAAGTCAACTAGTGTCTGAACTGAAAGGCAACTGTATAACCGCGTGGAACAGTCATGGCTCAGCTTATGAAAGCGAGGGTTTTCTTTGACAAAGTCTTGTAAGAATGTATTAATAACACTCTATGCTTATATATGAAACTGAATTTTCTCTATCAACCAAAGTTCTAAATAGATATAGATAGGCCTCCTTTGATAGATGTATCTGTGGCCGTCCATCTATTTGAGATTGTTAAAATTTAAATTTTAAATTACAAAAATTAAGAATTTAATATTTTACAAAATAAAATCTCAGACAACAATGTTAACTCATTTTATAAGTTGATAAGATATAACTAATTAGATTTGACAAACTACTTATTGATTAAAGAATATGCTATTAGTACATAATTAATTAAGATGACATAGAAGCAGTGTCCAAGTGCTTCATTTTATTACTTAAGATTCATTTGAATAGATAGTAAAATTGATTTTGATAAAATTAAAAATAACTGTGATAATAAAATTAATTACAAGAATATTGGATATTGAAGCAATAAGATTAAAATGAATAATAAAATTTATGTTTAAATGTAAACACAATTGTAGTAACAAGGTGAAGTATAGTAAAAAAATAACAATTAAAAATATTAAATTAAAATTTATGTGTAATGAAATTTATCGTATATATTTAATATTTATAAAATTAATAAATAATTAAAAATTTTAAAATTTATAATATATTATGTTTTTACGTTTTGTAGTTATGTATTATAATATTATAATTATTTATTACATAATCAATTATATTATAAAATTATTTTATATAATTAGTTATATGTATAAATATATTTATTTGTGTATTTACTTAAATTTTTTGTTATTTAGTTGTTTATTATATAACTATATAAGTTTATTTATCACTTTAAATAAATAAATAATTGAAAATATTTATAAAATTACAAAAAAAATCAGGGTTAAAAGGGGAAAGGCATGCTTCGATGGAAACAATGGTTTTCTACTGGACTTTAAATATGATCGGTAATTTAACTTATCACCGATGGGTTCTGACCCGATCCGATCTTACGGGGTTGATTTTTATTTTCAAAATTCAAGTTTCGGATCGAGTCGGGTAAGCTTATAAAACAATTGGATTCAGGTTTTAGGCAAACTCGACCCGACCCGATATTATGTAAAAATTATTTTTAATTAATTATTTATATATTTATTTAATAATATTTTTAAATATTTATATTTAAAAAATAATATTTTATTAATTTTAGATTGAATCGAGTACAATTTATATAGTATCGAATCGGAATCAGATTCGGATATGAAAAAATAAAAATTTTTTGAATAGAATCGAGTTCAGAGCGAGCAAAATTTGTCTCGAATTCGACCCGATGTCAACACTAACTTTAAAGCTCCAATTACGAATTGTGGGTACAATACATTAAATATATCTCTACTAGACCATTCTTTTGTTATCCAAATGCCATAAAAGTGAGGTTATCTCCTCTAACCACATCGCATTGACCAAAAACAGAGATCCAAATGGAACCTTAATCTGGCTTACCATGAGAAAATTTAACAAAATTTGTCAAACAAGAATGGGCTGATGACATATAAAGTGATCACACATGTACATGTAATTTAGGAAACATCTTACATGTTCGATGACCATTTGACAAGGCATGAAAAAGTCAATAGTCCAAATTTGTCATCAAATTTTTTTTTTTTTGAGAACTTGTGAGGTTCTAGAGGTGCCGACCACTATTTTCTAATCTAAAAAGTTGATGTATGAACTAGAATAATTTTGAATAATGTGATAGTGCTTTAAAATTCAACCAAATTTATTGTTCGTTTGCCAAATATAGCTATTCCATATGTCAATACCTAAAATTTCGAGCTTCAAGTGCCAAACTCGACTCTCAATGGCAAGAAGCTTCTCTTCTCCAAGTTCTTTGTATTTGAGCGATTTGACCGTACGGTATGACTGGGAGCGAAAACGACGTCGTTCAATTTGGTGTTAAATTTTCGGCACGTGGTAAAGCCCAACTGCGACTGATCTACCATTGGTTGATAGTTGACAACGAATCCATCAAAAAGGGTTGGATGGTTGGTGTTGAATCGGCTAAGTTTGACAAAATAAACTGGACCAGATTCAATGCAATTTCATTACCTGTATCCACTTTACAAGTTCTTTCCCCCTGAACATTGAGTGTATTGATTTGCAACATTCAATAACATATGGTTAAAAAAAAAAGGTGGTTCCGTATAGTTAACATGCATCGTTGAGTTTGACTTCTCAAGTTGGACCTGCTTTTATGCAGTATCCATTTGCAGTTTTATGAACTGTTTTTATTTTAAAGTAAATACAGTAATTTGTGTAACGATGTTATGTAAAATATTAAAATTTTATATATTTATATTGTGTTTTATATAAAAATTATATATTATAAGTTGTGTTAATATAAATTTTTTTATTTTGTTAAAATTATTTATAATTTTTATTAAAATTTTAAATTATATTATTTTTATAGATGAAATTAGATCAAGTGGATGATCTGTGGCATCCACATCTACCGTTAAAAAATGCTATAGCAGAACAGATTAAGCTCAAAACTGAAATGGATAAACTTTTCTTTGTCTTTTTTTTATATGACAAAAAAGGGAAGAAAAGTATTCATCACGACGATTTGGGAACGTGGCATGAAACAACACTTTTAATCGGTTAATGCCTTGGAAGTGGAACGGGAACACCAAGACAGAGACATAATCTGATGTTGCCATAGCCCATAGCTGAAGCTGCTATCAGACACCTACTCTTTACTTTTCTTAAGTACAAAGAGCACCCCCATAGCCGTAGAATATGCCCAGGCTAAAAATGAAGGCGCGCCCACCGTGGGGCTCGAACCCACGACCACAAGGTTAAGAGCCTTGCGCTCTACCGACTGAGCTAGACGGGCTTTGTTGGCTCTTCCCAATGCAGGTTCCACTATAAACAAGGATTTTTAAATTTTAAATCCGTTACACGAGAGGCCCAAACCAAACCCAAGTACGTGCCAGGCTTTTAACTGGGCCATCGAGATAGAAAAGAAAGCAGCTTTTATATATCTTTTCTACGTAATTGGGCAATCAATGAGGTCTGAAATAAACATACTCGAATCCATTATCCATCTCTATATATATTTTTTGTTGCTTTAGATTACCATTGAGATTCAATAATGAAATTTTTAATTTTAAAATCAACTCTTATTATCCATTTATATATTATTAATATTTAAAATAGTACATATAATTTCTTTTATACATAAGATAATAGATAAGATTTAACGATAATTATTTTATGTTATATTTTTTTAGTATCTTAAAAAATGATAAAATTGAGAAAAAGATTAATTATTTTTTTGATATAAGATGAATTAACTCTCTTAAAATAAAAAAAATTATTTTTAATCCATTAAATTAAATTTACATGTCTTATTATATTTTTACAAAATTATATTAATAATTTAAATTATATAAACTTTAAAAATAGATAATTTTAATAAATAAATAAAATTATTTTGTCATAATCTTTAAACATATCAATCAAAAAATAAAATGATATTATTTAATTTAATTTTATTAATAATATTATTTTATTTTATATTATCATAATTTTATACACTAAATACACTTATAAATCATGAAACTCCTTTTTTGTCTAGTAAAATTATAAAAAGACCACACAGGACGAAATGGTTTTTTTTTTTTATTCTTCTTCTGAAAGCAGGACGAAATGGTTTTTTATTACTACAGGCTACATGCCATAAAAAGTGTCAGCTGATAATTAGCCAAAGAAACAATATGACGTCATCTTGCTGGAAACCGCATGCACAATTGTCCACCACTGAACTTGCTCTAAAAAGTCAAACAATAACATTAGAAAAGCTGAATGCCAGAAGTTTTCTTGTTGTCTTTGATGAGAGATCCACTTGTGCATATAAAATTTGGTCTTTGATTATCGTTTCTGTTGGCTGTGTTTTGCTGTTCTTTGATGAGATCCACTTGTACTAGAAAAATAAATATTTTTAATGACCTAGATCCCATGTCAAATTGAAACAGATCATATATTCATACTCCAATTGCATGCTAATATATGCTATCGATGCTTTTAACCAATTATTCTCTTGTTATATGCCATAGATGCTCCCAACCCAATCTGCCATTGGTTACAAACAAAATAAATCATATTCCGAAGATAAGATTGAAAAATTACTTAAGGCTCATTTATGACTATTAATCTATATATTTATATAATATTTTATATAAAAATTATGTGTCATAATTTATATATAAAAAAATAAAATATTTTTTAATATTTTTAAAATTTATATATAATTTTTATAAAATTTTAAATCGTATTATTTTTATATTTTTATATTATATTTTACATTATGGCATCTAAAATGATTATGATAGAAGAGGGATTTGAAACTTATTAGACCTCGATGTCTATACCTAAACAAAGCTACAAGAAAAGGTAAAACTGATTTGAGCTAGCCAAAAAGTAGCATGTCATCAAAATGAATTATATTCCTATTTACTACCAACCAATATGTTCCATTACTATTTCTTGACTAATGCTAAAGCAGCACCTTAGCCGATAAGGATGGCTGTCGGGGTCCGTCCTGAACTTTACAGATAATTTCAATCGCACGTCATTTAAGATTCCCACTAAGCCCATTCCTTTACTCTTAAAACAAACCTTCATTATTTGTTTTCAAGTTTTGTGCGTTTTAATCATATATTTATTTGTTTTTTTAATATGATTAATATATGGATTCACATCTTAATTTATCTCATTTGACAATAATTCATGAATCAAATTATTAAATAAATATTTTTTACAAAAAAAAAATCAATCAATTAAATTAAAAGATAGCTTTTAGGAAGAGAGATCTAAATAATCGATCGGCTTAGTACTTTTAATAACTCGTACTTAATGGAAGTACAGAAAAGGTTGAGAAATTGGATGGACTAAACCAATCGAACGATCCACATTAATGAAAGGGTGGAATCCAACGGTGCACATGAAAACAAGAAAAAAGGAAGCGGAAACACGGAGACGCTCGTGCCGAGAGTTTGGAACTAGGAAGATATTCCCCCAGCATTGTAAAAGAAAAATGCTTAACCCAACCATGGTTAACTAAACTCAACCTTAATCATCACGTTGTTTAATATACCCCTCTCTTTGTAGCCCTTTCATCGCGTGCTATACCATTTCCTTAGGTGGTTCAAGTTCACTCTTTTCACTTACCTTTTTTTTTTTTTTTTTAACTTAGCTTGAAACGCAAGAAATCTACGGTCAACAAAAGGATCATAATTTCTTGATTTTTTTGTTTTGTTTTTATTAAGATCAGACGGTGGTTAGTTGAGTAAAAGTATGAGTTGCAACGGTTGCCGCGTGCTCCGAAAGGGGTGCAGCGAGACATGCGTGTTACGGTCCAGCATAAGCTGGATCGATACCCCCGAAGCCCAAGGCAACGCCACCTTATTTCTCGCGAAGTTTTTCGGCCGTAGTGACCTCCTTTCCCTTATCTCCTCCGTCCCCGAACCCCAACGCCCCGGTACCCCTAAAAATACTTCAATTATCTTTTTGACCTATCGAATTTTTGTTTTATTTTTATGCATATTTAAAAAGTACGTTCTTCTTTTTTTATATAGTTTTGTTTCAGTCTTTATTGTATGAGGCATGTGGCCGTAGCGTGAATCCGGTGAACGGAGCGGTAGGGCTGTTATCGAATGGTAACTGGCATATCTGCCAAGCGGCGGTAGAAACGGTGCTTCAAGGTGGAGCTTTACGGCCGATTCAGGAGATTCTAGCCGGTGTTTCGACGTCGAGTTGCGACGATTTATCTGATCGTTTCTGTGCCAACTCATGCAACTTCCAAAGCCGTTACGCTCAGTCCAAGCCTTTGATGACGACGATGATGATGGAGAATCAATCGGTTTTAACGGCGTCGGATCTCAGCCTCTCTTTGACAACCAAGTTCGGTGGAGGAAGACGTGGAACCGGCAGGGAATACGAAGAAGAAAAGAAAAGAGCAAAAACGGTGTCATTTTATTCGGAGGAATCGGGGAAAACTACTTCTGAAAGCAACGAAAACGACGGAAGACAAGAGAGAAAGATTTTGAATCTCTTCGTTTGAGAAAACCAAGACTAAAAGAAACCGGTCTTTTTTTATAAACCGGCGATGTAGTAAATAATAAAAGAGAAAATAATAAGAATCGAAAGTTTCTTAATCACTGAATCAAAGAACTGAGTACATATTACTTTAATTTTATCATCATTTTTATTTTCAATCTCACAATTATTAATCCTATTTCATTATCATGTCCGACGAACCTGAAGTTGATTGATATTATTACTTGTGCAAGATTTGTTTAATTAACTTGTTTATAGAGGTCACTTATTCCCTTTTTTTTTTTTTTTCATAATCTAACTTTCACTCAAAAAATAAGATTAATTTGTAAAATTGGCACTTAAATTATATCATTTTTTCTGATTCATGATTTGGTATCTTAAGTTTGCTTTTATCAAGTATTTTACATCATTTAATGGTGTTAAATAAAATAATGATACGATAAATATTACCAATAAAAATATATTACATGTGTTGAATTTTTATTACATTAGTATAGCATTAATGAATATGTTGTCTCATGCAGTAGTACCAAGCGTATGAATGAAGGAAGGGTAGAAAGAGAAAAAGCCAAAAATGGTGGGAAGGGGATAATCCCGAAGTTTAGATTTTGCACAAATAAGAAATGGTGCGGTGCACGTCAGGCTGCACCACCTCCCTCTATACCCCCTAGTCGTCCTCAATTGGAAGTAGGTTCCACGGCATCACCCTTTCTTTTCTTTCTCTCTTTTTATTTTTTTAGAAAAGCGAAGCTCTGTTGTTCCATTCCAGCGCTTCGCCGCGTCTATTTGCATATGCCGTGGATCCCACTTGATTTTTTAACTTCACTCTTTTGGTAAGAGATGAAGGAGAAAGAAGAAAGGACGTGGAAAGAATTTTTTTTTATTTGATAAGAAAAATAAAAATCCAGTATTGTATTTTTCTTACTTGTATTATTCCATTTTTCTACTAAGCAAAAAATTAAAAGGAAGATTGTTGGGGGTTGTAAGTAGTTTTCATTCTGACCAGATACAGAGGATTACACACCGTTCATTATATGAACACAAAGAAAAACAAAACTTAATTAAGGAACCATCAACTATAATTGGACGTAAAGCTAAATTTTCATTTATCAAAACAAAAAGACCAAAATGAATGATAATTCTTATGCTTGTAAAACTCAATCGATCATTGAAAAGTTTCTTATTACCTTTAACAACCTTAAATTCGGATGAAATGGAAATAGGGGTTGATGGATGTCATGTTAGTATAAGAGGAAGGCAGTGAAATCACAAGCCGGAAGGTCAACGATCTAGTTGTAAAATGTGTGTTCTCAGACTACATTCTTTCACCTGGTGATTAGAATAGTTAGGTTAAAAAAAGTTATATATGTATGGCAATTCCTCTAATCAAACAAAACGAGGATATTTTTACCTGCATGGCTGCAATTGTTGGCAGAAGTTCTTCGCACTGATCCAGTAAAGCGAACTCATTTACACTTAAATTTCCAAGTTCTGCCACCAAAGAGCTGACTGTTGCAACCTATCAGCCAAAGTAAGACAAAAAAAAGAATGTAAAAATTAGATGCAAGCATAAAAGACAGTAAGCTATAGTTTATCATTTTCATCCAAAATTCAAAGGGTAAATTCCACAGCCTAAAGCAAACACACAATTGGATCATCCTATGTCAGTTCTAATACGGGTTGGACTGCTTGTGCAATCAAGTTATTAAACCTAACAAAAAATCGATTTGATTAGCAACTTTAGTTACTGCAACAATTTCAGAACTTCACTCTTTGAGAATCATATAGAATTTTACAGCAGCCACCATCTTAACTTATGGCAATCCAATTGAATCAACAGATCACATGTCAAACAACAAACTCTAAGGCTTAAGCTCATACCAGAGGTCAACCTTTGACATTGTGTACATGTCAGGTGATAAAAATTGTAACTTACTAATACGGGGTTACATCTCTAACTATACAAACCAATTGCTGGATGCTTTGGTCAAGTAAGAATATATTCTATGTAGAGTACAAAAAGGGTAAGAGGAGAAAAAGCAAGTGTTGGTTTATTTGTTGATGAAGGCTATATCATAATTACAGAAACATGGAAACAACTAGCTGGAAAGACTGATAACCTGGTGACCTTATTGTAGTATGGATAGTTATTTTCATTTCTCTGGGGTTAATAAAATCAACCAAACGCTGGCCAACCATAGTATAAACTCATTATTCAACCAAAGTAAGGCCACAAGACTAAAACCTACAACTTTATACAAATGGAGAGTCATGAGATCATCAATCTTCAAAAAGATAATATTATTAAATGAAGGAAAATCTCTGTACATGGTCAAACCATGTTAAATACAGGGCATATACCTAATTTGTAAATAAAAGAGTACTCAACCTTCAGATCCTTGTCCAACATAAAATTTTCAGACTGGTAGCAATATTTTACTATTACATTAATTTTTGCTGGTTGCAGCTTGTCTAAAACTAGTACTTAGGAAGAGAAACAGTTTGCACATAAAATAGGGAAAAAGGAAAATTCAAAGTTTGCACATTAAAAAAAAAAAAGAAAGGAGGGGAGGGTGAAGGGGAAGGAGGGGCTGAGGATGAGGATGAAGAAAAAAGAAAGCAGGAATTACCTTTGATAACAATGGGCATATGGAGAATGTTATTGCCTGCATTACATCAACTGCTGAACAAATTGCATCCTTCAATTTTGGGACATCAGCCTGTAAAATGACGAGACGAGCAAGATGTTTCTTGTGAGACGCAAGCAAGCTACTGCATTGGCAGCTGAGATGCCACATCTTAAATGAAAATGGAAAAGGTTGGAAGAAGGAATTTACCCGCGCCCCGCTAACAACTGGAAGGCGGAGCGTGCTAGCCATCAAAGCTTCACTAGCCCCAGACAAAGAACTGCAATAATCATGGTCCAAGACAGCCCATTCATCCAAAAGTTCCATCTGCCTCAGAAATAAAAATAGTATAAATACAGTAGCCAATAGATGAAAAAGCATTGGATTGCATGAACTGAAACATGCAATTCACATCAGATATTTGAACGAAGCAATGGCTAGATAACAAGAATGTAAATTTCAGGTTTCTTCAGATAAGCAGCAACTTGCAAAGTACATTCATGAATCATGAGGTTAGGCATTCAAGTTCCAATTTCAAGGACAATTAATGAGGAAGGAAAACGGAAGGGGAAGAGAGACAGCCAGAGAGCAGAGCAAGACAGAGAGATCTCCACTTGGGAATGTAATGGCAGTGGTAGACAATGAAAAACTAGCGATAATCGAGTTAAGATCAGCAAAATGATGAGAAGACATAAAACAACCGAAGAAAAAATCAAGTCAACAATAAACAAATCCACAATGGACCACAATGGACAGATGGTTCTTACTTGCCCCTTGAGGATGGAACTCAGCTTCAAGTTTTGCCTCAGCAACTGTAGCTCAGTTCTTTTGGCTCTAACGGATTCTCGCAGTTTTGAAGTGGTTATCCACGCATCATAGAGGCTTTTCTGTTATAAAAACATGATGACAAAAGGATTCTTCGTCATTAAATATGAAAAATATGAGAAAGTGAAGGTAATTTCAAACAAAAAACGTAAGTAACCTGAGAAACAATAGGACAGTTAAACATGATATGCATTACACAAACAAACAATGCAAAAAGATAATTAAAATGAATGTAAATCACGTCAACTGTTAGAATATGAAAAATCTGAATGCAGAAAGCTGCTGCTAAGGCACATATAATCTGCAACCTCTAATTGCTTCTAATTTGAGCAAATTGTAACCAATGTAATGAATACCCTCTTAGACTCATTCTTTAGAACAAGGAGGTCAGCAAATAATGACCGAGCATCTTCCACATAGACATTCAGCTTTCTTGACATTCAATCTTAATTTGAAATCAGAATCTACTGAACTCGGTGTCTCTCACATGGCCCTGCATTTAGCATGAAGGAAATGCTTTGATATGTAAAGCTGGCATGCAGTCTGTCTTCACCCCATTCTATCACTAAGTTCCCTCTTTCATTCTAGTAGCTTCATCCATTTTCACTTATCAAAGATTGTACTAAGATATCCCTTTCAAGAGTCGAAATAAGCATCTCTAATGGAAAAGCTGTTTATAAAGGGTAAGAAAAACTTGTTCACAAGAGAATTCAAAACGCTCAACTGCAACATATAATCAGCCAGCCCTTCTCCAATACGTCAGCTTTTCTTCCCTCAACATGATCAATCTTCACCCCATTATATCATTAAGTTCCATCTTTCATTCTAGTATCTTCATCCATTTTCACTTATCAAAGATTGTACTAAGATATCATTTTCAACAGCCAAAATAAGCATCTCTATTGGAAAAGCAGTTTATAAAAACTTGTTCACAAGAGAATTCAAAATGATCAACCGCAACATATAATCAGCCAGCCCTTCTCCAATACGTCAGCTTTTCTGCCCTCAACATGATCAATCTTCACCCCATTATATCATTAAGTTCCATCTTTCATTCTAGTATCTTCATCCATTTTCACTTATCAAAGATTGTACTAAGATATCATTTTCAACAGCCAAAATAAGCATCTCTATTGGAAAAGCAGTTTATAAAAACTTGTTCACAAGAGAATTCAAAATGATCAACTGCAACATGTAATCATCCAGCCCTTTACCAATACGTCAGCTTCTCTACTCAGCATGATCAATCTCATTTTAAGCCACAAAACAACTTTAACAGGCTCCTTGCACAAAACTGCTTCTACACCATAAAAGCAATTATAATCAATCAAAACATAATAATAAAAACGCTGGAGTGCCAGGCCCCTTCAAGCTGAAGTGGCCTAGAGACTTCCAATTCTACCAAGAAGATCACTGTCTGTGTTTTACCATGGAACAATTCAACTCACAATTTTGTTTGTCAGGGTTTTTCTTGAGTTTTTAAGCAGAAGTTCTGAAATTCCAGGCAGTATGAGTAAGACAAATTACATGCAGCCGGGCTACATTCACACAAATTAAACATAACACAAACCCATGTCCCATTACAGAAATAAATCTTAGCCATGCTACTTTACAAGTGATGATATGCAACATTTGCTGCTGTGAGTTGTACACGGCCAAATTTAGTTAAGGATGAATTCCTACCAACATTGTAATAGTAAAAAGCATGCAAAATCGAAGCATAAAAAGATCGACAGCGTAGTAGCATGCATCAAGCAAATGTAATGGTCAAGCGCAACGAGAGAGAAATTCAAAGTCAATTCTTAGCGCCATACCTCTGCATTAGACTTCTGGGAAGACAGAGCAGCATCTGCTCTAGCATTAACAAAACGCCACTGCAACAGCTTGTTATGAAGTAGCCTCAACAAATGAGCATCGTAAACCTTATTCTCCCCAATCTTACCCATCTTAATAACATCACCAGAAAAGCTCAAAATCGACGGTGTATTTACCAAATTACCACCCAACCCATTCCTCACTCTAGTGGGACTCACTCCCCTCAAAGGAGACGAAGTTGAGGACGCTCCAACCTTACTCGGTGATGCAGGGCGGACAGGCTCACGAATTGGCGATAACTGTCCTCTGCTATTCCCTACACCTTTGGGAGATGACAAAGGACTATCAATTCCGAACTTGTCTGGTGCAATTAGCTTGGACTGCGCAGTATTTTTCTTAGAAACCGGCGAGCCGGGATCGGAGCGGCGTAACCGATTATTAGTCTCTTGCCAGAACCGAGCCGGGACCATTATCCGCCGAGGCCCACGTTTAACGTCTCCGTTCCCGTTACAAGAACTTTCTAGAGCTCCTGAAGTACTACTAGAAGAAACACTTTCAGTATCAGAAGCCGCCAGGTCACAGTGAGCCTCAAATCCAACGGCCGTAACGGCAGTTAAATCCCTGTTATCAATCATGGAATTTTGTAGTGCCCTAACTACATTGCCGTTAACAGATCCGTTTAATCTCTTCCTCTCGTCGGTGCAATCCATGCTTCTACTCACTGAATTCGGTTGCCTTAACCTTACTGGCAACCGCTCCGTCTTTGAGTTCTCTATTTGATCTGTTCCTCTCCCCGGAGTCGTTGTTGCCGCCGTTGGCCTCCGCCTCTCCGGTGTGCCTTTTCTTGTCGCGCTGGGAGATGGAGCTGGTTTAGCTTTGCTAAACTGATGGGCAAACGACTCCCCCTGAAACGAAACGGATAAGCTTCTCGTCGAGGTGAATAGCAACTTCTGAGCAGCGGATAATTCGCCGTTGTTATTGTTACCGTTACTAGTTTTCAAATCTATAGAATTGTTAGGCCCCGGCGTCGCCGCCTGTATCCTCTCCACTGATGGCGACCGCTTGATAGCCGATGGAATCGCGTGCGTTGGCGTCGAAACGGCCGTCGAATGAGAAGTCCTCGAAACCAACGGCGACGGACACCATTTAGAGGAAGCCGCAGAAGAAGATGACAACGGCATCGAAGAATTTGAGGACGGCAACGACGGGGACAAATAACGAGAAGTGACTTCTCGGAACTTTCGACGGCGTGGAGCAATGGCATTGTCGGGGTCGGAAGGCAATAACGGAGGCCGTGACGGATTTTGATGTGGTGGCCCTCCTCCGTGCTGTTTGGGGTTTGCCGTTGCGGATTCTTCAGCTACCATTTGCGTGTACTCACAAAATTCAATTCTCACTAACCGTATCTATTAAAACACCCCAAAAACTTAAAAAAAAAAAAAAGGAAAAATCAGAGTTTAGATTTAATTTAAAAATTTTCAGAGTTTAATAGATTTTCCGAGAGGAAAAAATTAAATGACCGTTGCCGACGAGAGCGTGAGAGGAAAAGCGAGAAAGAGAGAAGGGGGAGAGCAGTGAGTCGGCTGTTTGAGTCATTGAGAGCATAACGGTCATATTATGAGGCTTTTTTGTGCCTTGGGTTGAGGGGCTGTAGAGAGAAAAAAAAAAAAGGAATCTTTTAACTGTGTGTTTTTAATTATATTTCAAAATTGAAGGCCGAGGATTATACTCGCGAGGTTTTACGGGGGATGATACTCGCGTGGAGGAGTGACAACGTGTATAGTTAAGGGCAATATTGGAAAGGAAATTACACGTGGACGCGAGTTTTTGGAGGATATTTTTAGGAGAAAAGGGGGTTGTTGAGTCGAGGAAAGGAGTAAAAAATCTTCAAAGAGACGTTACGCTGACCCAATTTAAATTCTTTTGGGAAAAAATTAGAATTATTATGAGAGCAAAAAATAGCCGTTAACATTTCCTGCCCAAATTGGGACAAGCTCTAACATCGAGTTTTTTATTTGATTTAAATTTTATTTTTTAATCAATGATGAATGCTCAACTACTAAAGAGAATGAGCTTCTATCTTTACTGCTTTGATCTAAACTCATTGAGAGGCTATAAAAAAATGATTTTTCATAAATTAGATTCAAAGAAAATAAATATATTTAATCATAGATTCAAAGAAAAAATATCTTAAAAAAATAAAAAATTATTTATTACTTAAAAAAATAAAGATAATATTATAAATGACCTTTAAATTATAACTAAACATCCGTTATGATAACAAAATTTAAAAAATATCTAATATAATATTTAAATTATAAATTTATTAATTAATATGATATTTTAAAAAATATTTATATGTCACGTATCATTATTTAAAATTATATATTTTATGAGAAAATATCACATTCAAATACCATATTAAATATTTTTAAATTTCAAATACTATATTAAATATTTATTATAATTTAAGAACCATTCATCATATTAATCTAAAAATTTATTTTTCAAAATCTTATATTTTAAAACTTATTATTTTTAATGTATAGTGTTTGTTACCATGAAAAAAATTTTGAAAAAAAAAAAAAGCCAAACACCTAGCTGATAAAAAATATAAAAAATATATTCACCTCGTTAATGAAAAAACCAATCTCCAAAATCATAAAGCTAACCAACATATTAAATTTCAATTACATAATAATATATAAAAATACAATTAAAACAATAATCAATTAAAAAATAACTTACACAAAATCAACTAAAAAAACTCACCAAAAATAACAAAAAGTTATTTTATAAAATTACCATATATAGAATTTAATTTTTTTATTCAAAAAATTATCTCCTAAAAATAAAAAACTAAAGCAATTAAATTTGAAATATTTTTAATAAATTTCAAAAAAAAAAAACTATAACCAATCAACACAAAGAGCCATATAAAAAGCTCTAATTATAAAATTTTCAAACTCTTTTTTAAATATAAAAAAAAAATCTAAGAACCGGAAAAGATAACATTTTTAAAATTATTTTTATAAAATTAAAAATTTTCCAAATGAAGCAAGGTAGCATTCTAACAATAAAGCGGAAGATCAAATGATTAAAATAAGCTAAGTTATTAGCAACACCAATCATCGTTACTAACGAACTTTTTAAGTGCTTCTAAAGAAGAAATTACATGACAATTATCCTAATTTGAGTTGTTCCATCTCCACTAAACTTTAACTTTATTTCCAAGACTTTCTCTTATCAAAATCTTTTATAAAGTATTGTTATTGAAGTTAATTTGAGTTAGAAAATATGTATTTTAAATGTATGACGAGAAAGATGAGAAAAATGTGATTAAAAATTTAAATATTTAGTATTATTAAAAAAAATGGTAAGTAATTGAAATTATGTGTGTGCATAATTTAGTTTTAATCAAATTAATTAATCGAATCGATTTAATTTTGTTAATCGATCGACCACTGAATTAATTATAGTTGGTTAATGAAATTGATTTTAAAAAAAAATTGATTTTCAGTTAATTTGATTCGAAAATTGAATTAACCAAAAATCTAATCGAAATATAACATAATTCAAATACAAAATGAAAAATACATAAAATAAATCATTTAATTTTATAACTTATTAAAGTTTTTAATATAATACTTTGATAATTAAATATTTTGTTGGATAATTTTATCTAATTTATTTAAAATATAAGAAATTAAGAGTTTAAAATATAATTTAACTTAAATATATTTATTGTTCAGTTAATCGAAAAAAATTAATTGAACCAACCTAAATTAATTTTTGAAATTCATAAATTCAATTTGATTAACAAAAATAAAATAATATAATTTGATTAATTCAATTTGAAATTAATCGAATCGAGTAATTTATTTACCCGAATTTGAAAACACCAAAATTTTTTTTTACTATGTCAAAAACCAACTCTTCCCACCTCAAAACCTTCTATCTATTACCTTAATTGTGATCTAATAATTTGTTCTGTGTCTCCTAAGTATATATAAATGAACAATAACATTGATGAGTGATGACCAATCATTTTCAACCATTGAGCTGCTAAGTACAAAAGCAAACAATCTTTTCTCTTCCAAGCTTTTACGTTAAGGGACCTTTCTTTTTATTATTATTATTATTATATTAATCTTAAATATGAATTTCAAAGTTAGTGAGTTTATCCACATGAACTTTTTTTTAACAATCGAAATCCGGCAAAAAATTTTTTTTTTTGGTTTGAGATTTTTGAGTATTCAATAATTATTTTAAATCTCGATTAATTTAGAATTAAGTCGAATTAAATCTTATAAAAAAAGATAAATCTTTTTAAAATTATTTTTTTCATTCATAAAATTCAAAATCCGATAATTTTAAATATATGCAAAAATAATATAAAAATTATATTTTATAATTTTAATAAAAAATATATATAAATTTTTAAACAATTTATATTTAATATATTGATACAAATTATAACGTAATAAATTTTTTGCTTTTCATATAATTGACACAAAGAAAATAAATACGAATAGGCAAATGATCAAATTCAATTGTAAATAAGTTTTAATAAGTTTTCAACATTAATACCAATTGTAAAGTTAGACAAATATTAGTACAAACTTTTAGATCGCTTTGGAAAAGAAAATGTGATGGTTTCTGTCATGGTTTATGTTTGGCCACTTCTTGCCTGGAGCAAATATCCAGCAAAGTTTACACATTAAATGAGGTCCGTAGAGCATTCAAGCAAAGATGCCAGTCTTTTGTGGTCCTAAAGTTTTTGTTCTGTTCTGTGCATCTCTCAAAGAGTCTGTCATGAAGTACAAATTTGATTTCGTGAACTACACAAAGAGAGAGAGCAAAAATTCCCAAAATTCTACAACTCATAATCACATTTTTTAGGCACCAACACATGCTTCCATGCCTTCCATTAGATTCCATCTAAAGGCCATCCCTTAGATTCCATGCCTAGTGACTAGGAATCAGTCTTCTTTTAAGAAATAGATGCTTAATTATCCGATTAAGTGAATGAAAAACTAAGCTAAATTATGTCTTTCCATGGAAGTGTCCCAAGTACACTGACTAGATTACTACTGTTCTATTGACTATTCGTTCTTGGCTTATTGCTAATGCAAAGAAGAGGAACGCTAAAAAAGTCCCCAATTCCCATCATAACGAGAAGCTAACACCTCACAGTTTATCATTAGCCAAAAGCATCAGTCTCTTTCTAGGATGCTCCGTCCCATGCTGCCTGCATTGACCTTGTCATTGTCCTCTCTACCTACTTTCCTCACTGCAAGCCACTCTTTCCTCCCCATCTGTCCCACATTTCTGATCACCTCTCTCTATTTCTCAGGCTTCCGGGGTTCCAGGGTTAAGGGTTTGAAGCTTTTGTGGTATATTGGTAGGCCTGTCATTTGGAAAGTTATCAAAAAGTTGCATTTTGAATCATGCATCTATTAAGTACCCCACAAAGAGGAGAAAATAAAAAGAAAAGGCAACTAACCAAATGGATAGCATGGCAGAGTTTTTCGACTTTCCTGTTTGGAAGTAGTGGGTCAGTTTTAATCAGAGAGAATATGAAAATGAAATCCAATTTCACTTATACAAACCAGAGTACTGTGCCTATGTCTGCTGTTATCATATCATGGTTTTTAACTTTGCTTAATGAAGGTATTGCTTGTAGCAGAAGCAGAAAAATATTTGTTCCCCAATGCAGAAATGGAATTTGTTTGGGACACATGAAAATCAAGCCCTGCTATAATTGGTAGGAATCCTTTTGAGTCGAAAACCTAATTAAAGAAAACGCCACTGGTTTTCTCTCCATGATTTAGTCATAGTAATAGAAAATCCAACAAAAGAGAGATTTACATTTCCTCATTTTACCAAATCAAGGTTGTTCGGATTGAAAGAAAATTCCGAAAGGTATTTGTTTTCCTCCACAAGCAAAATTTTTTTTTTGTTGCATTAAACGGGGATGGAAAGCCAATTTGGAAAATGATTGACTAAGACAGCGTATGGGTAGAGTTTAATCTATTTGGCAGAACTGACATCTGCCAAATAACTATAGGCAGCCAGAGATGACAGTCAGTTAAAATCGAAACTTTGTTAACAAAATGATGATTAGTAGATCGAAAACGTCCTGCCTTAAGCATCACTTCATTTTATAATTGGAGTTAAAGCAATTAATCCTTATTAAGTAATGTTTTTAAACTTGAGCATATGGTAGCTGCTGGAGCAATGGTCAGGATAAATGATTTTTCTATGGTCCCATTGCTTTGGTGATTATGATATCTACTTTCCACTTCGTACGAGACATAAGCCCAAAGAAAAAAAAAAGAGTCGTGTGATAGTTAGCTATAGGAAGGGACCGTGACCTTCTGTTTTCCATTAAGCTGTTGAAGGAAAAGAAGTAGGCATTTAGGATGGGAAGTATTTCACTTGGTGAGATATTGATTGATGGTCAAAGTGTTTCACTTTTGAAGTAAAGGATTGGATGTTATGAAGGAAAACCAATAAAAACCGTAGTAATGAAATTAACTTGAAGAAGAAGAAGGGAATGTGATTATTTTTGCGCGTTATATGGTCAATGGGGTTGGTGATATATATAAGCAATTCCACTACTTTCGTTGGATTTCTGATGAGCTTTGTTTGTGATCTGGTCACCCTCTCTTCTGTATCTTCTAACTGAAACCACTATTCCTTGTTAGCTTTAATCTTTGTGTGGCAGGTCCACCATGGTTGGCACCATGATTGTTTTCAATCCATGTTTTTTGCTTGTTTTCTGATAGTTGCCGTGATAGTCAATTTCATTAACACTCAGGCAAGTTAGAAGCAATGTAATGGATAGCTAGTCAAAATATTGAACCACAAAAAGTCAGGTAGCCTTAGTTTTATACACGCAAAAAACACTGCAGTAGGTGAAATATTCAAGAGTTTGTGGAGCATGGGACTTCAAGTGTCCCTCAATGATTGCTGGAGTAAAAGGGAGGTATACCTAGCAAGCATTAACTAATGGTCTATGCAAAGAAAAATGAGCTAAGAAAACTTCAGTAGTGAAATATTAGGATGAAGTTCCAAATTCACTAATGTATTGGGCAGCCTCTTTCGTAGGCAGTGAGAGTAACTAGACTCAAAAGATTAAATACATAACCCACAAGGAGTTAGCTCAGTTTGCAAGGAAGGAGCTCTCTTTTCTTGTCAACCAGGATTCAATCTTTGTAGGGAACACTTCGAGAGTAAAATTTTGAATGCATTAGCCTGATGTGGGGAGGTACGCCTTAAGATAGCCCGGGTAGGGGATTAGATCTTGGGCATACCCTATTACAAAAAAAAAAAGAAGGTAAATACAGAGGGGAAAATTAAACATATTTTGATAATTTATCATGATTTACAGTACTGTAAGTTTTTATTCACCAATGTCAAGAACAACTGAGATCTAAGTTCATCCCATTTCTCAAGTCAACTTATAGCGTCCAGTTCAGGCCTTTCAACTGTATTTTATTATATGGCAGAGTTAAGCCTCTATGTTCTCACTAAAATTTCCAAAAGACTATATCAGTCGAGCTAGTTATCATCTTTTTACCTTGTCCAGAATTCAAGAGCCTGGAATCTAATAGCAGACCATAGAAAAAAATAATAATACTGTAGTTAAAAAAAAAAAAAAGAGCTGTGCATAATAAAGGAAAGTGACATCAAGTCAGGCAGTAGTTCTTAAGTACTAACATGGGGTTCGTGATTTTATGTTATGATTGCATTGAATATTTTAGTTATTACATATTATGGGTTGGATTAAGTACACCTTTGTCAATGGAAATAATTCTGGAGTCAAACTAAAAACAGATGCATATGCATATACATAATTTATGAAGCAAAAGAGTAGATTTCCTCCTGAAAGAGTTTCAGGGACACATTCAAAGTAAACAAGAATGAAAAATGATGCTGGTAAAAGAATACTTGAAGAGTTGAAGTACAAATTGGCATGATCTAGTAACTTCTATAATTTACACGTTCATAATTTAGGAAACCAGACAAAACGAAAAGGGAAAGAGGGTGGGGGCCTTTTAATTGAGAGAAGAAATGAGGACGTAGGTGCATTCATCACAATGGGTTTTTGTTACAGAAAGAAGACAATATTTCATACAGTCTCGTTAGTGCTAACACAATCTCCATCCCCACGATAGCAAGTAAGAGGTGACCACCTCAAGCCAGTAGATTGATGAGGCAGACAAGAATCACATATGTCAATTCGAGATGATGATTACGATTGTTGATGTTCAATAACTAGGAAAATTACAGCTCAAATTTTGAGAGATTAAATTTCATCTCAAATCTTTGACAAAGCACCAAATTAGAAACCTACTAATAATTTATTTTTAGAAAATTGGGGGATCAGTTAGCAGCTGTAACACTCGTTTTTTACAGTTTCCTGTTGGAGTTAGATAATAATATTATGTTGTGCAAATCGATATGCTAATTATGTGCCGGGAAAAGGACATAAGGAAGAAGAAAACTTAGAAAGCATAAAAATCAGCTGGTTATTTCTTGCCAAAAACATTCATAGTTCATACACAAACATAAGCTGCATACATAGGCAACCTGAAGTTACTGTCTGGACAGGATACAGAAAACAAGCTGGTTATATAAGATGATACAATTTCTTCAGATCATAGAAATGACTTTGAGATGGCTATGTGGAACCACCATTATTGGGATGACCTGGAGGTGAAGCTTTTGGTATGTATGGAATAAGAGGACTACCATGCTCAATAGGACCAGGTTTTATAGATGCCTTTGAACTTGGAACTGGATCAATGGGATGGTAATCTTCTAGGTCCACATTGCTCCTCTTTTCATTGCTTGGATTGTAGCCATTCCCCTGCAATTTCAGAAGAGAAAATTTCTCAAATTCCATAAAAAGGAGTTCCATAGTTCATTTTGGCCATGTGGTGAATGTACCTTCAGCTTCCTACTTGTTCCTGTTATACTCATGCTACCATCACCATTTTGGGAAAACTCCATACCTGGAACAACATTAAAGAAGCTGGCGGCTATTAACATATAAGAATTATTGAATCCTACAATGATTTATGTCTGGTTGCTGCCATTTATTAGATTTACCAACGCAGTGTATTAACGTTAGCAAGAATATTTGATCTTCATCTAAGCAAAGAAGAGGACATTTCTGATCAGTCAGTGAAGAAGCATTGCTAGTATATCATGCATTGCCTTGACATGCAAGCTTCAATTTAAGCTATAGCGTTACCGGCATGAATGGACCAACCAAAGCCTATATGTGGATCAAATAGTTACAAACATGATGGAAACAGACCAATAAGTAATTGCGCTAAACCCTCCCAATTCTGCAAAGGTTAAGAAACCATGCATTTTGCAATAACACCATCCCCAATGCAGCAATTACCCGTATTTCAGTCATGAAAAAAACCAGGAATTTTGTTTTAAAGGACAAATGAAATATCTAGACCAATTAACCGAAGTGAAAGAAAACAAGTTAAAACATTTACCAGGAATGGAGGAGCTGCTGGAGAACGTAGAAACAAGAAAAGCTGTCCCGAACACAAAGAAGAAAACCCAAATCCCAGGAACCTTCATAATGTCAATGTTATAGCCAGATGACGATTTCCTCACCAAAAAAATAGTGTGCTTGTCCCTTTACAGTTACACCCTTGAAAAGACCTCTCAAAAGCTCCTTATATGCAGCAACTCAGCCCATGAAAATTTTCATCCCACCATTTTTTTAAAAGAAGTTGGAAACCCAGTTTTCCTCACCCCAGATTTGAAAAACTTCAAAGTCGACCAGAAAATCCGTGGGGATAAGGAGATGAATGAAGTAGGGTGACTCCTGTCTAGTGCCTAAGGACGGCCCATGCTATGCCTTTGAACTTGTAGATATCAAAAAAATATAAATATATTCTAAAACTTTAATGGTGGGTAAATGACTAATAAAAGAAAGCATGTAAATTTCATTGTCTGATCTCTCTAAGGCTGAAGTGATGCAGAGAAGGAAGTAATTGCCATGCTTATGCAGGGGAACAGTATTACAGTGAGGAATGAATGGAAGAGACTTTAATGCCGAAAAAACGAAAAGGTGTGTGCTGGAATGCGGCTGTTGGGCACGTTTGTGGCTATGGAAACCTCTTGAGCATTTGTTTTGTGCCAACTGCCATGCACTTTGTTTTAACTGTTACACGCCACCGTTTGCATGCCTTCTGATCTTGCTTTTGTTGGATTCCAGACATCAATGAACACGAGATTATTAGTGTAATTGGGAGACAAGGCCCATGGAATAATTGGGCTTCCGAAGGACCCAAGAGCAGAAAAAAGAAACGCCTTTACCACCCAATGGATAAGAAAAGATTTGCTTAAGCGTCTATCTAGTTTCACTCTTTGTTTATTTGTGTTATGGAAATTGGAAAATATAATGAACGTTGAATTTTCAAAGGGAATTAAGGGTAAGATTGTGGATTTAATTGTGCTTAAAGTCAGAGTTTTCTATTTGATTTGGGATTCATATCAACAGGGGAAAAAACGAGAGAAAAAAGAGTCACGGGCTTGCCTTTCACATCACAACCTTCATGGTTTGGAGACCTCCAGCTTTCAGATCATAACTAAATCTAACCTAACCAATGCAGTTTTGAATGCTTGAATAAATGATTTTGTAATGTCTTTGATCCAATGAGGTATGAATTATATAAGCAACGACAAATGCACTTCAACCGATCAAAATAAAATGATTTAGACCTTTCACCACTCATTTATTTTCAAAAACAGAAAATGATAGTGACTGATCGATCCTCTAACATTAAAGTAAAACCTTAAGGCTGGAGGAGCTTTCGCAAATCACATTAGACATTTTCAAATCACATCAGCTGCAAGGATGTTCGTCTTCCAGTCAAAAGAAAAATCATGCCATTTCCATATGATCAATTATTAGCAGAAACATTCCAGAAAGATTCAATACAAACCAAATGCCAAAGCACTTTCAAACTAAACATCAAAGCTTCAGATTTCAACATGTTTTTTTCGCATATTCCCATGTAAAGATGCTCAAAATATGGCTAAGAGAGAGAAAAAGCAGACTCAGAAATGGCTGAGGGATCATTCAAAAGTTCATAGATAAGGTAGAGTAGCTACCACATACCATATATATAATACCCACAAACATGGCGGTATGTTATTAAAGACAAGAAAAACACACAGTAGATATTTTTTATTATTAGATAGTACAAGATAGAGCATGGAGATAGGAAGTGATGGAACAGTCAATTGGCAGGCAGCTGATATCTACAGATAGCTGAGATAAAAAGGAAGAGGGGCAATCTCACAAACCAATCCCTCCTTTCTCCCCTTTATTGTGGTTGGACCTATGAATATCCTTATCAAACCATTTCTAACCCGGCTGGTAGGATGAAAACTGAAAGCCTGAGTGAAAACCGCAGGTTCAGAAGCTGCGACAAAGAAAAGGAGCACACCTAGCCCATCCAAAGCACGATAATGGTCTCTTTTTCCATATTCTCGGGGATCGAACTTCTGTTTCGTTTCTCCTCAGCATCTCCCACATCACTTGCACATCCTCGTACTCACAAGACCTCACATCCTTTCTCAGTTTCAATAGTCCTGTTCAATCCGAGAAGCACAATAACTAAGTAATCGGACATAAATGAACCCGTTCCAAAGGAATTCTTTGTAGTTTCAGACAATCCAGTTCCCTTGCACATTTTTAGATAACCATCCAAAATCCAATGTCTTTTAAATGGTTCCCAATAAAAGTATCAATGGTTAGCCTTTAAGAACTTAAATGAAAGTAAAAGGAGATACAGCTAAGCCACCCCTACCATGCCTTCTACATGATTTCTTCCCCCTTCCAAAAAATTCAAGAAAAATTGCTAAAATCAACATTAGCAAATAAATTCCCTCAAATCTAACTCCTGTTTCATTGCTTATTGCTACCTTAGTTTTTAGAAGATAAATTAACACGATTAAAAAAAACACCATTGAACCCGAAGTTTAGCGTTCATGTAATCACATATATTCAAATTTCGATCCGTGCAATCCTTTCTGTATCCCCAGATACAACCTCTTTGTAAAAAAAAATAATTTAAAATAAGCCAATGAAATAAAAGCAGCTGATCGTCTGTTAAAAAGAACACACACACACACACACATGGGAATCTTTGCTTTTGTATGCAAAAGCCGTATAATTTGAGACTGCCACCGACAGCTTCAATGTCTGCTTCCAAGTGAAGCACATAATATTCCCTAATTATTCTTAAAAATTCAATTATCCAATAATCAACCTATCCAAAAAGAAAAACATACAAATATAAAAATATTTTTTAACCACAAAATCTTAACCAAAATGATCCGATAAGAGAATCTTGAGAATGTGGATGACAATTCAAGATCATGTGGTTCATAAAGATTTCAAGTAGAGAACAAAATTACAAAACTTCTAAGAAAAAGACAAAATATAATAGAAAAGCAAAATCCTTCTTGATCTCATACGGAAATCAAAATCATCAAATCGGCGGCAAATGAATCAGACGGTCGTCGAGAATTAAGACTTACCGCTTTTCCGAACCCCGAGGCGTGTGGCAACACCTGTCCAAACCCTGCGCATTGGAATCGTCATTCTATCAAAAACTTGCATTCTTCTACCAACGAATCTCTCCCAACCGAAATTTCTTCTTCTCGTCCAGCTGAGAGGAGAGAGAGAGTCCTCTGAGAAACGAAAAAGAAAAAAAAAAGAAGACTTCAAATTTCCTGCAACCAAATCCACCAAAAAAACGAATTAAAAATCAGAGAAACACTAACTGAAGTAATAAAAAAGAATTTCTTAAAATTGGAAGATCAACTAGCTTTGCCTTACCTCTCTCTCTCTCTCTCTTTCGTTCTCTGTCTTTATTTTCTTTGTCTTCTTTATTTTTTTTCCTCTCTCCTCTAGGGATGCCATAGCTCTCCATGTTCTGTATTTTAATTGCTACTTTTAGCAAAAAAGGAAAAGGACAACGTACGTGGATGACGCCATCATTTTTCTGAGGATGCCACGTGTCTTTTTTAGCCGTTAGGAACCGTGTTTGGGATCCAAAGCCGTTGTCGCGTTCGATCGCGACGGCAAATCTGGTACACTACCTGACGCGATGGTGCTTTCTCTCTCCCACGTGGAGCTTCTCAATTGGTTACTTGTTTCCCTCGTCGTACGAACCACTCGAGATGTTATTTATTTGGACCCACCAAGGTTTAAGCGGAGGATTTTGACCCACGTCCCTGCCAGGGCGCGTGGCTTAATTTTGTGGAGTATGGTCGTATGCGCCAAAGAAATAATCGCGTGGCTTTAACCGCAGATTCAAAGAGGCAGAGAAGGCAGAGGATCGAGGAAGCCAGACCACGTCAGTGATTGTATGTGATCAGAGAGTGAGCTACGTGTATCTAGAACAATGTTTTGTCGGGCAATGGAACACGTGGCCTGTTTAATGGAATGTCTACTTTCGGGGGCCCACAGAGTTCAGAGAAGAAAAATATCAGCTTCTACTTAAAGGCATTTCTTTAATCTCGTTCAAAATATCTTTTTTGGAGAGGTTCGTTGATTCGTTTGTTTCTCTCAGAAACCACGTGTACCCCCTCAATTATTATTCGACGTTTACAAAACATCCTGTTCGACAGGTTTGATGGGCCCTCCTCCAAAATTTGGTCCATCCATAGTGGAAAAACTGATACTATTGGACTAATCAATGATACAAACGATCACCCCAAATCAGACCCTAGATTGGGTCAAGATCAACGGCATGGTGTCTCTTTCAAAAACATACTGTCTAATGTATCGTGAAATAGCTCAATAAAAGAACAAGAATGGCGGATCAGAATACGATCATACAGCAAAGCTGATTTTATAATTCTAACTCTGCAGAACTCGAGGCATTGTTTCCTTGATTAGTGGAAACATTTAATCCTTGTACCTCAATTCCTCGGTCAATGTCTTGCCTGAAGAATTTCGGTTTAACAGCTAACTTGAGCAACTCTTAAAAGAGTTTCAACGTCGAAACCCTCGTTATACAATAAGATTTTATAACGAAACGATATAAAAAATATTATATATAAATTTAATATAATCATATTTTATATTTTAATTATTTTGACATAATAATATTATTCATAATCATGTTCGTATTAAACAATAATAATACATTTCAGACATAATATTTTTTATAACACAAAAAAATTTAAATTTATTTTAATTTATTTAAAAATAAATTAATAATTATATTTATCATATCATTTTTTTTGTTTAAATAAATTATAAATTATTAATTTTTAAATATTTTTTTATTTAAATACTAATTTAAATAATATTTTTTATTTAAATAAATAAATTAATCATGTATAATCATATTATTCTTATACAGTCATATCGCATTGTGTCATATTATTTAAGTAATTAATCGTATCATGTCGTGTTATGTTATTTTGGTATAAATTAATTTTAAATATTTTAATTATGTTGTGTAACGTAAAACATATATAATAAACATATTGTGTTTGTATTTAAATTACTTGTGTCACTTAAATATTTGTATTGTGTTCATGCCAAAATTATTTGTGTCGTGTCTCAAATCATATTTGCTACGAAACACGAAAGTTATTGCCTGTCTACTTAATGCTCACTTTCTTTAAGCTTGCCATGTATTTCAAATAGATTGTCCGATTGCAGGCACATGAACTATTAATTAAAGGCTGCCAAAAAAATTAGGAAGATATTAGTTATAGCAATCGGATATGAAAATGTTGTAAAACTAAAATAACATTCTCCTCTGATCTAAACAATGATTTCGCTATTCTGAGTGAAAAATAAAAAGCAATTAACCCGAAAATACCTGGAGATGTACAGGTGCAAACTTGTATGTAACAAATTCACAGATTGGCCAGAACATAACACCATTTATCAATGACGGGACGAGGTCACGCTTTAATCTAGCCACAATCTCTTCACCACTTTCACCAGAGTTTGGCAACACAATAAGAAGTCAGAGAGAATTGCTTTGCTGTAATCAGACGACCAAAATTAAACAACCTGAAACTTAGTTATATACATAAGTACAAGATAGGAACCAGGCCTTCATCTTTGAAACCATTTGTGGTAGAACTAAGCTATCATGCTCCATCTTCAGAGGATTCATTCAATTGCTAAAGCTAGCCAATAAAGACTAAACAAGAACAAGGTACCATTAGAAAAGTAATCGAATGAAGTGTTTCAAAACCAGGCAACCTCACAGAGTATGCCAGTAGCCAAAAAAGCAGTGCTTGATACATGCAACACTAGAGACCTAAAATATCCTACTAGATTCAAGCGACACCATTCCATTTTCATCCAAGAAGAAGTGTCAGGTGTTCAGCTGAACAGAATCCATGAAATAATGATGGTATACACACCTAAGCTCTTGGCCTGCTGAATTCCACAAGAACCATAATAGGTCCCACTCAAGCGGAGATGTTGAGAACATAGTTTGATAGAAAGTCCCAACTCCCAACATTGTACTGATAAAATATTTCTCATTTTTCCTTTTAGAAAAAGGGGAAAAAATTTCTTACCTTGCAGAGCCGCATTGTAGGAGAAGGAAAACAGTGGTGCTCACAGGTCCATAGGCAGCCTGCCTCATGAACATTTTCTTGAAGGTCGTCAGCATATCTCGTTTAGGCAAAAATTTTGACAATAAGTTAAACCAAAGATGTTATAATGGCCCCAAGAGAAGCAACCGATATCCAGCCACCCGTAATGTCCGTATTAAGTCATAACCTTATTTAAGTCATAACCAGAAGATGCTGATGTGATCATCCAAAAAAGATGTCAATCATAAACATGTGAGAAGGAAATGTAATTATGGTAAATCACCAGATAAAACAATAGCACCATAGAAATGCAAAAACAAAAACCAAGATCATAAACAAGGACCGCATTTAGAACCGTGTTAGCTTACAGTTATACTGGAAGTTAATTGTAATGTTCATATAACAGTGTCATTAACTTAAGAAAAAAATTCACAGAGAAGCAATAATTCAACAAAAGATAATGACTGCACTATTGCAAAGCCATTCTTTCCCACAAAAAGCAAGCGAATAGTTGCAGAAGTTAATCAGAAACAAAAACCAAAGGAACACTATAAAACTAATTATTGGCTAATTTGGAGAACCAAAACCCTTCAAGTATACAAGACAATTGGAGCCATTATGGGTATAGGAAAGTGATCTCCTTTCCCTTGATATCAAACTTTAGTCACAATGATTCCTAAGTATGAAACGTTGAAGGAAATCTTAAATTACACCTGGAAAACTATGTCAAAATTTCAGCAATTATTAGCAAAATTGAAAAGTTTGAAATAATCAATTTGGTTTGAGGAAAAAGGAAAATCTAGGTATTTGCCTGGGAAGTACAATCAGCAGCGGCAAACATAATCGAAGTTGTGAAAGCTTTTGTGATAAGCGGTTTGGTTTCGAGCTTCCCTAAATACTATCCCAAAAACCCCACCTTTGGCGACGATGACGACGTTGAAACGGACCACGAAGGAGGAGACCCTTTGAAACTTGAGAGTTTATGAGGGGACAGCAAAGAGTAAAATCTCCATCTTTGGCCCGTAAGAGAAGCTCCGTTGAAGCTTTTTCCATAGAGGAGAGAATGGCTAGCGGAGGAGAGTCGAAAGCAGCAGCGTAGCGTTTGACGAGACAGCTGGTCCGGTGTTGTAATCTAGAGATAATAGGCTCATGAGCCCATATTTATAGTGGGCTTTGTTCCATTACTAACCGGGTCAACTGACCCAAAATTAGCCTTTTAGTCTAGGCCTATTAAAAGCAGGAACCACATCGTTAGTTGCTGCTATCCTTCCTGTTCCTTCGATCCACTGTAAAAACTACGCTTTCTCTCTCTCTCCCTTTGTGAAAATTTCCCTTTTTTTTTTTGTAATTTTTATCTTCAATTACTGTCCATATTATATTATCCGGTAAGCTGAAGGATTCCCACTCATCAGCCGGTTAGGCGGAGGCAGAGGCAGGGGCAGCGACAGCCGGTTGCGGGAAAAGCTTGTGATGGACCCTTCCATAGTAAAGCTCCTTGAAGAAGACGAGGTTTTTCTTTCTTTTGGGTTTTTTGTCTCTCTGCAATATCTCTAGAATTCGTAATAAGTTAAGGTTATTTATTCAAGTTTCCAATTTGTTTAAAAAACTGATAACAGGACGAGTCTATGCATTCTAGAGCCGATGTTGAGGCTTTCCAGGCCGCGCTGAATCGAGATATTGAAGGCGATGCGTCTGCTTCCCAGCAGTCTGATTCAAGTACTGGTATCATCCTTTTTTTTTGGGGGGGGGGGGGGGGGGGGGGGAGAGGGGGTTTATTTTTTGTTCTGCTGCAAGACAAAGAAACTAGATTTGTTTTCCAAACGGTAACTTTAGAATGGAATTCAGTAACTTTGTTCTGCTGCAAAACAATTGTTATGAATTGCTTCTATTTGGAAATTCACGAATGGCTGTTATGTCCACGTTTTAAAAACACAGCAGTTTTGTCTCAAGGAAGCGATCCATCTACCAGTCAGTCACTTGCACAATGGCCGACCACGGGGCAAGATGGAAACACCAACTTTCAAAATCAACAAGCTCTTCAAAGTGCACAGCAACAACAGCAGGCTTCATCTGAAACGAAGCAAAAGCAACAGGGAGCTGTTGTGACGGAGAGTCAGCAACATGTACAACAGCCAAATGATGTTCCGCAAGAATTTAACCGTCTACCACCTCAACAAAAACAAGCCCAAGATGATCGTCAACAAGGAGTAGCTGAACAAGTTTCTGCCCAGGTTCCTCAGACGACTGGGATTCAGACTACTGAAAAAAGTCCTTTACCACATGAACCAGAGAGAAGCAATAATCAAGAGAGTGAATCACAATATGTGAAATTACAGAAGATGAGTAATCAACAGTCCAGTGGGACAGAGCAGCCAAATAGTCCTATGAATCGAGGAAAACAAGTTCCATTTGCTGTGTTGTTGCCTACCTTACTGCCCCAACTTGATAAAGACAGAGCCATGCAGCTTCATACTCTGTATGGTAAACTAAAGGTGGATTTCGGATATCAGCCCTTTTTTTACAATTATCCTGTTTATTATTATTATTATTATTATTATTATTTTGATAATATTATCTTGTTTATTTAGTAATGGATGCAATAGACAGAATGCATTTTGTTTTGCCTCTTTCTGATTTTTCTACTGTCTTTAACTGTTAGAAAAATGAAATTGCAAAAGATGGATTTGTCAGGCACATGAGAGATATTGTAGGAGATCAGATGCTGAGGTTGGCAGTTAATAAGTTACAAATGCAGGTGAGCGCTAATGTCTATGTCATTAAAGTAAAAACTGATGCTTTAATTGATTGCCTGTTAATTTTGAAAACAAGCTAAAATTCAGATCCATACTTTCAGATGAGTTCCAACCAATTCCCTGCAGCACGGCTGAATGCTCCACGGATGCCATCTGTTGGTAGTGCCACACAGTTTGCTGGTCCACATTCATTAGCTCAGCTGCACCAAAAAGGCCCTAATTCTCCTGCCAACTCATCTCATGCCCCCTCTCCAGCAGTCCCCACGCAGACTAATTCAAGTTATTTATCTATTGAAAACAAGGCTCAAAAATCTCAAGAGATGGATCGCCAATCAGATTCTCGCTTTGGAGTGCTAGGAAGCCAAATTTCTTCCTCCAGTTCAACCACTGTGAATCAAGAAAGAGATCGCTCTTCAATTCCTGTACAAGGAATTAACAAGCAGCAGCAACAACATTTGAATTTCCCACAAACTTCTCTTGCCATGTACGGGAGTAATAATTATCACCCATATTCTGGGTCAAATGTTAATAATTCAGTTTCCTCTCTAAAGCCGCAACCTCATGATTCAAAAATTAGGCAAATTGCACATCATCAAAGCATGGGATCAAATCCTGTAGGAGGACCAACCCAGGCAATGAACATGATGAGTGGGCCTAAACTTGAGAGGCAAAACTCTACTAATGATCCAAATAGATTGCAGGGTTCATCTCTTCCTCACTTTTCTAGCAGTTCAGTTCCTTGGCAAGCCTCATCAAGTAAGGAGCTGAATCCTGGCCCTTTGTCATCAGTGACATATGTGAAACAGGAATCTGTTGATCAAGGCGCTGATCAGCACAGACCTCTCTTGCCTGCAACCCAAGGGTTGTCTACTGCACTAGCTGAACAGGGAAATGCAGTTATAACTACTCCAAAGGACGAGTCTTTAGAGAAGCAGTCTTCTAGAATTGGCTACACCACGCCTTCCATCACAACTCAAACGGATTCTAATGTCCTGGTAATCTCATCATAGTCTATGTTTTCTCATTGTGACATCTTGATGGATGATTCTGGATGCTCTTGCTGATGCCTATTAGAAGAACCACTTCTCTTAAAAGTCTACATGAAAATTTATGCATTAAGTATTTACCATCTTGGGGTGATGCTTTTTTTAGTTAAGAAGTGTGTATACTCATGAATTGCTAGGTATAACCAATTTGATGTCTGGGGCCTAGCTGCTTCCCTGATAGTCTTGGTGGGATTTTTTTTTTTTTCCTTCTAGGGCGAGTGACCTTGAACTTTGTTAATGGATCATGTGTTGTCTTGCTGACTTGTTAGATTTAACTCTTTAGTTGTTCTGACTTTAAAGTAGGCAAACTTCCCTAAATCTATGCTACATAACAGGGTGGTTGACACATGCAATTAAGTATATGGTATTATTCTTGAATTTTGAATTTATTTTCTTTCAGTTCACATATTTGAAATTAATATAATTCTGTGTTTTCCTCGGTGAAGTGCATGCTTGTGACTTCTTGCTCTCTTTTGTCAAATTTCACATTCTTTTTATATTTATCAGTTGGGCTCTCGGAATCCATCTGTGCCCACTCCAGTTGGTGTCAATGCAAGAACCCCTCAGAAAAAGCCTTCTGTTGGCCAGAAGAAACCACTTGAAGCTCCTGGTTCATCACCACCTCTGTCAAGGTTAAAAAAACCTCTCTGTTGCATGATTGCCTAGAATGATTATCAAGGACCATTAAGAATGATTTAATTCCTTCTTGATGTTAACCTTTTATTAAATCATTTTTCATCCATATTCAATGGGATTTCCTACAGTAAGAAGCAAAAAATGTCTGGAGCCTTTTCAGATCAGAGCATTGAACAACTAAATGATGTCACTGCTGTCAGCGGAGTCAATCTCCGGGTATGATACTTTTTGGTCGTCTTTGCCTAAATTTAATTATTGAGTAGTTACATAGAGAAATATAAGCCATAAAATAGAAGTCACATCCTTTTGACATTCTGCTATTAAATAGGAAGAGGAGGAGCAACTACTTTCTGGCCCCAAGGATGAGAGTCGAGTTTCAGAAGCATCTAGAAGGGTTGTGCAAGAAGAAGAAGAAAGACTTATTTTGCAGAAAACCCCTTTGCAGAAGAAACTGGCTGAAATTAGTTAATATTCTTTATACCTCCCTGGTCTATAGTTCTTTAATTTACATTTACATTCTGCTTTTCATTGTAAGCCATATCTTTCTCACAAATTCTTGTCCATTTGTCTGTGTCTTCCTGCAGTGGCCAAAAGTGGTTTGAAGAATATAAGCAATGATGTTGAGCGATGCTTGTCCCTGGTGAGATGCTAGCTTCTTGGCCCTTCTCTTTAAATGAGTTTATACATTTCCTCATGTATCTTAATCTCTAGTGTGTGGAGGAAAGAATGTGTGGGCTCATATGCAATTTAATCAGACTGTCGAAACAGGTCAGCCTCAATTCCTCTTAGTTAACATGAATTTTTCTTTATATCTTTCTAATTTGGATTGAATCTCTTGTAGCGTGTTGATGGTGAGAAGCCTAGGCACCGGACTATTATCACCTCGGATGTTCGGCAGCAAATTATGAGGATGAACCGGAATGCTAGGGAAGAATGGGAGAAAAAGCAGGCTGAGGCAGAGAAGCTCAGAAAACTTAATGAAGTGGGTGCTGTTTCTATTTAGTGATATGATTATCTATAATGCATTAAAAAATATAGGGAGGAATTAATAATTCACAGGAATGCACCAACAGACATAAGAATGGGCATGCTGTATCATTTATTCCTTAACATTGCATATATTAAATATTTGTGGATGCAGCCTGAGGCTGAGACTGCAGTTGATGGTGACAAGGAGAAAGATGACAGTCGAGTAAAAGTCGTAAAGGTATTATCGATGAGTAATTTTCCAATCATTATGCGTTCTTTAATCACCCAAATAAGGGGAGTAACTCTCTGGTAATGTGCAGGTAAACAAGGAGGACGATGACAAGATGAGGACCACTGCTGCAAATGTTGCTGCACGTGCTGCTGTTGGAGGGGATGACATGATGTCAAAATGGCAACTTATGGCTGAGCAAGCCCGCCAAAAACGTGAGGGGGGAATGGAGGCAGCGACTGGTTCTCATGCAGGTAAAGATGTGAACCGCAGGCCTCTATCTGCATGTGGAAAAAATACAAAGGACAATCAAGAATCAGAAAAAAGGGGCCTGCTCGGTCCTCTTGCATCTGGTAAGCTTGGTTCATGGCTAGATCTCTTCTCAATTTTAATTTGGATGCATTTAACTGGTTAATATGGTTGTAAGGTTTATCATGCATACTGTTACATTAGATGGCAATGCTGGTGATGTCTGAGCAATTTGGAATTGGTTCCCATTATATTTAATCATATAGATTGGTAGTCACCAGCATTATGCATTTTACATGAAATTGATTCAAGTATCGCACTATAAAAACAATTCATGGTAGTAAACCTGGTAGTAATATGCACTGGCATATACTAAGATATATAAATAATTAGGAAATTTCTTTGTTGATTTGAACAATGTGCTTGTATGAAATTGCTCCAACATCTAGTTATATCTCTGGTGTGTAAGGTAATTAAGGCATTGATAAAACCCAAACAATCATATATATTATGACCTTAAAGAGTTCAGAGTAAAGAAATCATTCCTGCACCGCCTGTTCCAACTTTTACTTCTGTAGATTTTCTTCTGTTACCAAGTTGTTATCAGGACTCCTCTCCCCTAAAATTCTTCTTACCTTGCAACCAGGGGAGGACGGTTCCTGTCTTGTCCACTCTATTTGATTTGTTTTTCACTCTATTTTCTTTCAACAGGGGCAAGTAGGAAATTTGGCCGGAACCAAGGTGTCACACCTCATACTAAAGTGGCTCGTACTATTTCTGTTAAGGATGTGATTGCAGTTCTGGAAAGGGAGCCTCAAATGTCTAAGTCTACACTTATTTATCGCTTGTATGAAAAAACCCGCTCCGAGCCTACAGCTGAGTGGTCATGATGCACCTTTATACTATAGTGTCCATGTTTTCCATTAGATATCTGATTATAGATAATGGAATTTGAGATGTCTATGACTGTACCTTTAGGATAATGGCGGGGAATTTTATAAAACAGCTGGATCATTGGAATTTACAGGATTTTAGATGCAGTATTAACCTAATCTTACTACATTAACCGGGCTTCAGAACCATAGGGAGCAGCTGGATGATTTCATGTTTGTTCTTTGGTAATTGTTATATTCTGAAATTGTTTGTTAATAAATAATGTTTTAAAGGTTGTGCTCTTCTCTTACTATAAAGAAATAAGAGAGAAAAGGTAATTACAGTACTTCAGCTCTCATTTATTGATATCTTTAATTTCTGTCTCTGACTGGTTTACTGCTGGTATGAAAGAATGTTCATCTTTGGTTTAGTGCATTGAATTAAAATGGGAAATCTTCAGTATCATCTGTTGTTCCTGAAGGGAATATTGACTTAGATTTAGGATGGCAACTGGGCATGTACGATTATTTGGAAGCTTTTGAACTGGTTTTGTGAAACCTGCATATCAGACTCTCATACTAGAATTTTTCTCAAGGGAATTAGGAGTTTATGATTTTGAGTCATTTAGAAAAAGAAAATAGGTTTATAGAAGAGTTAAGGCTCCAAGCCTGGAATTAATGGAGATTGAAAGACAAGAATCAAGATGATGCAGAAGCCTGACACAGCCTGTGAAATAATAGGAGACTAGGTTATTATACTGTGAAGTGTGATGGGAAAACTATAAGCTGGTTGAATGGTGATTAATTTAATTCGGCCCAATAATATTAGAGATGGAATTAAACAACATTAAAATGATTACATATAGCCAACGAGGATGGATTGAATTGGTAAAGTTTAAATATGAATTCATTTGCAAATACTCTTCCTTTCCGGATAATGAACAAGTCTCTCTCCACCTTAAAATTTTATATTCAAAAAAAAAAAACTAAAATGAAACCCACAAAGTCAAAGTCATTCTCTTCCTTCCCCTAATCTAATTATATTTCTCAAATCCTTTTTTAGTTAATTAATCACAAGGCTTTCTTTCATTGATGGAGGCTACAACAGGCAATGAACTTCAACATGGTCGCATATTGTAACTGTGCCAAATGGAATTGAAAGTTTATGTTCTTTTTTATTAATAAAAGCTAGAAACTTCAAGTTGAACAATCAATATATGTTTTATTTTATTCATTAAAGGAAGAAAAAGAGAGACAGAAACTTTATTTAGATAAAGATATAAGGTAAAGTTTAGCACAGGCATCGACATTTTCATGTCCAAAATCAAAAGGCAAGGCAAGATATAACCGATATTTATTCGTCACGCATGAAATTCACGAGCCATCAAATGCTGAATAAATTTCTTCTATCCCCACATTTTCACTTAGGCATCTACCTTCATCATCACCGAAGAGAAAAATTCTTAATCTTTTTTTAATTAATAAATTAATTAATTTTTATTGTCATAAAATGAAAATAAATGGTTTTATGAGATGAAAAAAACTAAAAAAAAAAAAAAGAGTTGAAAATCTTATTAAGCGAAGAAATGAAACATTGTCGGCGTAAATCGAGGTACTTACAAAACACATCAACATCATCTTGTTTTAATTTTACATTTTAGAAAAAAAAAAACCCTAAAAATTTAAACAACAACAAAGGAAAATGAAAAAAACAAGAAAAAAAGTTTATATTATAAATTTTATATATCATTAATAAGATAAATGATATTACTTCATTAATAAATTTTTAAAAAAAAATTATATATTTTATTCATTTAATTTAAAAATTATTTAAAATTTATATTTAATCATTAATAAAATAACGCCTATGATTTTATAACAGAATATAAAATTATAGATAAATATAAACCTAAAAAAAAAAAAACGATGGGCGACTTATGTAGCAAACAGGCTAACACACGCGCTGTTTATGCGAATGAGGGAAACTCAAACAAGGGAAGTAAAACGATCCGAAGATACGTAAACTGTCGCCACGTCAGCTCACATTGGAGGCTTATGCACTTTTGTCTAAAACCTCCGTGACTTGCCAGCCAATAAGGGCCCCACTTCCGCCCCCATAAACTTGCAAAAGTGGGTCAATCCCATTTCTCCCTCAAAGCTTAATAACCCGAAAATACTTTCCTCTTCTCTACAAATATCCTTTGCCTCTTCTCACCCTTCTCTCCTTCTCTGTACATTTTTTTACCATTTTCCAAAAAAAAAAAAGTTCCCCTATATAGTTCATCGTTAGACAACTGTACTTCTTATTAATCCCATCTTTCTTTCTGTTTTAATCTTTGAGTTTGTTAGTTTCAACCATGGAGATTATCCTGGAGCTCTTTTTGACAGCTTTTATAGCTCTTCTGGTTTCTTTCTTGATAGCCAAGATTGTTTCTTTGGCTATGGGTGGTGATTCTGGTTCTGGGTTGGAGGAAAAATCTTTGAATGATGTTGATGATGAGATTATCATGGAAGAGATGGAGTTTGCTGAGAAATTGAAAGTTGAAGGCCTTGAAAGTCAAAAGAAAGTTGAATTTGTTAAGGAAAGCGCTGATCAGGTTCATATTTTCGAAACAGGACAAGTTGGGGTTGATCAGGGTTTTGAAAGTGAAAAGAAAATTGAATGTTTTCAAGAAAATGCTGACAAGGTTGATGAATTTGAAGTTGGAGAAGGTGAGGTTGTGGAAAGATTGAAAGTTCAAGGCTTTGAAAGTGAAAAAGAAGTTGAATTTTTGCAAGAAACTGCCAAGAAGGTCGATGATTTTGAAGCAGAACAGTCTGAGGTCCGTGAAACAGAAGTTGTGGTGAATCCTGATGATATTGTTGTCAAAAAGAAGATGGAGAAAAAAGAAGTTGAGGAAATCGGTGAAGAATTAGAGGCTGAAAATGAAACCAAAGTGCAATCTGAAGAGATTACCGTTGAAGAGAGTCAAATGAAAGGGCTTGGGGAAGAAGAAAAAGAGGTCAAACTAGAGAGTGATGATGATGATGATGATGATGATTGGGAGGGGATAGAGAGGAGCGAATTGCAGAAGATTTTTGGAGCAGCTGTGAAGTTTGTTGAGCATAAAGGAGATTTGGTAGGTTTGGGGAATCATGTTCAGATGGAACTTTATGGACTCCACAAGATTGCTACCGAAGGGCCTTGTCACGAGTCACAGCCTCTGCCTTTCATGCTCTCTTCTCGCTCCAAATGGTAGCAAACTTTTCCTACCTATATTTGACTATTTGTTGATTGATTTCTCTTCTTCATTTTGCTCTATCCTTTTGGTTGGTGTGCAATGTGGATGGTTAGACTTAAGTTTCTTAGGTTTAAATGTCTCTCATGTTTGTGTCATTGTCGAGGGAAAAGATAGGTATCGTCTTTGATACATTCAATTTTTATCATTTGTCAAAACCACCAATTAAGATTTCAAGTTTAAACAATTTAGAAGCAATTACATAATCAAGCTAAAAATTGGAAATTGAAAAGTGTGTTAAATTTTGAGAAAACTTTAGTGATGAGATGGTAAAATAAGAAAGGTCAGAAGCCTATATTATTTTCATTTCGTTTCCCACTGCTGTAATTAACCAGTAGAATGGTAGTTGAGAATGCACATATATCATCAGTTGACATATTTGGTAATGCATTGTCTAGTTTTTGGCTCTTATAGATAATGCCTCATACAACTAGCCATCTGAAACACACTAAAGTCAATGTGGAATGACACAAAAATCATTAGAGTTTCTGTAGTGGTCAAATTGGGATTGACCACTATAACTGGGAAATTATGTCGAACTCAGAAAAAAGCTGAGTGTGAAACTCATTGGGGCCTAGCCTATACCAAAATTACACGGTATAGCTTGATTGGTAGTTATAAACTTATAATAACAGGGTTGACAGCTGCTATGTATGAGTGATGGACAGCACTGCTTGCATTGTGCAAGGAATGCTTGGCAAAGGCTGGGGAACATGAACCCAGATGCAGCTATGGAGCGGTATGTTGCCCTTCTTTCAGAAAGAGTTCCAGGATGGATGGAAGATAATTCTGATGTGAGACCTTGCTTTTCAGGCGGTGACTTTATTTGATTTCTTTAGTGACTTCTATTACACAGAATATTTGGAAAATTTTATTCTGACACAATTCTTTGTACAGGGAGAGCATAAATTTGAATCTGCAGACCCAGGAGTTCCCGGTGCCATGTCTCCTGAAATTAATTCATTTCCTGGTCAGCAGACCAGTTTTACACAAGAAAGGTGGTTTGATGTTGGCAGTCTTGGATTTTCTTTTGTGCTCATCCCATTGTTTATCACACCAAAATTTTGAGCCACTACTTTCATATCCTGCAGGAACGTGGAATTGAAGTCTGCTACTGGAAGAGATGACATAACTGAGAGCACAAGCTTTGGGAAGCAGGTATCATATTCATTTCCCCTCCTCCCTGTCAATCTTATATGGAATGAACGATGCTATGAATTAGGTCAATGGAAAAACCATTTTATCAGACAAACATGAACAATTTATGCATGTATGCTCAAGTTATGAGTTCCAAATTCAAATAGCCGACAAGCAAAGGAAACTCTAGGATCTAAATGTGTTAATATATATAGTCATAAATCTAAAATGTGTAAGGAAAAGGATCAAAACGGGTTTGCCTAATAATTTATGTGGTGGATACACTTTCTCAGGCCATTATTTTACCATGCTAAAGACATTTTAAGGGTTGCTTTTCAGCAGATATTCTCCTAAAAATGCTAAAAAGTTTACAAATTCGATCTTGCAACTTTAAGATTTCTTTTATATAAATCTTAGTTGAAAGAAATGCAGCTGAAATTAGCAACAGAAGATTTTGGCAGGTCTGCAAGACAGAGAAAAGAGTGATGACTGTTGCCTGCTTAACTTACTTTAGAAAAGATAACTACACTAAAATCGTTCTTCATTCATTATTGTTAATTTTCTGGAGGTCCAGTAGCTGAATTGCCCAAATGGAGGTATCTTTCACATAATCCACCATCCATATTTTGATAATGTCAAAATATCAACCAATGCCTGCGGTGCACCTGGAACTTAATAGCAACTTTCAAGGCATCTATGAGAGGTGTGATAATATGTAAACATTCCTCTTATTCTGGAGCTATGTACTTGCTGAAAGGGCAAGTGCTGCTTTTTTCGGCTTCTGTCATTCACAGAAACAACTTGATTCATCTTTTTGAACAGCAATCATGTTGCAAATGGTTCTTTTTCCTTTATTATTTCAATAAACTTAAGTAGCAATTCCAAGTTTTATGGCATTGGAAAGTTCGGATTATTGATGATTGTATTCCAGCTGTGTCAATAACTATCACAAGCCTCCAAGAATGTGGGGCTGAACGCTCATTTCTATCCTATTTTTAACTCAACATTTGTTATTGCTTCCTTTGGTATGATTACCTGAAGTGATTCTCTAGAGGGTATATAGATCATATATAACTTTATTTGTTATGAAATTTCAGGCCAAAGACTGATTAGCATTGCCCTGACTTCATCTCCCCAATCACAGGGGCCATGCTACTGGGTTTGCTTGGTCAGGAACAAGACTATATTCGCCACCAAGTATAAATATCTGCCTACACTGAATTAATCTATCGTGCTGTCTATCTGCATCCTGCAACTAAATAATGTTGTGTGGTTAAAACAGTAACTGTTAATTATTGTACATTATGCATGTAAATAATATATGCGAAGCACCCATGTTTCTAATAACTCAAATGGTTGGCTGGTTGTGATTGCTCAAGTAAAATGCTAATATATGCATTTACCTAAGTGTTCAATGACGTGAGAGAATGTCCAATGTTTGATAGTTGCATCTCTATATGATTTTTATTGTGAAAAGCATTTAAAAGATGGTCTTATTTCTCTTGTATTAAAGTTCCGCCCACGTTTTAAATTGTGGAGGAAGGTTGGGTTCTCTGCATTTTAGTAATCGTGTTCATATGCTTGATGTTGATGGGAACATTATAGTATTTAGGCAGTGCATGGTTTGCTTCAATTTCTGGTAGTTTAAACGTCAACCATGTTGTTGATGACACAAAGTAGGCCACAAGGTTGCTGAGGGTACAAGTTATGATTTGTGCTTTTGACAAAATCCAAGTCCCTCTTCAGATTTAATGTTGTTGTTTCAAGGGCAATACCAATAACCCTTTTAAATTCACTTGCCGATCCATTGGTCCTAAACCTAATCTTGGCTATGTAATGGGAGTGAGCTTGATGATGAACAGTTAAAGATGAAAGAATAAGAATGACTGATTATTGATGAATGATTGTCACCTTTATCCTTGCGACTAACAAGCCTGACTTTCAACAATTTAATTAAGAGCAGAGCTGATTACTAGCATGTTTAAATAGGTTTAAGATTAAAAATAAGATTAGACTGAATCAGATTTAACTCAATTGATTCATATAATATTTTTAATATATAATATTTAACTTATTTAAATTTTAAATTTTAATACTAAGCAATCTTTTTCTTTATATCTAGACTGTTATCTTTATATATATATATATATATATGATAAGATTGGCTCTGCTATCGATGTCCAACTATCATGGCGTCTCGGTTGTCGTCTGGTCCATGCTTAGTTAGAAAATAATAAGCCAAGTCTACCTCCATAATACGAATTGCTTATAACTGACTTCACATAGCTTTCGGATCTTAAATTCTAGTAGTCTACTTTGAAATCAGGTGAAAGATTGAATTAAAAAGTGATGGAACGTTGACTTAGCATTTGTAACATTTTTGCCGACATTTTTTTTGTTTTTATTTTTGATATGTATTGGAGAAATTATGGTATCATAACTATTCATTCGGATTTCAGCAGAAGAGAAAAGGAGATTTATTGGGTTTATGTTTTGTTCTTGATCATATCTACTGTTATTCTTAGAGGAGACATTAACCTTGTATATCATAGGATGAAGCTAATAACACTGCATATTTGATGAAAAACTAAAGAAAACGGCGAATTAAGCGTTATAAGTTGGAGAAATCTCATCCTTATTCTCTCCATAAACAAACATTGGAGCTATTTCCGTGGATGGTTCTTTTGAGATGCAGAGGCAGAACCATGTCCTCCGCCACCTTTTCCTCCACCCGGTGAGCCATATCCTGAGCCTGCGCCATACCCGCTTCCCCCTCCATTGCCACCCCCACCACCCCCTCCATTGCCAAAACCGTAGCCACCACCATTCCCTCCACCTCCGCCTCCGAATCCACCACCTGAACCATAGCCACCACCTTGGCCCATGCCACCGCCGGATCCAAAACCACCACCGCCGATATTGCCCACGCCTCCACCACTGCCAAAACCACCACCATGGCCATTTCCCACACCTCCCCAGCTGCCATAACCACCACCACCACCACGGCCATTGCCTACACCTCCCCCACTGCTAAAACCACCACCAGAGCCTCCTCCATAACCACTATCTGCAGTCACTGGATAGCCAAAGTCTCCACCATGCCTGTGTCCAAACCCCTTGTTGATCATGCGACGACTCATGCCACTCAAAAACCTTCCTTCTCCTTTTGCTTCAACCACATAACTAAAATTAAACCACAAACACAAACAAACCAGTCCCCAAAAAACCGCAGTTCGTCTTTCCATAACTCCACTACAAATTAATCATAAAAAACAATAAGAAAATACTCAAAGAAAAAAGAGTTAATTAAAAAGAAAACAAAAGATGGTCGAACAAAAAAAAAGAAAAAAAAACTTAATGATAGCTCTTGCAAAGTACGTAGCTTAATGATACTTTGGCACTGTTCAAAAATAGCATATATATATATATATATATATATATACGTATACAACCTATGTATTGTCGTGGCCTTGGCCGTAGAGAGGTGTGATATGAACCGGAGCGTGATAGCTGGTTCTGGTGATGAAGCGAATTTGCATGACTAAAGCTCCCAGAGGGTGTATTTTGGCGCGCGTCTGCTCAGTTCCTTTGGAGATAAAACTTAAATTAAAAATTTTTAGATAAAATTTGTGAATTTTTTTAAAATAATTTATTAAAAATTTTAATAAAAATTTAAATTGGTAGAGTTTACTATGAAAATCAATATCATCTAAAAAAATTATTAAAAGCATTATTTATAATTAAAATTTGATTAATACTTATTAAATGATAAAAATTTTATAAATACTTTTATTGAAAATATCTATCTAAAAATATATATTAAAATTTGTTAAAAATTTTTCAAATTTTATTCATTTGATTTATGTAACGAAATTTTAAATTAATAAATTTTAAATTTAATTTAATTTAATTATTTTAAATAAAAATTTTATAAATTTTACCTTAAAAATTTCATAAAAATCTTTTTCATTGGACGAAAAAATGAACAAATATGTCCATGGCCGCGAATGCGGAAGCCTTCACTCTAGCAATAAAGGCCTTTCAAGAAAATGGGCTTATCTTGGGCTTTGATGAAAATGAAATTATAGACCATGTTATGGTTCACTCAGCAGCGAAGAACCCAAGAACAAAATTTTTTGGATAGGCTTCACAGACTTTCTAATTGGTATTTTACGATGGACTATGGGGTCATTGACCTATGATTCCCAGAAGCCAGTTCTCTTGATTCTTGAATCGAACCTCCCTTGTCTTTGGATATTCCTCGGGGACCCGCCCGATCCGCAGACTTGTAGCTCCAATTTCAAAGACTCTTGATTGTGTGACAAAAAATCCATCTTCAGCAGAAGGCATTTCCACGTTCGCTGCCTTTATCTATAAGTTTCAATAGGAACTAGAAGCAACCGAAATAAGGAAGATATGGTAAAATTATAACAATCGTAATAATAAATTAATTTATTTTGCAATTATTTTTAGAATTGATCGTGATAAGACCATGTTTATAAAAACAAATACTAGCATTAAATAAGAAATGGATATGTCAATTCTTGAATGAAAATGATCAGAACAATTGAGACGAACACAAACCATAATCGACAAGAACACAAACCAACTGATCCTGCTTATCAAAATTATGTCCACTCAATTCAAAGACGAATAAATGAATGATTTGGTCGCTTCTTACTTCTTCAAAATTCACTTGTACGAGTGAAACGTGTAGTAAATCGGCTAAAAAGAGAGTGGGATATGGCTTCAGTAGTGAGGATCCAAAGCCTGATTAAAGACTTCTGTCTCCATCCATTGAATTAATCTTTATGGGTATTGTATTTGTATATGCTTCAAGTCTTCCATGAATGAAACAAAGTCTAATAATTGCTCGTAACTTGAGAGCAATATAACAATCTTGGAAAGCAAATCAGAGTCCAAATGAAAGGAGCTGCTGTTAGTTCCGTGTCAAATTTGTTCTGAAACAGAAATACCAAATTTGATTGATACAAGAGGCCCACAAAAGCTTTGATTCCGTGAAACAAAAGAAAACGCAGGGAATCACATAAAGATTGAAGATTCTGTAACCACGGCCAACCATTTTATTTCCTTTTTGCCTTCTCTTTATATCTATTTATTTTTGCCAAAATGATTGAAGATGACCTGAAATTGATACGATTCTGACATGAAAATGAAGCACCTCCAACGGAGAATGGTCCATGGTTCACATTGTTTCAACACTATTAATGAGCCTTGATATTGACCACAGAAAACGCTTTGCAAGGCAAGAAAGAGACTGGATACTGATAAGGATTATCAACCAAAAGATGGACCTCATCAATATCATCGAAAGAATCCAAGTTTTACCATCAATAATAGAATATTAAATTTTTAATTTCAATAATTAAAAAATAATTTTTAAAAATCTCAAATGAAAAATCTCAAGTTTTTGAGTTTCAAATTTTAAATGTTTTGAATAAGCTAAGATTAGTCTGAATGCTAGTTGAAAGCTTGTGATCAATCCATAAAGACCCTTGTATAAAACTTTAAATTACACAAGTTCACTTATGATCATTGCAGGATTCAGGATCACTCCTATCAGCTATGATTAAGGGTGAACTTAATCTCTTCTTAAATGATTTCAAGGGCCTAATTCCCTTACCATGAATTTTCTAAATATAAATATTGTTCGTGGGAATCGAATAATGACAAGATGTACCTACTGGCAACTGTTTCTCTTTTGGTTATACTATCAGCAGTGCCTAAGGAGTGAAATAGGCTACATATGGTCATCTGCAGAGGCTCATATCATACAATCTTTGAGACTTCGAAGTGAGTAGAGATTAGGAGAAATAGACGAACTAATTGCAGAAGTAATTGCTAAAAAGTAATTTCTAAACGACATTGATCCAAAAAATACTTGGCTATTATTGGAGAGTAGGGGTCCATTCCAGCTAATTGCCACTATAGTCTACTATCAGATGAGGTGGGAGAAACAAAGACTTTTGTGATTTAACATTACAAATAATTTCATCATCTAATCAAAACCCTATATTTCCTATGAACCTTTTGATTACTTCTGTGATAATTTTATTACGCCAGATGACTTGATGGCTTGATGTTCACATACTGCACAGAATTCTAAATTCTCTTTTTCAGCCATCCATTAGTTTGCTGCCAATCCATGAGTTTCCATTATGGCATCAGCAACCTGATAATGATAGTTGCTTGGATTAAAGAAAAGTTAAACAACCGGCAGCTTTAATCTCTGTCAGCATCCTGCGGGAAATTAGTGGAATCCCCACTATCACTTACGATATTATCTAGAATAAAAGAAAACAATTTCTAATAATCACCATAATTGCAATTACAGATATATTATTGTAGCAGATGTATTAGTACTATCTCTTTTCTTTCTTTTAATCATAAGCATTTTCCTTGTTGTTTAGAACAAATTTACATTGAATAACAATTCCGTGATGTTTCATTTTCAGTGTTAATTAATGAAAAGAGACAAACCCCAACTTACACCATGGGTATGGCATAACTGTAAAAAGAGAGATACACGTACATGTTAATTCTGTGTAGATTAAGGGAAAGATACACGATTTTTGCACGCAAATTACGCCATTAAGGGCATTGCTCAACTTGGATGATGACCTGTAAATCTCTAAATAGAGTGACTAAAACTGAAAGGACCTTTGCTTACCTGTTAAAGTGTGACCAAGTGCCCAATCGTTGTAAAAGCTGGAAATCTCGGCTACATTCGATTTTTTTTGACAATTTCTGGCTTCCTTTTTCTTTTAACTTTTCTCTGAATCCTATATCCATCAACTCAAGGTTTACATTGGAATTTATTCACAAGACCATTTCTTCAAGATGCAAGCAATTCATCTGTCTGCTTTATGATGAAATTTACTCCCATGTTAGAAAGATCATAAATATGAACTGACAGCAGTATGAAGAAGGGTGTGAATACCGAATGCGTAAAAGTGGAGCTAAACGCTGAGCACAGCCACTTCCTTCCCTGCATTTCTGAACCATTATGAGGTGGTTTGCTCAATACTTAATGACAGCAAGAACTAAACTCGCCTTAGAAGCAACCTTTTTTTAACAAGCCATAGCAAATTCCCTGTTTTCGGGGCATTAGAATTCAGCAGATTCCCGTTTGAAAAAGCCATTAGCATAGTATGGCTCATGTAAGAGACATAACTATCCAAATCAGTGGCCATCATTTACCACTTGATTCCTGTTCTTACGTACGCGAAACGTGTTTGTCATTATATTTGCAATAGAGTTTTATCAAATTTGAGGTGTTTAACATATTTATTTATTTTATAAATCAATCATTGAACGAAGAAATTACTACTATTCAAGAAGGGCGTATTTTTTCGGGTCAAATCAATCTCACATTGAACGAAGATTCAAGAAGGGCATATTTTGTCAGGTCAAATCAATCTCATCATATAGTAAACCCTCGGTGACCGATGCATTCAGCATTCAAGAGGAAGCGAAAGTGCCATCTAGGAAGATAATCTATTTCTTAATCCAGCCTAAGCGGTTGCTTCTCTTCCCGCAATTCCTTGACTGAAGAGATGAAGCCATTGAAGTTCAAACCGCTAGAAATCTTCGTATTTCTGAATTTGTATTACGCATGCGTCGTAGCGGAAGAGAAGATCCAACAAGCCAAAAGGACTTATATAGTTCACATGGACAAGTCCAACATGCCAGAAAGTTTCACTGATCACTCCCTATGGTATGACACATCTTTAAAATCTGTCTCAGACTCAGCATCCATGCTTTACACATATGAAAATGTAGTCCACGGCTACTCCACGAGGCTAACAACCGAGGAAGCTGAATCACTAGGAAAGCAACCTGGAATTCTCTCTGTCCTACCTGAAATGAGTTATGAACTGCACACAACTCGAACACCAGAGTTCCTTGGATTAGAAAAGAGCAGTGTTCTCTTCCCCACCTCTGATTCAATGGGTGAAGTGATTGTTGGCATATTGGACACTGGAGTTTGGCCCGAGCTGAAAAGTTTTGATGATTCAGATCTTGGGCCAGTACCATCTGGCTGGAAAGGCCAGTGTAAGGCGGGCAAAAAGTTCAGCTCATCTAGCTGCAATAGGAAACTAATTGGTGCCAGGTTTTTTTCAAAAGGGTATGAAGCAGCTTTGGGACCTATTGATGAATCCATGGAATCAAAGTCCCCGAGAGATGATGATGGACATGGAACTCATACGGCAACTACAGCTGCCGGGTCAATTGTGCCTAATGCTGATTTGCTAGGATATGCTCCTGGGAAAGCACGTGGGATGGCTTCACATGCCCGAGTTGCCATCTACAAGGTGTGTTGGCTTGGTGGGTGTTTTGGCTCTGATATTTTATCAGCCATGGACACGGCTGTTGCAGATGGAGTGGATGTTATATCAATGTCAATTGGTGGAAGACTATCGGAGTACTATGCTGACACTATCGCCATTGGAGCATTCACAGCAACCGCGCATGGTATTTTTGTATCTTGTTCAGCGGGAAATGGTGGACCCATCCCAAGCAGCTTGTCAAATGTTGCACCATGGATAACTACCGTAGGTGCTGGAACATTGGACCGTGATTTCCCTGCCCCTATTACTTTAGGAAATGATAAGATATACTATGGCGTGACACTTTATAACGGAAAGCAGTTATCTGATTCCATGGTGCCACTAGTTTATGCTGGTAATGCGAGTAATTCAAGTAGTGGAAGTCTTTGCATGGCTGGAAGTTTGATTCCAAAGAAAGTTTCTGGGAAAATTGTGTTATGTGATCGAGGGGTTAGCGCGAGGGTGCAAAAAGGAGTTGTGGTGAAGGCTGCTGGTGGCGTAGGGATGATTTTGGCAAACGACGATACTTTTGGAGAGCAGATAATTGCCGACGCGCATCTCTTACCCTCTGCAGCTGTTGGGCTGAAGAGTGGGGATGCAATCAAGAAATATATATCTTCTGATCATAACCCAACAGCCATAATTGGCCCTGGAACCACAAAGTTAGGTGTTCAACCATCTCCCATGGTAGCAGCCTTCAGTTCTAGAGGTCCAAATCCAGTCACTCAAGAAATACTTAAACCAGACATTATTGCACCAGGAGTCAATATCCTTGCTGGGTGGACTGGGGAAGTTGGTCCAACTGGATTAGAAATTGACCGAAGGCACGTAAACTTCAACATCATTTCAGGCACATCAATGTCATGCCCCCATGTTAGTGGGTTAGCTGCACTTCTCAAGGCTGCACATCCTGAATGGAGTCCAGCAGCCATTAAATCTGCCCTCATGACCACAGCCTACACAGCTTGCAAAAATGGTGAAAAAGTCAAAGATCTTGCCACTGGAGGACCCGCAACACCATTTGATTATGGTGCCGGGCATGTGGATCCAGTTGCAGCCCTTGATCCTGGCCTTGTATATGATGCCACTGTTGACGACTATCTTAGTTTTCTTTGTGCCTTGAACTATACACCAAATCAAATTAAGAGCACTACTCACAGAGACTTCACCTGTCAGACAAGCAAAAAGTACAACCTGGGAGATTTTAATTATCCATCCTTCTCTGTTCCTCTGGAAACTGCCTCAGGCAAAAAGGGTGGTGCTGGCGTCTCAAGCACCATCAAATATACTAGGACTCTCACTAATGTTGGCGCCCCAGCAACATACAAAATTTCTTTGTATTCACAGACCAGAGCAGTGAAATTCACGGTTGAGCCAGCAATACTAAGTTTCAGTGCACAATATGAAAAAAAGAGCTACACCGTGACATTCACAGCTAGGTCTATGCCATCTGGTACAACCAGCTTCGCCCGTCTGGAATGGTCAGATGGAAAACACATTGTTGGTAGTCCAATAGCTTTCAGGTGGACATAACCATGACAGAAATTGGGTTCATGATACTAATAATGGGACTGCTAAGTGCCCTCAAAGAAAGAGTGATCCCTCTTACAGTACGAGTGATCCCTCATACAGTATAATGAATCCGTCTTGTATTATTGATACTACAGCAACTGTATAGTCAGAGTCAGCTGTGTTTATAAATGTTCTCCAAGAAAATTAGGGGACAGTAGATTGATTGTGTTCTTTTTAGAGATCAGGACAAAATGGGGAATAATCGTACAGTGACCTAACTCTATAAGGAATTTAGACTGGATTCCTAGTTATAATTCGTGTCTTATAAATCTTGCATTCTTCCATGGTTCACACTTCACACAGTCGAGCAACACAACCGAGGGTTATTGTTATAATATTTCTTTCTTTTTTATTTTTATTCTTTTTTCCATTAGGTTCTTACTTCATACCTACAAGATTTTTCTCAAAGACTTGCTGTCTCAGCAATCTAGCTTTGGTGATCAACTGTCGATTTTTGGTCTGCCCCTCTGCATTGCATCAAAACCAACAGGGAAAACATAGCATAGGATATTAATCACAGGAATCTAAAATGTGACTGCTTTTAATATGTATTGCAGGGTTTCGCCACAGTAAAACAAAATGAAACAAGGCAAAACCAACAAGAAACCAGAGAAAATGGATTTTCATTACAGATTAGGTAGTTTAAAGAGCAATTCAAACAAAGAATTATTACAATAGCCAAAAGGTCTTTCAGATCACACATCTGGTTGGCCAATGATGAAAATATTAATTGACTTCTGTCTCTGAGTGTCTCTCTTTATATATAAACTCATTTTTTCCTCATCATCTGAAGCATGCAAAATTATTTCTTCAAGCAAACTTTGACCCTTGATAAATTTGCTTATAAATGAGTACTCTAAATAGAATCGAACAAAAAGAACAGAATCCTGCCTAATTTGTCCTATTTTTCAGCCAATAAGCTTAACCAGTCAAAGAAATTGGTGATAGATCCATCACATACACAATCAACTAGCTCTTTTTCTATAACCAATGCTCTGCATGATGTTATCTGAACATAATTGACCCAGCAACAAAAAGGTAATGTAACGTCATCTATAATCAGTCATCTTACACAATCCTAATCATCCAAAGTTGGGAAATGATGGAAGATGATATTGAAATGCTGTTGAAATCAAAACCTAAATTTAAGGGAGAAAAACAATTATGATATTGGAAGTATTTAACTATGTATTCATCATTCAGAGTCCTGTACAGACTGCCAAACAGGGAGATAATACTTGTCGAGTTGCCAATATTTGTGTCTCAAACCTTGCCAAACTTATTCTGCTAAGCATTCCTTAACAGGCAAGGGAATCAATTGTGTCGAGTACCCCAGATTCTCCAGTTCTAGTGAAACTAAATGGCAGTAATTTAGGAAGATGTTGATGAAACTCTCTCAGGTTTTCATAATATTCTCCATATGTGTCAAAGAAAATACCTACAAAGGTTACAATTCAAAGTGTTATTTATATCGGCAGGTAGGAATACATACCACTAGGATACATTTCATGATAAAAGGTTACTACATAAGGTAAGAACTCAGACTATAAGTAGTCAAACTCAAAAATTCTACCCTGTCAATTAAACTATGCTACATTTTTCATGAAATTATATTAGGTTGGTTGGTGAAACTTCTTAATGTGATACAATAATGAATGAATCAGCTTTATTAGCCTGTCTCAAAATCGGAAAAACTGTAATGTAGTCCATTGGTAAAAATAATTATAGCATTGTGATTAGACTACAAAGACGTTAACTATGACATTTATTTAATGAAGTTGATCCTTATCAGCAACTCAAGCATTACCTCATAACTCAGAATAAGAAGATAACCTATCATAGCATATAAACAACATACATGATGATACATAAATATCCATAAGGATTGAGCGGTAAAATGAATCTTAAATTACCATCATAAGATTCAAGCTGCGAAAGAACATCTTGCCAACGCCCAAATATTATTTTCACGTTATCCTTCTCGCCCCAACCAGTGCGAAACATGCGTTCATAGACCTTTGGATAAGCCTCCACAATTGTGCGCCTAGCTGGGCCATAGCGTTGAATAGCTGTATCCACAAGACCCATTCCAGAATCAACATTTAGTATGTTACCACCTCCAGAGCAAACAGCCTTTGCATGAGCTTCCATCAATGATTTCTCCCAAGCATCATGACAGCCTTGCTATCAGATTCCATCAACTTATCATCACCAAAAGTAACCGTAATCGCCATTGTTTTTTGTTTTCCTCGCAGTGGTTCCTAAAATCAGTTCAGCCTTAATTCCTGTTCAATTACAAACACTTACTTGTCAACACATTATATAAGTCCATATTGAAATCCCCCACTTTTAAAACAACGGGTATCCTTTCTTTGCCCTAAGTAGTTTCAATTACTCACTTTAATGAATTATTCAGCCCTCTTAATCTCTTTCATGTTAGACTTCAAGTAAATAATTATAGTAAAATCAAATAACGTAAAATATTACAAAGAAAGTAAATTGCAGCATTGAGAAGGGCTTCAAAGGCTTCCTGGTGACCAGAGTCAAAGGCTAAGTTACCGGCGGATTGGTTTGATGGAGAAAGATTGTTCCAGGGCGCGCCAGCCTCGAGGAGAGCTTTGACCACATCGGTATGGCCGAGCTTGGCGGCGTGCATGAGGGGCGTGAGTCCATCGCTGTCAAATAAGGAAACATCGGCACCTGATCCTATCAAAGTTTTCACCTCACCGACGACGTCGCCGTTTCTTGCTGCTTCATAGAGTTGCTCTCCTTCTGTTTCCATGTCTGCGCCTAGGATTTTAGTTGGTTCTGAAGACAATGGAATGGGAAATTTGAAGTGAAGCCCTGGTGCTCAAGGTCACAAATATCAAGATGGATTTTTTTTCTTTTTTTTTTTTAGAGTTGCCTCCACTAAGCTATATATAATTAGGGGAACCTCCCCTGAAATTTCTTAATTTATGATTATGTCTCCCATGGACCATGGCAAATTGGCAATATAGCATTTGTTTAAGTGTGATATGATCACATAACTTTTAAGATTTATGGGTGACAAATCACAAAACATATGATATATTCTTTTTTATTTTTTGAAAAAAATCAAACTCTTGGTTTTGAAATTGTAACTAATTTTTATTATGAATGATTGATATAAAACAATCCTTAAAAAATATTTATGCAAGATAATAAAAAAAATAAATCAACTTTGTTAAACCAATACACACATATATATATATATATATATGAATACAAAATTTACCAATTCTAAGGTTACTAATGTAAAAAATTCTTATTCTTGAAAATAATTTACAAATTATAAGTGATGATAACTATATTCATTATTTATTTTTTTATAAAAGGAGGTAGAAACATGGATATAAAAAATTTTGTATACATTAAAATTTAAATTTTTAACTAAAGCAAGTCATGAATTTTTATAAGTTTGATCGTTGATTAAAGAATTTAAAAATTCAGTACTCTAATAACATATTATTATTATTATTATTATTATTATTATTCATAAATCATAAATTCTAATTATCAAATTTTTAACATTTCAAACGAATATATTATCATATCATATATCATATATAGAAATTTGATAGAGTTTGTTTATATGAATGCTTAAGTGGATAGATTTTTTAGATGACATATAGGATAAAAATAAATAATTATATTATATATTATCAAAATAATCAAATATAAAAAACTTTTAAATTAAATCATTAAATAATAAATATTCAAATATTAATTTAAAAACAAATTAAAAAATACGATTATTTACTTTATTTAATAATTTTCAAATCCATTTAAAATATTCAAAATTTGTTTAAATAGAAAAGAGCATGCATAAATTATATCTAAAAATTTTGGTTTAATGACTTAAAAATATTCATCTTAATATATATTTTTAAATATTTAGTTAAATAGGCAAATAAAAACACCCTTTTAAATAAATTGATAAAATCATGTTCAATTATTTATATTTTAAAATACTTGATTTAGAACCGAAAACGTAATAGATTTTTGCTATTCTAGTTTACCTAAAACTCTTTTCTTTACTTTTTTTATTCCATATTTTTTCAAAATTTTCATCTAAAAATATTTTTTTCATTCATATTTCTTTTTCAAAACTCTATTTCCTTCTTTAAAATTTTCTATTCTTATTTTCTTTTTACAATGATTTATATGATCAATAAGAATAAATAATGAATCTTTTCAGAAAAAAATAAGTAATTTTTTTTGTTCTTTGAATATTTGATATATTTTTTTTAAAAAATTTTCATTTCTTGATTTTCATGTAATTTTTTGTTAATATATATTAGTTATATTACTGCTATTTTAAACTCTTTTTTTTTTATAGTGATAAAAATTTTAAATTGTAGTTTTTTGATCATTCTCTTTCTTTTTTTTTTTTTTATAATGAATGAAATTTTTTAATCATGGGTGTATGTAAACATAAAAAAGATAAATATTTAGAGGATTGAGAAATGATTTAGAATCTTACACACTTTTATCGATTCAACATCGTAAAATCACATTTTTGTCTTTAATTTAAAATTTCCCTATTATTTTGATAAGCTTCATTATTAAATTTCAATTTCACTTTATCTTAATTATTAATTTTTCTTATAATTTTTTGGGATCTATAAATGCTAACTACATCTGGGTTTTCTGGAAACCCTTTTCTTTGTATAGCTTTTTTTTTTTTTTTTACCAATTAAACAATCAAATTTATGAAATGAATTTAATTCAAAATTTTAATATTTTAAATATATATTAATATACTTTTTAAAATTAAGATAGAGATCAAAAAGTTATTTGAAAATTTTGTTGATGAATTATATTTTTTTATTTTGAAATTTTATGCTTTCAATTTATGAAATTAAAAATAAAATCAAAGATTTTAACATTAAGTATATAAAATAAAAAAAGATACAAATATTTAGTGATAAAAATAAAATTTTAAATATACAAAAGTTTTATGTAAATTTTAAATAAATTAAATTAAATATTATTATAAATATAAAAATTTCGTGCATTTGTACGGATAAAAAACTAGTGTAAAAAAATAATAATGCGACTTGAGGCATATTTTACCTAACCCTAGCAATTGCATTGTAACTTCATTAAACATTTTAAAACTTCATTTTCATGTTTTTTAAATTTAGACAAAACTCATGATCAAATGCTTTCCGTGTTTCAAATGAAAATCAGCTCAAGATTTCTTTATTGCCTTTTCAGATGGCGGCCGAATAAGAAAACGAAAAGACTTCTAGATTGAGTGAAAAAAAAACAAAAATCTTATTATTAATCTATCCATTCGTACTTGACCTTGTTCAAGTTTCAGGTGTTACAGAAGATTCGGTCCGACCACACGGAAACATTGTCTTAACTCCGGTCAAACAACGAACGCTAGTTTGCAAGCGTGTTGTGTTGACCACTCTTCTGTCTCTTTTCGACACATCGCATCTCAAAACGACATCGTGTGCCGATTCGTTTAACTGTAACCGCGGTCAACTCCCAGCAATAATTTTGATTTATTAATATCATGCGGCTCCTATTGACTATGACAGTCCTTTCTTTGACCTTGTTATATAATCGGCCTCTTTTTATAAATCCCTTCTCCAGCTGTCTCTCTCTGATTCTCTCTCACTTTTCACCGTCTTCTTATTTCCCCTTCCTTATTTCAAATCTAAAAGATCTGGTTGATCTGCGCCTTCAGTTCCGGGATTTGAGGAACCAGATTAGATATTGTTGATTTGGTTTCATTTAATTGTAATTAATTGATTGATTAATCGAAACGGGTGCTTTTTTTTTTTTTAATTTTCAAATGGCTTCGAGTTTGGACCGGTGGGAAAAAGATCCTTTCTTCTCTGTGGCTGAAGAAGTTCAGGAATCTGCTGACAGGTAAATAATTTCCCTTTCTTGTTTAGGGTTTTTTTCCAGCTGGATTATTTTATCTCCTAATTTTTATTAATTTGCTTTGGTTTTATAGAAATAAGTTGAGAAATAGAGAAGATTTCAACTTTGAGTCATGTTTTTTGAGGTTGAAAGCGGGACTTCTTTTTTTATTTTTTGGAATTGGTTCCCTAAATGGTGAATTACGTTTTCGAATTTCAATTACTCTATAATCGCTTGAAGTTTTGGTTGCGTTTGTTTAATAAGCATTGGTCGTTTTTGTGTTTGTTGAAAGATAATTGCCTTATGCTGATTGCTAATTTTGTTTTTGCGTTCCAAAGGATGGAATCGACATATAGGACATGGATACACGCGAAGAAAGACGTTTCTGGAACCTGGAATTTTGAGGAACTTCGTAGGGATCTGTGTACTGCCCTTGGCACTACCAAGTGGCAGGTTAGTTTAGGCTTTCTATCTTCCTTATGCCTGGTTCTTTTCGTGAATGTTTTCATTTGGGTTGTTCTTGGTTCAGCATTTTGAGAAATTGGTTTTCTTTTGCAGTTAGAGGAGTTTGAAAGGGCTGTCCAATCAAGTTACAGTGGGAGTTCAAGTGAGGATGCAATAGATAGGCATCGTGAATTTATTGTAGCAATTGAGGATCAGATTTCAAAGATTGAGAAATCATTGCAGGAATCAGCCCTTTCTGAGGGTAAGGCATCAATGCCTTGGTTGCGTTTGGATGAATGTGAATGCGATGAACTTGCTTTATTTTTGTCTGGACCTTCTGTATCTGGAGACAAGAAAATTCCTCCTAATATTCGAGGTAGATATAATGAAATCCCAGGAGGAATCAATAAAGAATCAGTGCCAGATTGCTCCAAGAATTCAAATCAGTCTGTTGAGTGGAGCTCCTCTGAGTCTAAGGGCGAGAAGTCACGTGGGCATAGGAGGACTGCTAGTGCGAGTGCAGACATTGGTGTTTGGAAGATTGAAATTACTGATGATGTTTTACGGCAGAACTCTTCCAATGGTCAGCTTTCTATTCCCCCACGAAAGGTTCCAAGCTTCTCTGGTTTCCTAAATTCCATGGAATCTGTAGCCAAGTTGAAGTGGTCAAAGAATTGCTTCAGGAAGTGGAAGACAGTAGATCGTCATCAAGAGTCCGACACAGAGTTGTTGAAACCTCCTCAAGTTGCTAGGGTGAATGTCTACTCTACTGCTGTACTATTTGAAATAAATTTTTTGAGATTTGACTTTTTGTTACCATGTTTTATGCTGTCCCGTTAGTGTTTATAAGTTCTTATTTGATCATTTCTTCCTGCAGGGCATTAATGCATGCTATGAGAGGAGTTGCCTAGTTTGTGATGATTGTTATGATAAGCAACTTTATGGCTGGTATGGGGCTATTCAACGACAACTCCAAAGGTCTCAGTATCAGATGCAATATGGTCGCCCCATTCAACTAGCAGTTTGGGTTGTTCTCCTCCTTTTCTTGATTGGTGAGCTTGCCACAAAATCCTTTTAGTTTTTTACTTCTACTTTTTTGGGCTTTTACAATCACTTGCACATTAATGCATTCTTTTTAAATTTGAGCAAAATCGTTACCTATATTTTGATCATTAGTAAAGGCATTTTCATTCTTTGCTGTTATCTGTGCTAATTTGATCTATGCTTTATGCCCACTTAGATTGAATGGTGAATTCTCATTCCAATGAAGCAAATTATAGGTGAAGGACATGTGCCCTAAATAAACCAGTAACAAATAGAAATTCATACCTAGTCCATAGGACCCTAGATTCCTTATTTCATAAAATTATGGCATATTTAGAGCTTGAGATTCCAAATGCATACCAATTGTAGACAAATGATTAGAGTAGATGAGACTAACATCAGGTTAATGGTACATCAAACCAGAATTTTTGGTCATGTAGAATACATGAAATGCAATCTAAACAAGTTTAGAAATAAAAATGAAGACGGAGTAAAAATATTAACAGTAAATAATTTCCTATGTATCATTTTTTATTATTCATAAGAGATGAGAGAATTATGAGGATGTTATAGATAGAGCTACAACAGGTTGAATGGAATGGAGAATTGCTGCTGGATGTTAAATGGACATCTAAAACAATTTTGGTTTATAGGTATGAAGTTTTTGACAATTGAATGCATGCATACTAATGCAAGAAAAGATGGGCTATCAAATATAGTTATGCACATATGATGGTCGTAGCTTTCACATGGGATGTATTAAAGTGCCTCTATGGACTCCTGCAATATATCATTGTTTTCTTTGTATGCTTTCAGATTGTGGGGCTAGTGCCTCCTCTTGCTACATTTTGTAACCATGTTCACTTTTTTGAAGTCACTTAGTCTAGAAGCTTAAGCTTCTTGTCATCCTGTGCAGTTTTAATCGCATTTCACACAATATGAAAAGGACACAGAGAATCTTCGACTGGCAGTTCATACTCAGTGGCTAATTATTTGGGACGAAGGTAGTTAAGGAGGGTAGTAGCTTGTGCATAATATGCTGTCACTGGATGTTGTACGCAGCTATGTCTTGGGGTGAAGGTAGGCAGTAGGACAAGAAGCAAGAGCATCCTTTGTTCCTTATATTTTCCTTAGACCACTTCTTGTGTCTCCCTTCCAATTTTAATTTTTCAGATGAAGGGACCGCCCTGATGTTTAATTATGGGGCAGAGGGATGACAGAGTTGACCGGCGGCTGTCGGATCATGTAATATATGTTTTTTTTTTTTCTCCCAGAATAGTACTTTGCATTAATACGAAGCTGTGTAGCCATTTCAATCCACCCTTCCGTAGTAACAAATTAGGAACTGTAGAAAAGGGAAGTGGGAAATTTAACTAAATCAGACCTCAATTCCTTTACTTGTCGCATCTCATCTGCATCGTTAGACAGTCATTAAACTACTTAAACCAGATAAGGAAAGTGATCTAAACAAATATGAATTATCAACATACAGTTCGACGCCAAGTTAACTCTGTAAGGTCCTTAAAGTTGGATTCATCTCAGAATCGTTTGTGCTATGATAAAGCCAATAATGGAATTTACCGATCATCAGACATGATGAGGAAGCAACATCGGCTTAGGGAATTAACACAAATTACTTCAATCCGTATGTACCACTGCCAAAACTTTTAATAGCAGATCACCTATCATGTTACTACCAAAACCATAAGGAAGCAATGAAGGCAACTAATTAACAAAGAGATGCTAAACTTTTACCCTTGTTTTTGTGTGTTTGGATGGTTATTGACAATGACAAGAAGTTGCTGCTCCAGATGAACAGAAGCATCCATAATTTGATTAAGAAATGTTAGATTCCTTTGAGAAAATGAATTTCCTTCATGACATGCATTACTATATACAAAAGATAACCAGGAACTAATAGTTCAAAGTATTAGCAAACAGCTACCCAGATATTGATAATTTAGATTAACATCATACAAAGTAGGTTTACAAACAAGAATAAAATTGAAAGAATGTTAGACCAAGAACATAACATAGGCTAACTATAAAAAGTGTAATCACTAAATGATACTAGTCATTATTACAGCCTTATTTAGAGTTGACAATAAATTCAGGGCCACAACCACATAAACTGTTAACCATGTTAACCTTATTCAGGCCCCTCTTGATGACCTAACATACTGCGGCAACAAATATCCTCAAAAATATTTTTTTTGTGAAGTTGTCATGATCACTGCCCCAAACTTATGGAACCAGATTCCACACATATGTTGAAAGATAAATGTCGGCGATAATGATGCAGAATACAAATACTTCTAAATTTCCACAGAAACAAGCTTCAATAAGATGGTTAGAATTCCGGAAAATGAACAAGTATGTATCAATAATCAATGAAATAGTAGCATGGGCATTTGAAACATTTATCAGAAATCTGTCTGCTTCATAGTTGCCTCCCATTCAGTAACATCAAAATGCACAAATTCCAAATTTGATCTTAAAGTGATGTAAAATATAATAAAGTGCTCACTAAGACTTTGTCTAATCAAAGCAATTTTATTTTATAATGCTTGTATAAAGCATCATAAGCCAAAAAAAAAAAAAAATGAAGAAAGAAAACCATACAGCATTTCCCTATATTGCAACAAAAGCTGCTCTCGGAAGGTGAGTGTTTCCACAACCAACAGTTCCATGCCTTCGCCATTAATAGCTTAGCTTATGTACTTATTTTTGAGCAACAACAACAATAACAAATTCATCTTCATTACCAAAGACTGGAAACAACTTGAAACAAAAGATTGAATCAAGGCACAAACTTGTAAGTCTTCATCTTATCAATCCAATTCACAAACGAATTCCTGGAATTCCTAAACCCCAAAAATCCATGCTCCTTACTCTTATTCATACTCGACAGCCGCGCCTCCGCCGATAAGATCACATCCACAAACCACCAAACTCCCACCTCCTCCAACCTCGTCTCCTGCAACTGATTCTCCTTCACTATCTCTTCCCACACTCTCTCCTTCCCTTTCATCATCTCCCCCAACCCCAAATTCTTCCCTTCCTCGAAACCAAATTCTTCTATCCCAAACTGCTCCGCCAAAGCGCTCCACAAATGCTTCCACTTAAAAACATCCCCATTATTGACATTAAAAGCTTCGTTTCTCGCGTACGGATCCACCGCCGCCCATATCTGTTGCTCCGCAATCAAATCCGCATCCGAAACCTCAGAGTAGCATTCCCAAGCGGCTTTGCTTCCAGGAAACAATAACGGTTTCCCTTCGTGTTTACAAATCGCGGCGTAAACGCAGAGGGTTCCAATGGCGTTCATTAGACTGTAAGGCGAAAACCCGAATATTGTATTGGGTCGGTGCACCGACCAGGTTAATCCTTCTTTCTTCTCGGTTTCTTCCAAGAGGATGTCTTCTTGAGTGTAGTAAAAATTGGGAGCGCTTAACCGAGGTAAATCTTCGGTGTAAGGCGGATCCTGCGGTTGGATTATGCCGAACAACTCGAACGGTCCGATGTAATGTTTGGTTCCGGTTTGGAGACAGATGTGGCGGAGATTGGGTGCGTTTGGGATCACGGAACGCAAAACATTGCGGAACATGGAACCGTTGATTTCGCAGTTCTCCGCTTCGGATGATCGGTTGGTCCAGCTGACGTAGAAGATATGAGTGACGTCGGTGAGTTGGGAGAGCTTCGATTCAGTGTCGTTCGGATCGGATATGTCGCACTGAATGTACTCGATTGGATGGTCGGCATTCCAGTTTGGTCTGGGCCGACGAGCCACGCCGTAAACTTTCCATGGGCCGCCGGGGGTATCGGCCAATGGAAGGATTTCGGCTAAGCTGTTACCGACTATGCCGGTAACTCCAACTACAAGCCCAACGCTCTGAAAGCTTCTCGGCCCTTCATCTTCCTCAAATTTCTTCTGCAAAAATTAAACCAAAAAAAAAAAAAAAAGAAATTTCATATGCGTAAACAGAAATTTATTAAGCCAGAGAAAATAGGCACTTACCTTAGCAGCGCCAATGGCACCAGCCCACCACCAGCTCATGTTTTCTGGATAATACGATTGGATTTGTGGGTAGGGAAAGAAATACAAATTGCATTATGCCATTGTATTTTTAGATTTCTGACTAAGAAGCATATTTTTCTAAACAACAAAAACCTGATATGAACCTGTTTAAATGAGCCCAATCAAGTTGCAAATTAGGCCTTCAGAAACTTGGGTACAGCCCAAGTAGAACATTTCGTGCTTACGAACACATAAAATGAAGATAAGAGGCAAGTCAGAGATTTCAATGCCTACCCTTTTTTTGTCAAATTATATATATGATCTGACCATTGATTTGTTAAAATGATTGTTGACTTTTGCTGATGTGATTTTTTTATTCGTTATTAAATAAGTATACGATGATGTCATGTGGCATTTTCATAAATTTATGTCATTTTTTAAAATTAATAATAAAAAATATAATTGATCAAAGGAAAAGAAACATATGAGAAAGAAAAAAATCTACTGCTTATCCAAGATCCCCAATCTTCTCAAAACCAAAATTACTTTTATTTGTTTTGTTTTGTTATGGTCAATCCACATCTTGTTTTGGTCTATTCAATGTAAAAAAGAGATCTATGACCGCAACATTTCCTAAGCTCAAAGCTTTAAACTTTTCAGAAATTGGATTTATGGCTGAGATACGAATTTTAAGAAAACGAAATCTCTTGAAAACCTCAACATTTTTTTGGAACTTGTTTGAGGGTTCAGTTATGGGTGTGTCTGATGGGCACGGCAACTGTTGGTCACCTTTCTTTGTCTCTTTTGCTGCGAAATTGCTATAATTTCTTAGCTCTATTGTGTGTTTTTCTTGCTCAACGTATATTGTGGCTATCAGGCTCAGAGAAAGTCTATTGGGAGTTTGGGAAAGCGGGAGTTCCGGGTTTGAAGGGGTTTTAGGATAACATTTTTCAAATTTCAACGGTGGAAATTTAGGGAAGGGTGAGAGAAAGATTAGAAAAAAGTTCCATGGTCATTAAAGTTGATTGTGACGATAGATCTAGATTTTTAAGTTTTGGGTTATTTTGAATTTTTATGAAAAAAAAATTTTGAAAAAATCTAAGTCAATAGATCTGTAAAAGAGATTTAGAACAATTTTCATATAGATTTTGATGACATTTTAGCAACTTCACAACAATTGAAATCGGTCGATGCGACAACCATTTGTAGGAATTTAAGTTTAAATGGTTGTCAACATCTGGTTTGTATCACTAGAGATTTTTTTTTTTTTAAATCAATTATATATTTTAAAAGTATAATTTTTGAAAACAAATTTGTTGCTTTTTTGAAAGTAATCGGATTTATTGACATCATTATGTGGTATTTCAATAAATTCATATCATTAAATATTTTTTTAATAACAATAAAAAATTAATGATCTAAATGAATAGCACATAAAGTAATTTTATTATTTTCGTGATTTATTCGTTTAATTAATAAATATTAAAATTTTTTTATAATTATTTATTAAATTTAATAAATAAATATAAATAAATAAAAATCAAATCTATTTATGATTTGTTTGTTAATATTTTATTTTTTACACTTTCATATATAAATAAATTATATATGAATGAATTTTATTATATTTGTACTTTATTTATTTAATTAATAAATTTTAAAATATTGTTCATAACTTTACTTAATAAACCAACATAAATAAAAAAATTTGATATATTCTCACGAATTGATATTGTTCCTTTCACGAATTGAATGTTAAATATATTATATTTGAAAAAGATTTTGGATTGGAAAGTAAAAAATTAAAAGAAATTTAATCAAATTATATATTTTTTTGAATTTTTATAAAATAAAAATAATTATTTACTATTAAAATTTTATTTAAAAAATAAAAAATTTAAATTAATAAATTAAATAATCAAATAAAATTTGATTCCAATCAAATTAATTTAAAATAATTAAAAAGTTAAAAGTTTTATAATATTATAATTATAAAAAATCGAATAAACATTAATCCGATCGAAGCTATCGTCACCCCACTTTCTTTCGTGCCACTTTGGCCCATTGACAAAATTTCCAATATTCAATGTCTAGAAGGGATGTGGCCCCAGACGATATCTAGAAGGGGAAATGTATAAACCCAACTTTCCTTCACAGATGAGTTCGTTTGAATCTTTTTCATCCGTTCTATCATTTTCTAACATTTGTCAAATCTGCCCAAGGATTAATCCTTTTCTTCTTCTCCCAAAAAAAAAGAAAAAGATTTCATAGTTGACTACATTTTCCCCAATTCACAACCCTAAGTAACCCTGCCTGGGACAGCAAGTGCTATTATTATTGTTCAGAACGGAAATCCATCAAAACTCACGAAGCTATTCACCATGTTTCTGCAAATCCTCCTCTTTTTAGCCCTTTATTCAATCACCACCCACTTTTGTTCCGCAAGTTTCGAAACCATCCTCCAATCCCTTTTCCCATTTTACCATTGATTGGCTACCTCTAATGAATGGAAAGCAAACCAATGCTATTCTTCCCAAACTTGCACAATTGGTTCTAAACGTCTTCTATCTCTCTCTCTTTTTATGCTATGAAATGGGGATAAACAACCCCCTGGGAATTGAATGATTCAAAGATGCTGATATAATTGGAGTTTAGCCTTTTACATGAATTTTCAGGATTTAAAACTATAACAGATTATATTGGATTCATACAAGACCAAAGCATCTAGGCTTGAATAAATCCCATACAAACCTCTACCTGACAACAATGATCACCGGTATTCTTGATATTCATACTTTAACTGCATATTTTTTAAGAAATAAGAAAAAAAAATCAACTGCAGTAAGTACCAAACTTTGTTAAGAGGAAATAATATTGCCCTCTTCTAATACCCCTACTGAAATACAAACATTTTAAAATAAAAACTTGCAAGATAATCATCGATCAAAGCATTTCCATCACAGCTAGAGACTTCGTGACTGGAGTTCCTGGTGGAAATGGAATTGTGAAAGAGACAAGAAAAAGCACCAAGGACGACTTCTTATGGTTTAGATAAACCACAATGAATTTTTTTTTTAATTTGTCCATTTAATCAATAATTATTAAAATATTATTTGAACTGTTTATTAAACTTAATAAACAGATATAAATAAATAAAAGTCGAGTCTGATTATGAATTATTTGTGAATATTTTGTTTTTTACTCTTTTGGATGTAAATAAATTAAATATAAACAAAATTTTTTATCTTTATTATGAATTTATTTTATTAATAAATCTTAAAATATTATTTATATCGTTTGTTAAACAAACCTTCCACTAAGGTCTCTCATGGAATTGACCCATGACAAAGTATAAAAAAAGGTTCTTTGATATAGAGGTGACAAAAAATCGAATAAATCAAAAAATTAATTTAAAATTATAATATTTAGTTTGATTCAAATTTTTTTATTTAATTTAAATTAAATTTAAATATTAAAACACATACATATATATATATATTAAATGCAAAAGATTTAGGATTGAGAAGTAAGAAATTAAAAAAAAAAATTGAATCGAATTATATTTTTTATTAATTTATATATATTTTTAATTTTATAAAGTTAAAATAATTATTTTATATTTAAATATATTAAAATTATATTAAAATTTTATTATAAAAAATAAAATAATTAAATTTAAAATTCGATGAATTGAATAAATTAATAATATTTGATTTCCATTAAATTAATTTTAATTTTAAAATTTTATAATATATATTATAAAAAATTTGAATCAAATTTGATCCTATAAAACCATGGCAACCCACCTTTTGTCGTGTCTCTTTAGCTCTTTGAGTTTTTCCAAATGTTGAATATCTAGAAGTTGTGTGGCCCCAAAGAATATCTAGAAGGGAAATGCATTCCTTAATAAATGAGTTTGACAAAAGCGTTGCACTATCTTTTTCATCATTTCTAACACTTTGTAACATTTGTCAAATCTGCCCAAGGATTAACAATTGTGTCTTCTCGAAGAAAGAAAAGACTTCATAGTTGACTACATTTTTCCCAATTCACAACCCTAAATAATCCTGCCTGGGACAGAAAATGCTATTATTCTCGTTTAGAACGGAAATCCATCATAATTCACGAGGCTAGTCACCATGTTTCTGCAAATCCTCCTCTTTTTAGCCCTTTATTCAATCACCATCCACTTGTTCCACAAGTTTCAAAACCATCCTCCAATACCTTTTCCCAGTTTACCATTGATTGGCCACCTCTACCTTGTTCTCAAGAAACCTCTCCATCGTTCCCTGGGGAAAATCTCCAGAAAACACGGTCCAATCCTTCTCCTCCATTTTGGGTCTCGCCCTGTTCTCCTCGTCTCATCCCCATTGGCAGCCGAGGAATGCTTCACCAAAAACGACGTTGTATTCGCCAACCGCCCCTTACTTATATTTGGGAAGCATTTGGGTTATAACCACACCAGCCTTACCTGGGGTTCCTACGGTGATAAGTGGCGGAACCTGAGGCGTATTTCGTCTCTTGAACTTCTTTCAACCAACTCTCTCCAGTTGTTCTGCGTCGTGCGCCTTGATGAGGTCCGCTTGCTTCTTCGCAAGTTGTTCAAGGATCAACATCGGACGGTGGACTTGAAATGCGCATTCTTCGAGCTGATGCTGAACCTGATGATGCGGATGCTAGCGGGAAAGAGATATTACGGTGACAATATCGCGGAAGTAGAGGAAGCGAGTAGGTTTCGTGAAATACTGAGGGAATCTTTTCTGTTGTCTGCTGCATCAAATATGGTAGATTTTGTACCAATGTTGAAGTGGGTTGACAAGAGCGAGAAAAGGATGATCAACTTACATAAAAAAAGAGAGACATTTACGCAGGAATTGATAGAAGAACAGAGAAGGAAAATGAATGACGGGAAAAGTTCTTTAGCCACAGACAAGAAAAAAAACATGATTGAAATTTTGTTGTCTTTGCAAGAAGAAGAGCCTGAAAACTTCAATGATGAAACTATCAGAAGTCTCATGATGGTAAGCTGTACTACTATTTAATTTTATTGCTCTTAATTTCTTTCATTAAACAGTGTCCTAATTTGGTTCCTTGAATGTTACAGGTTTTGCTTCTTGCAGGAACTGACACTTCAGTGGGGACAATGGAGTGGGCGATGTCTTTCCTTTTGAATCATCCGGAAGTATTGAAGAAAGCACAAACTGAAGTGGATAAGGTGGTTGGACATGGTAGGCTGGTGGAGGAATCAGATTTGGCCAATCTTCCTTATCTTCATTGCATCATCAGCGAGACTCTGCGAATGAAACCACCCGGTCCGTTGTTAATGCCACACGAGTCATCCAAAGATTGCGTGGTCGGAGGATATCGTATACCGCGTGGCACCATGTTATTGGTGAACACATGGGCCATACATAACGATCCTAACAATTGGGTGGAGCCAACTAAATTTAAGCCGGAGAGATTTGAAGGTTTGGATGGGTCTAAAACTGAGTTCAAGGTAATGCCATTTGGGTCAGGGAGGAGGGGGTGTCCTGGAGAAGGACTGGCAATGCGCATGGTTGGGTTGACATTAGGGTCACTAATACAATGCTTTGAGTGGGAGAGAGTTAGTAAGGAGATGGTGGATCTGATGGAAGCGCCTGGCCTTACCATGCCAAAGGCTCAACCTTTGCAGGCCAAGTGTCGGCCACGCCAACACTTTCTTACTTGCCTTTCCCAAATTTAAACCAAATTCTCTATTAAGTTGTGTAATCTCCCACCTATCTATCGGGATTTGGAGAGTGAACCTTTCATGAAATCTGTGGACATATTTTCCAGTATTGTTAACAGGTTAGATATGCTTGTGCTTAGTTCATACTCATGGATTTTTATGAAATTTTACTTTTTGTATGAAACAGTTGATATAGTGAACTGATGTAGCGTATGTATTTACATATATTGGAGATTGATGTTTATAATCTTTGTCTTGCTCTTTTTATGCTCTAGTTAATGATGATGTTGGGTAACCGGACTGAAAGCTGGATTTATTCAGACTAGTTGCCAATTGTTTGAGTATTTATGCATCTGCTTTCATTCTGGAATTGAAACCTGGAAAAAGATGAAAACCTGGGTTCAATTGCTGGGGTTTATATTCTATTATGCTGAACTCTGCAGTGAATATTTGAGGCATGGAGCAGAGTCCATTTTAGTTAATTTGATTGCAAAATTGAACTGCATTCATTTTGGAGAGCATATGATTGAAGGCTTTATCAAAAAAGCGTCATAGATTGAATTAAATTGATTAAAGTTATTATTGAAAGAAAGATAATGATCCCATTCAAAACAGTATATCTGCAGCTTTCTGGACAGAAATTGATAACTATAAACACGTGATATTATCAGAAGTGTCGTGCCCAATTTAGCATAGTAGTTTATTGGTGGGTCGGTTGAGGGACGGTATTTCAACGATTGGAAAACAAAAGTCTGAAGCATGTTGTAGAGAATTTCATAATTTCCAACCTTCTCTATTCATGTGAGAACGGTTTTTCTACTACTTACTGAATTTTCGGGCTACTTGAAAAAGATAGGGATGGGGTGGTGGGGTGGGAGTTCGTTCGCGTATTTTATTGCTCTCGAACGTCAAGTGATTTATGGAGGTGATGATGTTGAGAGGAACGTGCGATTTTTTAATTTTACTAACTCAATGAATGCAAGATTTTTGTATTTGATTCGTAAAAATACAAAATTGTATAATAAAATATTTTTTTATATTATATTTGATAACATGTAATATTTATAATAAACATATGTGAATAATATATGACATGTGAATATTATTTTGTTTTTATTAAAATTAAATAATTTTGAAAATATTTTCAATAAATATAATCTTATAATTTTACTTATTATCCTAATGTTAATTGTTCATATGCAAAGAAAATATGTAAATCGGCCTTTACAGAATGATGAATATAAGGTTGAAAGGGAGGTGGTAAACCCCTCTCCGAGGATAAAGTCTCATAAATAAATTTTATGTATAATAATATTAAGTAAATATATTTTAAACTTTATATATGATAATATTAAGTAAAAGATAATTTATGTTTTATTTTTTTATATTTTTAACATATATTACATTTTTATCCTAAAAGCATTGTTTTTTTTAATAAATTGTATTTTTGATCTTAAAAATGTTATTTTTGTTAAAATTTGAAAATTATGTTTTTTTTTTCATATTTTCAATAAAAATCATATTTTTTATCTTAAAAAAATTATCTTTTCAACAAAAATTATATTTTTATCTTAAAAACATCATCTCTTTAACAATGACTCTTTTTTTATCATAAAACCGTCATTTTTGTTAAATTGTAAAATATATTTTTTTCATATTTTTAATAAATATTATATTTTTATCTTAGAAATATTATCTTTCATCAAAGACTACATTTTTTTTTATCCTAAAACACCGTCTTTATTAAATTTTGAAAATTTTTTTTTCATATTTTAACAAAAATTATATTTTTATTTTAGAAATATTATCTTTCTAATAAATACAACATTTTTATCTTAAAACATCCATCTTTGTCAAATTCTAAAAAAATAAATTTTTTTATATTTTTAATAAAGATTACGTTTTTTGTTTTTGAAACATCTCTTTATTTAACTATGAAAATAATTTTTTTTATTTTTTCAACAAAAATTATGTTAAAAATTATAATTTTTGTGAGAATTTCAATAACCTTGTCTTAAAAATATTATCTTTATTTAAAATATATTAAGAAAAAATTATTTTCATAATATTTTACAAAAATTACAATATTTTTAACGTAAATAACGTTATTTATATAATTTGAAAATATAATTAAACGAGGATAAATAAAAAAAAATTTACTTTCCCTTCATAATTTTAAAAAACCTTATGAAAAGAACATTTTTTTATTTCCCTATTTTTTTCATTTTTTGATGTTGTTAGAAATCTTAAAATTTTTCAAAAATCACATTTCTGGTAACCAAATAAAAAATTAAATTATAAAAAGTAAAACTACAAGAAAGAAAATTATTTCTCCCTAACCAATCGCCCTAAAGTCTGTTAAGCTTAGTCTAGAAGGAGGTTCAAATAAAAAACAAAGAATATAATATAACAATCTGATGTGTTGCCCATTAATTTTTAATTTCACAATTAGAGGCTTCTTTCAACAACTTTTGTTCTTATTATCGTCAAATTAACAATATGCCATATGATGACATGAAATATTCATATACAATTCCTAATTGCTGTTTCTTGTTTACAAGTCATTGTCTTCATCGGTCGTCCACCATTAGTAGATTCCATTTACACTCTGTTTGTTAACAAGGAAAATTGAAGGCAGGAAAGTGGAAAGAAATGGATGGGCGAAAAAGTTATTTCCTCCTTAGTTCCTATCAGAAAAGAAAACTGAAATTTCTTTCCTTTATGTTTTCCTTTCTTTGAACCAAACACTGTTAGTCTTCTTCAGAGGAGGATAAAAGAAAGTAAAGAAAAGTTAGACAATAGTAGTGATAATGCCCCCACACTGAATTATTAATCAGATATTTAAATTTTTAATCAGATATTTAAATTTTATTTTCATTTATTAAGTGATTTTAATTCTCTAATATCGTCAGAATAATATTGATGTGATAGTTAAATACTAATATGAATGATATATGATTGTCGTATGATTTAAAATATGATTGTCACGTATTATTTAAAAAAAAAAAATTTTAAATTTTTTTAAAATGACATATGATAATTATATCATTGTCACGTAACAATAACGCATCATCTACTTTAATATTTAAATATCATATCAATGTTATTCTAATTAATTTAAAAGATTGGGGTACCTAAATGTAAGAAAATATAGTTTAGGTGTTTAATTAGAAATGTTTTTAATTTAGGTACACAATAAAAAAATTACAATAGTTTAGGGGCCAAATAGAGTATTGTCCCAAAATAATAAAAATAAAACCTTGCCTCTTCCATAAAACAGAACATGCGGCAGTTTGAAGTTGACAAATTTCCATGGCTAACCGGTATCTCTATCCACCGATATTCTTAGCATTGTATGTTTTCACAAAGCACTTTCTAAACAGAATCTATAACCTTCCTCCAAGTCCTTTTCCTTGTCTACCCATCATTGGCCACCTCTACCTCCTGAAGAAACCCTTCTATAAAACTCTATCCAAGATTGCAGATCGGAATGGCCCCATACTCTTCCTCAAATTCAGCTCACGGCCGGTCCTCGTTGTCTCATCACCATCTGCTGCAGAAGAATGCTTCACCAAGAACGATATCGCTTTCGCCAATGGCCCTCGCATTCTTTTTGGAAAACACTTTGGTTAAAACTGCATCGCTTGGGCTCCTTACGGTGATCACTGGCGAAACCTCAGACGGATTGCATCAATCGAGCTTTGGTCAACTAACCGCCTGCAATTGTTGTCAGGCATACGCATGGATTAGGTAAAGTCATTGATGATAAAGCTGTTAGCCCATTAAGATGAACCTGTTGAATTTAAGAGAGCGTTCTTTGAGTTATCCTTCAATGTGATGATGAGGCTGATAGCAGGAAAAAGGTATTATGGCTATGAGAACGTGGAAGATATGGAGGAAGCCAGAAGGTTTAGGGAGATTCAAATTGAGGCACTCGAGTTAAGTTCTGCAATAAATTTAGGAGACTTCTTGCCCTGGCTTAAGTCCAGGAAGCTGGAGAGGAGGTTGATGGAGTGTGGAAAAAGGAGAGATAAATTCATGCAAGATCTGATAGAACAGCATAGAAGAAAAATGCGGAGTGATCCTGATGGAGAGAGGAAGAAGACCATGATTGAGATTTTGCTGTCATTGCAAGAATCAGAACCTGAGTATTACAAAGATGAGATAATCAGAGGCCTCATGATTGTGAGATCTATGTTCCTTCTTTGTTCTTAAAAATATTTGGTGGTAAACATTAATATAATTCAATACAATGATCTCACAATTTTAGCACAGATTATATTGATGACAAGAACAGAAAATTCAATTAGTACTATGGAGTGGGGACTTTCACTTTGGCTTAACCACCCAGAAGTACTTAAAAAGGCTCGAACTGAAATCGTCAACACCGTGGGACACGAGCGTCTAATTGATGAGTCCGATCTGGCTTGACTTCCTTACCTCCGCAGCATCATCAGTGAAACTTTGAGAATGTTTCCACCAGTTTCAACGCTACTTCATGAATCATCAGAGGAATGCATGGTGGAGGGTTTCCGAGTTCCAAGTGACACGATGCTATTGGTTAACATATGGGCCATACAAAATGACCCCAATAGTTGGGACGATCCAACAAGATTCAAGCCAGAGAGGTTTGAAGGACTAAAGGGTGCAAGAGATGGATTCAAGTCGATACCATTTGGGGCAGGAAGGAGGGGCTGTCCTGGAGAGGGCTTGGGACTGAGAATAGTTGGATTGACACTGTGGTCATTGATTCAGTGCTTTGAGTGGTCGACTCGAGGGTTGGTGACGAGATGGTTGATATGAGGGCTGGAACAGGAATCACCATGCCCAAGGCTGAACCGTTGAAAGCTAAATGCTGGCCACACACAACCATGCTTGAACTTCTTTCTCAAATTTGAACTGATTTGGCAAGGTTTGTGTTTCGTGAAATGTAGGATTGGCGAAGAGGCCTCGAAGTTGTTGCAATTGAATAATTCAGCTAATGAAAACAAGCATAAGAGGTTTCAGTTTTCAGGCAACCTGCAATATATTATTACCTACTATTCAGCTTTTGCCTTTTTGCATAGGGAATAAGTTAGTTTGGTTTAATTTCTTTTAACACAATGAGAAACGCCATTGAATAAATATGAAAGAAACCTTGGTGAGCAGTTAACCAGTCATGCAGAAAAATGCAAGTCCTGAATCTCTAATAGCAGTTCTTGGGGGTAAAAAAGCTACACTGGTATTAACCTGCGAAAATAAGAAGATCATTGTGCCATATTTACAAATTCAAAGAGAAATTGATCCAATACAAAATTCTCAGACAACTACAATTCCGACTTCACTTTCTAATTAGTTTGTCAAGTAAAACGATTACATCTAGTCAAGTAGTGTGATACTTTGCCAAAACCCCTCTTCTTTAAATATCCATCTTCCAGATGACATTGTTTACCACCTGGGTCGTGAGCTTTTATCTAACGTACTAACTTTGGCTCGATATGGTGCAGTAGCCACAGAAG